AATTTGAATATAAAGTATTTTTTCCTAATAATATTTACAACATTCAATATTATAAAGTATACAATATTATAAAATAATTATATATTTTAAGACTTTTTACATTTTTATATAATTATATATATATTTCTTTTATTTTTTTGATATTTCTATAAATTTGAAAATCCGTCAAACGTGTAATTATTTTGTTTCTTGTAATATTTAATCATAATTCTTAATTAAAATAACTTGAATAATATATCAACATTCATTAAGTTCCAACAATCAATTCAATTACTATAGAAATATGTTCAGTGATTAACCAAACTATACAATTACGAAGAAATTAATTCGGTCGCCAGAAACAAGCATTAATGGACGAGGATTTAGATCACGTATTCCAAATTTATTTCCGATGACCTTCGATCGCTCTTGCCGAGAATGAAATAGGAATACGTGCGAAAGCGTTCGAATGATCCAGGCCGAGTATGAAGTACGCGCGTTACTAAATTTAGCGACACCATTGCGTCAACAAAAAGAAAAGGCGATGCTCCTGTTTGTGTCGCAGTCTTCGATTGGCTGATCCAAGCAATGCCGCAACCAATCGTAATACACGTAATACTATTCGCTATTCGAAAACGGAACAATCAGATTTTCGCATGATTATCGCTTCCGCATTTTATTTAATGAAATATTTTATTGATATTTAAATTTACATATGTATTACATATTTTTTTTAATTATAAAAAATATAAACATTGATTGATATTATAATAATTAAAAAAAAAATTTGAAAATATAATTAATTTTACATATATATATAAAGATATATGTTATTATATAATTTCATTAAATATAAAATCTAATGTCAATATAAAATATAAAATCAATATAAAATCTAATGTCAATATAATGTTAGTCTTTATATGGTTATATTGAATAGAACTTTTATCTGAATTTTAAATAGTAGTTGTAAGGATACATAATTATATCATGTTTAACAAGAATGATGAAGAAATCGACCGCGAAAAATGTGTGTACTATACTTAGAAAACGACAGAATGCCAACAAGCACCTTTGCGAATTATCATCCATAAGTTCCTTATTTTTAGCGCATTCAATGTCTGCTAGTATTACAAGCCCTAAACTGTAACATTATCATATTTAATACTCAATATTTAATACTCAAAATTAGATATTCAAAATATCTAATTTTAATATAAAAAATTTTAAATTTTCCAATTTTAATATATATATAACTAACAAAAGATTTATTTAATAATTAACATTTTTGATTAATATTTTTTAATAATTTTAAAATTTATATTTATTATTAATATAAATAATTTACGCCAAGAAAGAGCAATTCCTACATTATTTAAATCAAAATCATTTATTTTCCTGATATGAAATATATAAGTACATTAAGCGGAAAAATATGTTTAATATGTTGAAAGAGAAGAAAAAAGAAATAGAGTTACTCACAAATATCATAAAAAAACTATTATAATTTAATTTATAATTTGTTTTTTAGCAAACGAGTGGTTTAGCAGTTCAGTAGAGCGGTAAAATGGACGCGCGCTTTAGAAGCAATCTCGACATGATTGGGCGCAACGAGCCCATCACAAGGAAAGCCAGATTCTGGCAAAGTTATGTTCGAGCTTTAAAAGGTAATCCATTGTTTGTTAACAAAGATTAAATAATTTTAAATTAAACTTTTTTCATTTCATTTCTTTTTAATTTGAATTTTTTTTTAATTTTTTTTTTTAAATTGTTCAATTTCTTTTATAATTTATGTTCATGTGCTTCCAAATCTTCCAGATTTATTGATATATGTTCATATTATCATTATTATTATTTGTATTTTATATTTCATAATTATATTATAATATTAAAATGTATAAAGATGTAAGAATATATAACCTTGAAGAAATTCATGATAATAAAATTATTGATAATGACAGGCACTGATGATATCAGAGCCCCTGAGCACACACACAGACCCCGCAGTATTTTCCGCTCAGATTACCCTGAGCTGCATTCCACCTCGTGGCCATTTGGAAAATCTATCTTTGAAAATCCCATCCACGCAGCTGATCGCATCAACGTTCCTGGATACAGGTAAGATTATTTTAGAATTTCTTACCGAGACTACATAAAAATCAATACTTAAGAATTTTCTAATGAAACTTATAACTTTATATAATACATTATAAATTACAACTAAATTAAAAATGTATCAAATTGATTGATATTTCAAGGGCAGCAATATATTTAAGTAAATTATACTTTTCTGATATTTTTTCTAATAAAAATGAATTCTTATTTTATCAAGGTACCTGCCTGTTCACCGTGAGATCTATGGTTACTCACCGAGGCAGATCTACCCGCATCAATACAAACCTGTAGAACGCTTCATCCCTGGTACGTACTAAAGAACTCTGAGCAAAAGTCCAAAGAGAGTGAACGACGTCATAAAAACAAAAAAATTATATATAAAAATCATAAAAAAAAAAACAAAGAGAAAGAATCGAAAAAGTAAAACGCGAAACGAAACGAAAAGTTTGGAAAGCTTAAAATGTTCTTGTACTACACACGCATCTCGAACGTCTACGAACGAGAGAGAGGAGAATATAACAAAAAGTAAAGCAAAAAAAAAAGAAAAAAATAATGAAAGCAAAAAAGACCTGAGTGAGAAGGAAAAAGAGAATGAACGAAATAAACGCATGAGAATGTGGAACGAAAGCATCATCGTCGCTGTACCATTGAATCCAATTAATATAACTGCTCGTTCTCGGGGTTTTCTTCCTTAGTTAATAATTTAAGTTCTTCTCATTAATTTGTAACCAAGTGTTTTTGGCTTCTACCTTGATTGAACAAATGAACAATTTAGAATAAAGTTCAAACAATTAATAATAATAAAATTAATAAATAAAAAAAAAGAAAGGCAATCGACAAAAACATTTTTGTCGGAGGTGTAAATATTCCAGAATTTGCGAATTTTCCCTCCAAAGTCTTTTTCAGAAGCCAAAAACGCCATCTTGGAAGATCCGTCTTGTATCCTTAGAAAAGCCCTCCACCTTTGCCTGCACCTCAATCGTGACTAAAAAAGAAAGAAAAAAAGTGAAAATGAGTAAAAAGAAACAAGAAAATGTAAAATATATGGGATGTTCTACCTTCACCCTTTTGAAAAAACTTTTGTATTATATATCATCCCTATTCGACATGTAAAATGTATATGTATTCTCGGACATATACGTATTTTTATCGTGTTAATTTATCTCAAATTCATAATTTAATTCTATAATCCGTGTCTCAATACCTCTTCATGTACACGAAATCATGTCATGATATGTGTAATACTAATTTATTTTACTCCATGCACTTTGTATCTAAGTTATTATACTTATATCGCTATATAAAAATGCATCTATACATACGTATAAATATATATAATTATATTTAAAATGTGCCCCAAAACTTGTCTGCCTCGCGATTATATAATTCGTTAAACTGGATTCATTTTTATTTTTCTTTTTAAAATAATACGATATATTATTTTTCCTTTTTTCAAATGAAAAATAAGATTCAATTGACAAAAAAAGAACGGAGCACTTGACATCCACTGATGATCAACGCTCTACTGGTGTTCATTAGTGTTTAAATTAATATATATCATGATGAGATAGAAATAGTTTTAGTAATCAATTAACGATTAACTCGATCATGATAATAAAAAAGTTTATTAAAAATTATTTAAACGTAGATAGTACGTCATCAATAATCAATAATCATTTGTGATACTAGTATAATTTCTGTATCATTAAATCGATAATATAACATGTGCTACAGATCTTCATATACACTAAATACAACTCAATATGTTGTCTTATAATGTGAATAAGCAATTTTAAAAAGTAATAATAATAATTTATAGAAAATAATTTAGCAGCAGATATGATGAATTGATATGCTACAGTCTGTCGAAAATCAATTAACCGTTCAAGGTTGCTTCTTCCATTACAAATAATATAATTGGATACTAACGTGCATATCTTTTACATAATGTGATATTATGCATCTATAGCACTATGACTGAAACAAAATAAAACATATAAATTTAATAATATGATATAACTTAAAACAATAATAAATTTTTAAAAAATTATTTATGTGATTTTATATATATAGAATAATAATAGAAAATAATATAATTGAATTTAATTCCTAATAGCCTTGATTAATTAATTAATTTTTGTCAGACAAAATAATCTATATAATCTATAAATAATCTATATAAATTTCGATGACAATAACAATAAAAAATTAAAAATTGTAAATAGCTGCTCAAGATAATGTCCATCTCTGTTTCTAAAAATCATAAATCTAAATGAAAATTGAAAAATTTAAATAAATTAAACGTAACAAGTGATCGACGCTCGTACTAAGTGATTGAAAGTCCTTATAGAGGCAACATTCAACAGTGAATTAATAATTAAATTAATATAATTAATACGACCAATCACAATAATACGTTAAACATCGGTGGATGTATCTCATGTTGACATCATCAACATGAAAATATCGATGGATGGAAATGCCGACAATCTACGATCAGAAGACAGACAGAAATGTGGCCAGGCATCGTGGATCATCGTTCATCGATCATCGATCACACTATTATCATCATCATCATCATCATCCACGTTTCTGTCTTCCCACTTCGTTGTCCAGTTGAATGAAAACATCTCCAGCTAAGCTACTGTTCTCTAATGGAATATAAACGAATCGCATGCAGCTCTGATTCTAATTTCTTTCCAGGCACTAGACCCAACAAGTGGCTTTATCTCAATAATCTCGTCGATATGAGCAACCTTAGACGACAACAAATTGCACGACACTGGCAGACTAGAGAAACTAAACAGCGAAACACGCTTAGTACCCAAATACGACTTCGTCATTGCATACGAAGGAAGGATACTGACATTTTGCGCGATGCTAATTTACCTATCTTTTAACCCATTCTAATTTTTGGTATTTTCTTAATATTGCATAAAGTCATATCTCTATTTTAAAATTTAGATTAGTATCTTCAAATAATTGAACTAATTATTCACTTTAAATGGTACATTATCAACCAAAAGCATAAAATTATACTAATTTTTTCAATTCAAATTTTGTAAATTTTTTCATAAAGAATTATAAAATGATTATAAAATGATTTTTCACTCATCATAATTATTTAATTAAAAATATAGTATATATATATATACTATATTTTTAATCAAATAATTATGATGATATATATATGTCATTATATATAATATATCATTATCAAGATTATAAATTGTTTAAGTTATCTAATTTCATATCTTTTGGTTTGTATTGTACAATACCTGCAAAAGATACATAAAAATCAAACCCAAGTATATAAGGGTTCAAATCATACTCAATGCACTTACTCGTGCCACGGTATTAATCCATTTTCCTCATCATCAACGAAAGCAATGATTTCATATGCATCTAGTGCTTATATAGTGCTTGGATCTTCATCGATGTAGTCAGACGATCGTCGAGAGAATATCACGATTTTCCATGGTTCAACAAGAGCCTGAGAAAAGGAAATACGATCAAAGCCATCTCGAAACAGTGGCCAATACTACTTATGAATTGCTTATAATAAGCACGAGAAAGCTGCTGTACACTGTATATATATATATGAAATATTTAATAAAATAAACTGACTTAAGGAAGATATTGATTGAAAATAATTTTTCTATTTTTAATACTATAATTTGCTAAATTAATAAATAAATTATATTTTTTTATTTTGAATAGATATTTTTTCCTTTTTCAACAAAATTTCTTGAAAAAATTTATTTTTCTTACCATTTTTGGTGGTATTTTTTAAGATAGTTATTCAAATTATTCATAGACGAGTTTATATTGGAATGCAACAATATTTTTCGTTGCGTTTCGCTTGCGCTTCAGATTTTTGATTTTTCATTTTTTGGTGTAAAATTGAAGGACTTTTCATTTTTTTGCTTTTTTGCCCATAATGACAAATAATATTTAGGAGATATTAATTATTGCAGCTGAGGTGGAGGTCGCAGTTTGATTGACATGTAACAAGCATTCTCAATAATCTGGAAAAGAACGAGATATAAAAAAAATAATAATAATAATAAAAAATTGATTTGATATAGATAATCGCAAAAGAAAGTAAAAAAAAAGAATACAGCAGCGATTCAAACATAATTATAGCAAAGAATTGAATTTATATTTAATAAAAAGAAGATAGTCATAAGATTTAGAATTGAAGAGAAAAAAAAACAAAACAAAAAGAATGAATAAAAGAAAATTCAATATGGCCGCCAAACTTGAAAAAGCTGGAAATTTTCTCTCGACGCTTTCGCGTTTTTGATTACTGATTTATTGAATTCAACATCGTCACTTATCTCCACTTATTATTCAATTATTCGATTTTTATCTTTCTATATAATTTAATATAAATAGAAATAAAATAGAAAAGAATTGAACATAGGAGATGAAAAAACGATGAGGAACAATTGACACTCCAATTAATACACGCTTTATTACGCACGCGTAAAGTATTCTGTTTCTCTGACTAACAAATGATAATCAGCTAGATCCAAAAATTTCTATCTTTTTCAGGAAATGGCATGTCTTTTTTTTCTCTTATTCCAATCCCTTTAGCCTTTCCATTATATCAGCTTATGTACGATAATTGTGGATATTGTGCAAACTTATAATGCATTTATTTGTGTGCATTTATTTTATTTTAAATAAAAATTTTCTATTTAATACACTTTACATATAAAATTTTTTATGCAAATATCCACAAAATGACATAATATAATTATAATTCTTTCCTTCAATAGTGTCTAAATAGTGTCTCATAAATTAATCAAATTAAAAGTAATTTGACAAATTAATAAAATCATAAAGATGAATTGGTGATAGATTGTAAAAAAAAATTGATCTGTATTTCGTTCAATCTCGATGATAGCCACGACTTCCTAATAATAACAGAAATAACATTTTGGGGCGTTTCTAAATATTAAAAATCATTAAGCGATCTACAAGCAGTGTAGAAAAAAAAAAGAAAAACATTTTTGGAAAATATCATACTTTTTATCTCTCTACTTTTAACGGAGAGGATGATGTGATTTTTTGAGGCGGTATTTTTCAACCTCACCAGGTTAGTATACTTTTTTATAGTTACGTGGCGTCGTGTTATATTTCTTTTTTGTGAGAGCGTCTCGAATGTTTCGTTTTTCTCTTTTAGAAGGAAAGAATCGTGAGCTTCGATGGGCTTTATTATACATATGTATATCTATAGCTTGCAGATAGAGGTAGAAACATGCACGGTTTGAAAGAATGAAATATTTATAAACGGGGATAAATCCTTGTAATTCGCACTTTGTACTTTTACTTATTGGTTTCTATCAGATTACAATTGAACATGATTTAACAGAACTTATTAACTTATTATTCTTTTAGTTGAATGAAATATTTTAGAGAGTAAAATACTTTAAAATAAATTGTATGGATAAAAAATGTTATATGATTTTTTATCTTTTTATTATTTTTTAATTATAATATTATCAAAATTATATCAAATTTTATTATATTCTCTCTAAAAAGCACTCTATATTTTTTATTAAAATTACTCACAATATTGCATGATAGCTTAATAATATCAATATTGCTACTAATGATAAAAACATCTTTTTTTACGTTATATAAATGCTTTAAGCTAAAATACTAAAACAGAGAAAATGAAGCGCAAATGAATAATAATAATTCGGATATATTTCGGCCAAATTCGCGAAAAATAAACCGATGATACGCACGGTTTTCATATTAGGTGTTATGATCACATGTAGATTGTAGTATATGATAATTCATATAGAATGATTCATCGAAGAAAGACAATTGAAAAAGATGAATCTCAAATCTTTCTATAGTTTAGTAACATGTTTTTTTATGTGAACCTGTTATTTTTTTTTTTTTTTATAAAATATCATCAGTCCTTCTCGATGGAATATAAGTTCTTCTTCGAGTAAACAAATCTTATTCTCTCTTTCCAAGATTTCAAGTCATTCTATTATATGAAAAAAATTTTATTAAAAATATTATAAATACTTAAAGTATTTTAAAGATTGTATTTCTTTTTTTACTCGAAGACAAGTCCATGCAAAAAATTGAATCGGATTTATAGTATTTGATTCGATTTTTTATTTATATTTTATATACTGAGATCATAAGAGTTATCAACAATTCATTGATAAATCAAATTGAAATAAAATTTTTTTAAATATCTATGGTAATATTACATATAAGATATAAATAATTATTTATTAATCATGATTTATCAAAGAATTTTTTTATAAGATAAAATTCTCTTGTCTTCTCTTCTTACCTTCATTTATTTAAGCACGTAACATCGAGAAATTCGCCTTGTCTTCAATTACAAATCAATATTTCATATAACAACGCGCGTTAAATGTTAAAAGTCACGTAATGCTTGACGAACTGTTGAATTCTCGATGTTGCATAAGTTTATCGATGCGTTTCTGTATAGATCAAACCCTATCGAACTTATTAAAAAATGCTAAAAAAAAATTAAGAAAAAAATTTACAAAGTATAAAAAATTCAGTATAAATATACTTATATACAAGAATTTTAAAATTGTTGCATTTTCATTAGGATTTTTATTCTATTATGTCTAGAAATATAAATAATTTTCTAAATCTAATAATAAATAACATGTATATCCAAAATGTTGCTCACAAATGAACTTACTAGAAATTACTTACTAGAATAATTGCAATGAATATCCAATTATTTTGAGCCAACATCAAAAAGTTCAGGAGGGTGAGATAGACAGGGATGCATGATTGCCACGAACGAATTTTTGTTTCATTGCCATGAATATCACAATACAGCGAAACCATTCGACCCTGAGCAAGCTTGGGCTGATCATCTGAATCGCTTGGCAGACATTGACAAGCTGTATCCAAGCAAATCGCCTTTGTTGGCTCGGCATATTAGCCCTCCTCTCAGTACGAAACGATTATTCGATATCCACGGTGAGTACCACTCGTTGCTTTAACTTCCTCTCAGATGTTTGATTTGATATAAAAGTTTTCATCATAAACATTGGATCTTCACACATAATTTATTAGAATATCAGTGAAATAAGTTTAATAACAAGTGTGAATAAAATAAGTGAAAAAAATAAAGAAGAAAATTCAATTCAATTTCTGTTGCATGCTATGCTATCTCTTTGTGACAAATTGTTGAACATTTGTGTGAAGATTATTAATGTAAATATGAAAACTTATACATAATTTGGATTTTAGTGAAATCATAATCGAAGAAGTTATTATGCTGATGTAGTGAAATGTTTCTATATACTGATTAAAGAGTTATTTGTTCTTTACATGAATAGAAATATCTTTTTACACTATTTTTTATACTTATTAGGTTATTTCACAGTTTCATCATTTGCTGATGAAATTGTGAAATATTTTCAGTCATTTAAATAATTTCTTTCTCTCATTTATTATTAGAATTTGTTTATTCATTATTTTACTTTATATTTCATGAATCTTTTTCTTTTTAAACATCAAATATTTTCACCATTCTTAAATATAAATATTAATTTGTTATTTAAATATAATTATAATGTTTCTTATTTACATCTCAAAATTCAGAATATAATTATGAAATTTATAATAATATTCCATTAAATTATTAAAAAATCTTAAATTATTTATCTTGTATTTTTTAATATGATTCATTAAAATCTCAAATTCCATAATAAAATATTATAATTATCGTATTGTCCAATGTTAAAAAAGATGAATAAAAACCTGTAAATGAAAATTACTTTTAATTTCAGGTAACTTGGTAACCGATTACGATTATTTACCATCGTTCCCTTCGTTGTTACGCAAGAAACCATTATTCGATCTCCTTGAGCCATCAGCAATGGCACCGATCAGCGCTTTCACTAGAGACCCATGGTGGTATCCTAGTTATGCTCCTTATATTCCAAGTTATGCTGCGAAATCCACTCCGTTTTATCTCAGAGATAGTTACCTAAGTCCTGTTAAACGTAGCTATCTATGGAGTCGACATCCCATCAGGCCTTTTGGTACGTATTCACTTTATCTTGTTATTAGAGATACTTTAATGAACAAAAAATAATTCTTTCTCTGAGAAAATAATCTTAGACTTATCTTTTAATAAAGTACGATTAAAAGTACAGTTAGAGTGTTATTGTTCTTTTGAAATATCTATTTTCTTTTGAAGTATACTATTAGTGATACATCAATTATAGATGTTTATATATTTAGAAAATATATATATGGAAACAACAAGATAAATTAATTGTAATAATTACTTCATTTTTTAAAATAATAGTTTTATAAAAACATTTATTTCTTTAAATAAGTCAATTTTTTCAGATAAAGAATGAGAAAAGATTAAAAACAAATTTGAAATAAACTATAATTCTTACCTTTATTTTCTTTTTTCATTATTTTTAATTATTTTTAAAAATCAATTTTTTAAAAAAAAAATCAAAAATTAAATCGTTGATTTCTCTAGAATTTAATAAATTATATACCATCACATAATTCGTCTGCAAACATCTGAAAACATCACATAATTCGTCTAAAAACATTGCAGTCAGCATGATTTAATAAATTACAGAGCAAAATTTATACGTAATACAAATTCAAAAATTTTGCAAACTTCTATTGCAAAATATCAACGAAAATATAAATATCTAAATACATAAGATTGTTCAAAAATTTCTGGACAGTTACCATCTCGTTTTTCACATTCATAAATTCGCTCTAAATTCATGAAATTAGAACATGATATAAATCAACAAAATGAAAAATAATACATAAAACAACTATTTAAAAAATTTTTGACGTTATTATACTTTTTCATAATAAAAGAACACATAATATTGTTATCGACTATTTATAATATCGATATGTCAGCATTTAATTATTTATAAAATTTTACAATTATTTCAAATTTCTTTTCACGAATGTTCGATCGAGCGTTCAATTACATAATATTATAATATAAAATTATGCTTGGCATTATTTGACCAATTGTTTACTATTTGGCTCAAATGTATGTATTGTTACTTCTGCGAATTATCCGCGAAATTCGCGGTAATCCGTGCCAAACGCGAACTTCCGGCTTCGAGCCAAATATACTTCTTTCTTTTGGTAGTCGATTAATTCACGTGTCATCGGATTCTATTAAAATCCTATTATTCAACTCTGTAACTATGTGAATCGAACAATTAATATTGCATAAAAGATTTATTATTAGAAACTCATTAAAATCTGATAGATCATATAGAAATAATAATTATTTCATACAAATTTTACTTAAGATGATTAAATGTTAACAAAACATTATGAATTAAAAATTAAGTTGAATTTTTTTTGTTTAAATTTTTCGAATTTTTAATAAAAGATAAAAAATATGAAGTTTATCAGAATATAAGTCTTATTTTTAAAAAAGCAGATTATATATTGTTATTTTACAAAAAATTCGAATCAATAATCTATTTTTTTATAACAATGACATTATGATAAAGGTAACACTTCCTTGGATAATCGGTATTTAAATATCATTATTATATTAAGATTCAATATCTTCTATTCAATAATAATTCAATATTGAAAAAATTTTTTACAAAAAAAATTATTTATAGATATTTGTAAACCAAAAATTGATAGTTGATTGAATTTAGAGATAATTTTAAAATTTTAAAATATACTTACACAAATACTTGATTTTAAAATTTTAAAATATACTTATACAAATACTTGATAATAAATATTGTCAAAGATGATATTGCAATTTTTAATCTGGTTACTAATTCTGATAATAATGTTGTTGACTTTACAACATTGTTTATCTCGAAAAAATTTTATATCGATATGAAACTATTTATTTTTTCAATATGTGCATTTCGATCGATATTCGTGTGAGAAATATATATCTATTCGATGTTTCTATACAAACAACTCAAATTAATTAATTCAAAAATGAACAGAAGTGATATGCAATTCGAATATATCTGTTATATTTCAGGAGCGTTATACTACTATTATTCGCAGCCAGTTCCACGATTTCACTTTACCCGCCCATGGTACAATAAACGTACCACATATTAAGAAACAAAGTGAGCGATAAGATTAAAATGTGGCCAAGTATTTCACTTACCTTTCATGTTATCCTTACATGTTAATTCTACCAACAAACAATCAGGAAGAACGATCACATCATACTGCTGTATATATTTCTGGCTACGATGAAATTTATTTATCAATTAACATGCAGCTAAATGTAACAAACATAACAGGACAAAAATGAAATTAGTTTTAAATTTAGAATCATTATTATATTTCGTGCCATTTGGATTGTTCGAGTAAACAAATTGAAATATCTGATTCTAACTATGTCATTATAAAATTATAAATTACTTACCTTTTTATAATCCAAAATGATCCAATTAAAAACAAAAAAAGACGAAGAATTCACAAAAAAAAACACCACACATTTTGTCTGTATTTTGTACGTGACTTATGTGCCTGGATTTACAGCGCCCTCTAATAGGATTTTTTTATTTGAAACTTGCTCCTCTATGTATATTTTACTCAACTAATATGCAATATACAATTGTGTACATATCGACTGAATATTGAGGCATGCTCTGCAAACAGAAACTTCTGGAATAAATTCATATAAAGAAAATAAAATCATATAAAGAATATTTATTCTTTATTTTACAATTATTGTTTTCATAAATCCGTAGTTTGTGTTTGTAGATGATGTTCGATATTTAACCAGCAGCTTCAGATGTCTCACGAGATATCGACAGATACCGGAAACACAATCCGTGTCGAAAATATTTTTCTTACCGTGTAAAGATATATTTCCTTTCTCTCCTTTGTTGAAAGATATTCTAATTCTTATTATGTGTACACCTACTATATCCTTATTTTATGTTTTGAGAGTTCTATAGAATACTGTATTGTATTTTTGTATTTTAAAACATGATAAAAATTCATTCATTATTAAAAATTGTAAAATTATTTAAACAATTACATTCCAAAGGTTAGAACTACTTAGAACTCTCGAAGCAATATTCATTTTATTATATTTTTCGATTAATATTTATATCAATCAATCGATTTTTTTGCAGCTCACGCCTATTGATGACTGATCGTCGCCCCGAATGGAACGCGTGATACGAAAATAAGCGATGAAAAAAACCAAATAAAATTACGAAAAAAGATAACAAAAAAAAGATGTGAAAAAGTATTTACATCGTATCCTAAACAACTATTCGATACCTATTGCCTGATTATTTTTTTTCTCACAGTACGTATCATCGTTCACGGAGTTCTATTTATTAACGTTTCTCACCATGGTTTATTGTACTATTCGTTCGTGCTGTCTACGAATAAAATAAACACTGCCCAAATTTTACTACAAATCTTCTTTTTTTACAAAAACAATATGATCATATACACGCGATCTTATCGCTTCCTCTTTCTTATTATTCGCATTTAAACATATTTAATGTAGAGCCAAATGTTAAGCTCACGGAAACAGGTTTGTACAACAATATGCATATTTATTATCTGAAAGTTTTACATCTTTAGGATGTTATTGAATTAGCTTATTCTGTCGAGATTCGATTAATGTAACAATAGCTGATTATGTGCACATAACTAGTATTATTATCTTGTATTTGACAGAGCATTGTCGAATCTCGACCGATCAGCCATTTACAAATATAATATCTATGTGTATAATTTACGAGTCTCAGACAAAACGCATATTATCGAGGGATCACAACCGCTTCTTTTACAATTAAACTTATATCGGGAACGGGAGAGAGAAATAGGGAGAGAGAAATAGGGAAAGTCAATGGCGAATATGAGAGAAGAAAAATGGCCATAATTAAATCGCCTTGTTTAAATCACATAATCAGTATAGAACTTACCTAAATGCTAAAAAAAGAAAATTTAACAGTCACAATTTCATCAAATATGCCCGTTATAATAAATTCATGTTTTTTCTCTATTTAACAATTTATAATAATTAATTCATTTATAATAAATTGATTAAAAATCTCTGAATATATAAAAAAAATTTACTATGATTCATCCTCGTTCCTTAAATAATAATTTTAATATAAATATTTTAATATAATAATTTTAATATAAATATTCATATAAACGAACTTAATAATCGTTTTTAATCGTCTAACAATGCTTTAAAATTGATTTATTTCACTTTCAGATAATAAGTTTGATCATTTCATCATTCACTTCTGAAATTGTATAAGTTAATCTGATGATACGGTGTAATCTAATATATTTTTTGTTTTCTTTTTTTTTTTATTTTTTTTCGTTTTTTTCAAATAATTTATTCTTTTATTTTTCATGTATTTTTGGTAAATATTCTTACTTATCTCTTATACACGTCGATATCAAATCGTTTTTGATATTTTTTCTAGATTTTCATTTATGTAAAAACTATTTTTTATATTGCACAACTTAACAGATAATTATTAAGTAATTAATGCAAAAAAAGTTTTTCTTAAAACAATTAAAAAAAAAGTTAATATTTTAAAGTAAAATAAAAATGAAATATCATATAATTGTTATGTTATTTAAATACTTAATAAGTAGAATTAAATGTATAATATATTTTATATCAGTTAATTATATACCTAAAAATCGAGTTATATTTGAAGAAATAAAGTTCAAAACATCTGAAAGTGAAATAGAAATGACAAAATCTGAGGACTTTCCTTTTTTATCCATTAACAAATATGATTTACATTTTAATAATTTGGTACTTCGTAGATCGATTTAATACATATACTTTTATATACCTATTTTATCGCAAGATTAAAATCTCTCAATGATTGAGATTCTTTTTCTTAAATACAACTTTGTAATAAGTATATTTTGCATCTGAAATAATGTTTAATACCCATTTATTTCTTTCGAGTATATGTCCTTCAAATAAATGCAGTAATAATAATCTGCATAGAATCATCATCTTAAAAATACTGATTCTCTATTTTTTTTCTCTTATTTTTCGTTTTTAGAGAATTAACAATCTAATATTCCTACAACATATCTTAAACGTGCGAATACTAGAAATTAAAGTATTCAAACGTGCTTAGAGATATGATTTAATGATTAAAGAAAAAAATAAAATAGAAAAAAGTATGAAGTGAAATGAAAGAATATCTATGTACATGATATAGCGCATTTCATTAAACAATAATAATTAAATCAGTTGCAAAGCAATGGCAATGATATTATTAAGATATTAAGAGTAATCAGCAATGTATCTAATAATTACACTGAACATTAAACATGGAAGCAATAAATAGTTAAAATGAAAATGATAATTTGAATTCCTTTTAAATACTAATGGCAATTAAAGGACCACTCATATTTAGAAGATACATATAAATAATTTTGAGAACACGGAAGTGATCCTTGATTCAAATGAAATGTATGTGAAAAAAAAGTTTTTCAATAACTATATTAATTATCATATTAAGATGTAAGTCAAGGAAGAGATAATTTCTCTTGATACTTTATTCTAAAACATAAAAGTAATACTCATGGAAAAGCATTAACAAAGTCAGAATTACTTCTTTTTTTTTGTTTTTGTTTGTTTTTAAACTTTTCATAACAAGCACTCGGGAGCCGTTCTATCGATTATTTTTAATTACTAATCAGTCAACATAATAATTACTTAAAATGCTAGATTGAAATTATACTCGAAGGAAAAAATTAAATCTGCTTTTTTTAAAGTCTTTAACGATCACAAAAAATTCTCGACGATCAAATATCACTACGTGTCTCATTCATTCCTTTTGTTTTTTTATTTTTTTGTTTTTTTTTTGTTTTTTTGTTTTTTTTCTTTGCTATGCATCTGTTTGGCATAACCGCTAGTTAGTGATAGAACATATCATACAATGTTATGCTCTTAATGTTCGCGCCTTAACAAAAATTTGGTCGCCTTATCGACGAGTTTCCTTAACTGAAGGAAAAACCGAGTACAAGGCTGTCATTTCTTTTTGGCTGGATTCCTTTGTGGTGTAGATGGTCTAGTGGCTTGACCCGTGTTCAAACTTAAGTACTGGTATTTAGCTTTCTTTTCTGATGGTTTCAAAATCTGCACGTATACGATTAATAAAAATTAAACAAAAATGTAACATGAAAAAATAAATGATAAGTATATTAAATATTGATGAATTTTACCTGAAAACTGCACATTAGAGTTTCGTCGACGCTCATCATTCCTCCAGCATTATCGAATTCTCCGCAATAATTTGGCGCGGAAAACAAGGTAACTAACTGTCTTTTCGCAAAAAATTCATAGCCATCTTCGACTACTTGATGTGCTCTACATATTAAATCCATATCATGACGATTTAAGAACTTCGATACTACATCTGGACCAAATGTGAAAGATACACCTCTATCATTTTCACCCCATCCCTAGAACATAAAAAACAAAGTCCAAATATATTAGATTAAAATTATAGGAAATATCCAGAATATAATCAAATATATAATGAAAAAACATTACCTGGACTTCTTTATCTGGATCTGACCATAACAAATCACAGAGAAGGCCAGTATCAGGTACATCTGTCGGACGCATAATTCTTTTGATTTGTTCCATATTCTGTTGAATAAAGAATAATAAATTTTTTTTGCACTTTTTTTTTAAATTAATAATTTTATAAAATAAATATTATTTATGATAAAATTTGATTACAATAATTATAATTTTTAGTAGAAAAATAAGAAATAATAAAAGCAAAATAACGTTAAGAATTTTTTTTTAAACGATGATTCTTTTATGAATGATAAAAATCAATATTTTATTATATAAAAATAATAATCTTTTGACATTCTAACCAGGATCAAACGTTTAATATTTTTTTTCTTAGGTTTATAAATAGAAAATCAATATTCCAACTGACAAGTTCTTTTTTAAATTTTCTTTCATAAATTAATATGTTACCGGGTAATTCTAAAAACAAAACATTTAAAGATACAGATTTTTATTATTGATAATTAACAAGAATCAAGATAATTATCAAAAATCCCATAAAATTAAAAGTATTGTTAAAATTTAGAAACATTAAAAGCCATCTATCAATTTAATTTTTATTTTTTAAATAAAAATTGAATATTAAATTTCTTTCATAAATATAAATTTCACGTGATATTATTTGTCTATGATTATACTAGAAGCATTATAAAAATTTTATAAATATATTTTTAATTTAATATACAAAAAAATAACATTTAAAATTTTATTTGGATAAAAAATCTATTAATATTATAATTTTTTTTATTTTATTTCTTGATATATTCCAAATTCTAACATATTTTGCGCATATTACTTTAACATTTTTTATTTCTTAATAAATATAAATATTCGAAAATTATTTCAAAAAATTTTGCAAATTATTTATGCAAATGTTTAATAAACCAATATTCATATTTCATAAAATAGTTGTAAGTTGTTACAAAATACTCTTTAAGACTACATCGATCTTTAACATAATATTTCCGCACGTAATATTACAAACTTCCTGTCTAAAAAAAAACCTCTTGATCAATATTTAAAAAATTTCTTAAATAAATACGATCTTTTATCTTCTAAATTTTTTATGATTGTTAATAATTCTATAAAATTCTATAAATAATATAAATATTAAATAAAATATAAATAATATAAATAATATAATATAAATATAAATTATATAAAAATATTTGACAAATTAATTTAAATTATTCAATTTTTAATCATTTCTGCATATCTTATACAAAAAATTTTGAAAACAATTCTCTCGAAAAATCAATATTAAAATCACCTGAAGATCTGGACTGAGACCTCCATGACAGCAAAATATCTTCTCATCGATGATCGCGGCGATTGGAAGACAATTGAAGCAATCGGTGAACGTTTTCCATAGTTTAATGTTGTACCGCCTCTTGCACTCGTCGTAGAATCCGTATATCCTGTTTATACTTGCGCATTCATGATTGCCTCGCAATAGGAAGAAATTCTCCGGATATTTGATCTTGTAGGCAAGCAACAAGCATATCGTCTCTAACGATTGTTTGCCCCTGTCTACGTAATCACCAAGAAATAAGTAGTTCGCCTCTGGCGGGAAACCGCCATATTCAAATAGCCGTAACAAGTCAGTGTATTGGCCGTGAATATCACCGCAGATCTTAAGTGGCGCCTCCAATTCGAGCAGGATCGGTTGTTGAAGGAAAATTTCCCGTGACTTGAGACAAAGGCCACGCACCTCTCCCTCCGACATTAAGACGGTCTTTCCTGGTCGGCATCCTCGGACTGCGCCCAAAAATTTCCACGTTTAAATGCATTTCCTGCCCGTTCCCGGAATGTCGGCGACGCATCGCGAGGCATCGGTGAGTCGTTTTGTCACAGGTACATCGAGCATAATTCTACGCTGGAGCATGAAGGTATCTGATTGCCGAGAACCGATTTTCAAAGGGGGAACAAGGGTAATACGATTACACGGATTCCACGGACCGTCCTATTGTTCGGGTTTTCTATTGTTGCTTATATAAATACGGTCTGATATGTTCGGGATTGTTGAGTTAATTTTCGATCGACTCGAATGACAAAGTTCGTTATTCATATATCACATTTTATGCTTAATTCTTCGAAACAATATTTGGATCTTATATATTTTCTTTTATTTTAAAACATTAAACATTTTTTATCGATCCTTTTATTTTATAATATTTTATGAATAACAAATATTAGTTTTGAATTTAAGAAAGTTTCAAAACTTTATAAATCTAACTTAACTTTATCGAAATCTAATCAAAAATTTTAATTCAATTTCACTTATTTACTATGCATATATTATATAAATTTTATATTGTGATTTGTTTGTGATTTAATATGTTTTGTAAATGTAACTTTTAAAGTTGCTTTAAAATTGAAACTTTCTTAAATTCAATTAATTCAAAGAATATATTTAACCAATATGTCAAATATTAAAAAATATAAGAATCAGTAAAAAATTATTGATGTTACAAAAAGATTTAGTCATATATTTGTATTAATAGCAACATTAATGATTGATATTCTGCAAAGATAAAAGAATTAAACGCAGGAGGTTCAATCATGAAAACATCAAGCGATACGATATATATTTTCTTCTGATGCAATAATCGGGGACACAAAAGGTTGTCGTATGCTGTAGTTATAATGCTTCGAAGGGATTAAGCGGCTGTATGAGTTCGAATAATACGCCGTATAAGCATAAACTTGTGGAATAGTCGAAAACAAAAGCTTGAAATCGGTTGGTGGTCACGCGTAAATACCACTGATCGTGATATATGAATATAGATTACGAAAATGTAGACGAATATATGGAATGATCATGAACAAATGATTATGAGCAAAGAAATGTAAAATTTCATTCGTAGATTATTTTTTAGAACCTTGTATCAGTGTCATTGGATTATTTATAGTTATAAAGGAATTCACGGTGCGGTTAAACTGGGCCGATGGTGGTTATTGGAAAACTGCATATCAGCAAGGTCACATCACGAGTATCTAAGCATTATAATTAATGATGGAGAGAGAGAACGAGAGAGGGGGGAGGGAGGGAGAAACAAAAAAGATGGAATTTCTGTTATGAAAGAATGATAAAAAATTCGAAAATGACAAAATGTCGGAAATGACACCTATTAATAATACAGTTATTTACGGAAACAGAACATACGATGAAAAAATTGTAGCTATCGTCATCGTTATATTTATTCACACGCAGTAGTTTGAATTGCTCTTTAGTCGCGTACTGCAATTTATGTTAATAGCATTATCAATTCGTATACTAGAATAGATACTTGGTAAAAAATTTAGTTATAGATAAAACAAAAAATATCATAGTTATTCAAAAAAATTATTATTCTTCGCCAAGCATTAACATCTTCATTCTAATTAAATAAGATTTTTTGCAATTCTAAAAAAATGAAATTTCTTATCAAACAATTATTAAAAATTTATACATATATAACATACATATATAACATATCTAATTTATTATATATAGTATATATATCATTTAATATTTGTTAATTTTTTTGATACAAAATGACAAATAAAAAAGAAATTAAAATTATTTATATTTATTTATATATTAAATAAGAATCTTATAACAAATATATTTAATAAATAAAGTCAGTGTTGTAATATACATTAACTGAACACATTAATAGAAACATATGTCAAGATTATATATATAAATAACATTAATATATATATTGATACTAAACATTTGTGATAATACATCAAATTGTGCCATAAGTTTTTGAAAAAGAATGTGATATTATTTTCCAAAAAAGTAGTCTAATTTGATAAGAAAAAAGAATAATAATTATACATATACTATTGTTATAGAAGCTTAATTCAACACTGACAAGTATCATATCAAGCATGCAAATAAACTAATCTGCATTCAAGCAATATTTTACGTGCAAATTGGATTGTTACAAATTATATTTTTTATATGGTTTATTATTCACAAAAAGTGATTTGAATTCAATGTTCTCGTTACATGGATAGTCCCAAAAGCTTTATCCTAACTAACAAAAATTTTATCTTAAATATATTATTCTATATATGTTTTATATACAGTTTTAATTTAAATATATAATTAAATATATAATGAAAAAAATTCACATATAATCAATAATACCTTAAAAGCTAATGGGACATCATCAATATGATGATAAAATTGATTGAGAATGAAGATGATATCTTGGGAGAACTTCAATATTGCAGGTGCCACAATGCTATATCTAGCTTCTACTTCATTTTACATTATAAATCATAAGCAAATGATGGAGAGCGTTCACGCACGACGTTGAGGCAGGTAAAGACGCAACTAAAGAACGGAAAAAACTACATGGGGTGGTTTCCTTATTGCGTACCGACAAAATCCGACGAGAAAATATCTTTTAGCTTGGCTTTCTTCTGAACCTGGTCTTTCTGCGTGTGGTATACTTTACCGCAAAGAGTTCCGACATGTAGCATGAGAAAAGAGAACAAACAAAAGAAAATAGTTTTGCCTTCTGGGAAAATAAATAAAAATACGGAATAAATCCAAAGACGTCTGGCATGTTTAAAGAATTACGACAACTGCAACACTGGAAGATCGATATTTTTTTCTTTTTTTTATCTTTTCTCTCTATTTAATATCTACGGATCACGAATTAAACGAACTTTCGACAAACGAGGAAATTCGAGGAAAACCATTTGTAGACTCGTGATACACAGATATCGGATGACAAAGTAGATCGCGCACGATTTAATCTTCCTCTGGCTGGAAAGAAATGTATATATACTCGATGTACGCGGCGCGACTTCATATCGAGCAATTTTCACTGGGTATTACGAAAAAAACTTTCGATTAACTGTACACTAAACTGAAGACTATATTACCAAGAACAACTTCACACTTTCTTTTCACAGAGGCCTCTTTTTTTTATCACGTACCTTCCAACAATCTTTGTATCAGGTTGTCGACGTTCAACTCGACATCCGCCATTTTTTCTTGCCACTGACTGACTAACCTGATGTTTGTAGACTAGATGATATGTTTGTATACGCATTTAACTATATATGACTCTTGTCGATTTGTATATATATATGTAAATTATTATCGACTGCTGGTCCTATGTAAATACGAAAAAAACATAGTAAACTTAATATTAAATATTAGTTTTAACATAAAATGATTATTGATTTGGGTGAATATGCAATATATTGCATTATATTGCATTTGATTTTTCTTTTTTTCTCTTTTCCTATATGAATATTTCAACAATAATACGTCTTATATAACATAAAATTTGTTGTGTTCTTATGTAAATGAATACGTTATTTACATATTGTGGGAATATTTATGATTTAATCGTATTATTCAATTTGCAAATTTTGCTTCGTTTTACAATCTAAGGTTATAGATGATATAGATATTTTTTGATAATCTGGTGTTTTGACGAATAAGTTCAAGGTGTTGGAAAAAATTCATAAAATATCTGAAGAATGAAACGCAAATAATGTAATCATTTTCAAGAATATCCATTTGTTTGATAGATTTAATATATTCGTCGAAATGTTAATTCGTCAAAAAATATATCTACTATAATTGAAGTTTAAATATTTAAATCTATAATTGATAATTTTGCATAAAATACAATACATTATATATTTATAAATAAAATCATAATCTACCTTATACATTTTCGTATAATACGTCATAAATATACATATGTATATATTATAATTTTTTAATTGCAACAATTTAAAATAAATTGAAATTATTCAAAAGGAAGATAAAATTATAGAATATATTTAGAATGGTATTAATTAAAAATAAGCTATACTCATGAATTAAATGTTTCTAAATATGTATAAAATTGTAATTAGATAGTTAAGTAGTAATACATTATATTTACAATAAATAAAAGATTATTCATTAATTTTTAGCTTAAACTAAGACATATTACATTTTTTTAATATTTTTTTTATACATTTAACAAATTAAGAATATATACTTACAGTTTAGAAAAATGTTGATTAATATTCAATACACAATTTTTCAAATTCTTATATGTTCTTATAATAACCTATTTTTATATACTGAACTATTTCTAATGCATCAATATACACAATTTTTAAACAAATGTTGCAGCTGCTGTACTTATAGTCTGGGATATAAAATAATAATAATATTGTTGAATTCAATTAAAAATATCCAATGTTTATAATAACTTAAGCATATTTCCTATGATAATCAGGTGGTGAATCTGCATAATCTTGTTGAAGATTAAAAAGTTCAGTATTATTTTTTTGTAAATATAATAAGAAATCGTGAAAATGAGACAATAATAATTGTATGCTTCTTTCATCTAATGTAGTATATGATAACATTCCTCCAAGTCTCACTGTAAAGATTAATTAAATTAATAATAATGTTTTCTATTATATATTTAATATATTATCATAAAATATAATTACAAATAGTACCAAACAGCCTCAATAAATGAAATGCACCATATAGTTGACTTGGCAGTGTTTCAGGATTATCATTCATAATTTGAATAAATTGTGGACGTTCCCATTTATATAATAATTGTAAACCTAATGAAATATTGAAATATTCGCGAATACCTTTAGTTATTTCTAATGTACTTTCCCTAAAAATAGATAAAAATATTAACTTTATAATAATATAACTTATATATAAAACTATATATAATTTAAATAGATAAAAATATTAACTTTACAGAAAAAATATAATATATAAAAAATAATACATTTTTAAAATTATAATACAATTACCTGACAGAATCATTTTTTCCTATTGATTTTGATTCTACATAGTCATCTAAAATTTTATCAACTGTATTTTTCACAGGCAAAGCAGGCAATTTATGATGTTTTAATATTACTTCTGATTCATCTATAAGTACATATTTTAATTCTTCTGGAATCTTAATTTTAACCTCCACTTTAGTGAGATATTCTTCTGTTTCACCAGATGGTTCTAATCGGCTATAATAAATTTTATATTTCATAGTTTATTAAATGAAATTTTTTCATAAATTTTAATAAAAGTGAAATTTCTTTGACATAAACCTGCGTTTTTTACGTGGAGCATCTGAAGTAGAATCATGAGATGATGATGGTGTTACATTGCTACTGGTACTTTTATTAAAACGACTAACACCTTTATCAACTGTTGCAACAGGAGTACTAGCTCTGCTGTCAGTATCCTTTTCACGTCCACCTTCACTTCTACGTCCTTGTGTTTTAGATGAGGTACTGCCCTTTTTATTTTTTTGAGCAGATTGTTGATTTGAATGTGCTCTTTGAACCTCTCTTTGTCTTTGTACATTTGCTTCGTTATATTTAAGTACTCTACTTTCCGGAACCCATTCATCCCAACTATTTATATTAAATTTATATATTTATAATTTCAATTTTATAAACATATAATAAATAAAATATAAATCTTACTTTTTATTCCATCCAGCATAATGAATAAAATATTTTATCTGTTTTTCTTTAGTAATGGAGGACTTTAGACATTTTGCTTCATATATTAATGGCCCATGAAAACATAGAACCTTTTCTCCTATAAATTATCACATATTTATTAAAAATCAAATTAAAAAATGAAAATAAATAAAAAAATATTTATTATTCAGTGATTAAACATCACACAAATATATCTTGGAATTTTTCATAGTTGTATTAAAAATTAAATGTATACCTTCTTGAAATTTACACTTCGGTGGCATACTTATCTCCTTTGAATTACTTATTTTGACTGTTAGTTTTTAAATCGTCAATTTTAAATATTGCCTAAATTTAGGAAATCGCTCGATAATTCGCGCCAATGAAAAACAATTGATTTCCACTGATAAATTTAAAGCAGAACTTTGAATATAGTGTCTTAGGCTTTATGTTCTTGTATGTTCACATCTAAAGGTTAGTTTCCAATATGAACGATTATATTTATAATAAAAAAATTTTAGCATTAGGGATTTTTCATTTGCACAATTTTCAAGCCTGAAACGCATATTTAATTTAAATTTAATTTGAGACTTGATATAAGAATAGATAAAAAAACAAAATTATTAAAACATTAGGTATATTTCTTTATGCTAAAATAAGTATTGCATATTGATTACAAATGATTAACATAACAGTTATATATTTTTTTAAGCCAAATGTACAATTTGTCAAGTGTATACGATAATTATCTATTGCTTATTCTAACCTATAATTTATTGATACAAAGTATGAAAATAACTACTAATATTATGAGCATATATACATTATGTCTTAACTTCATTTCTGTATATAAGATTATTATTATATATAAGTATATATAAAAAAATTCATATATATATATATATATATATATATATATATGAAACAAAAAACGACGTTTACTCTATAAGCGCTAACGCGGGAATGCTGAATGATCAATTGTAGCGCGACAATAAGTAGTAGCTCGCAAACATTGCGCATGCGTGCTATATTTGAAATAAGTAAATATGAAGATTTTTCATTGTTAATTTATATTATAATATTTTTGTATGTATTTTTTAACTTTTTTCCCTATAACGAAATCATAATTAAAATAAAATATCAAAATCATAAATTTAAATGTTAAAATTATAAATCACTTTACTTATATAAATTCATAATAATACACGGATGTGTCAAATATAGAGACGTTTATAAAGATCAAGTTTGAACTTGAATGAAGTTTCGACGCTTTATTTTTTTTATACCGTTATACGTATTAAACGTACATAAAAAATATTTTTTCTGCTACATTATTCGTTATTTTTTATATAAACATTTAGAACTTATATGTAAGTTTTACGAACAAATTTTCCGGTGCAAAATTATATATATCAACTTAAATTTAAAATCAAATCGAGTAAAAACGTACAAATGTTTAACGTCGAACAACGAAAATGTCGATTCGAATAGATTCTTATTTTTTATAATAAGATAAACGAAAATTATATTATACGAAAAATAATTTTTCGTATAATAAAGCATGATAAGTGAAAAAACACGAAGGTTATGGTAAATTAAAAACATCACATCTCCCTATGACGTTACACAAGGTTATATTTTGTAATTTCCTGTTCAATTTTTTTTTCTTTTTTCAAATCTTCTTTTTACTTTATCTTTCGACGGGTTGTGCCCGTAAAATGTGACAAAATTCTCATTCGTCGTATTGGTACATACATTGTTTAATTTCTTTTTATTTTTTCTAAGATCAGAATTAATTTTTTTTTTCTTTAATATTATTTCTGAACAGTCTCTCAAATACAATCGTAGAAAAGTATATTTGTTTGCGTACATATACGTACGTGCAAATAGTGATAAAAAAATCATTAATGAATTAGGATCAAGCTAACTTTAAAGAATATCAATATTTCTAAAGCAACGCGTTTCTAATTCTTTCTCTTTTTTTCTTAGTTTAAATAATCGAATCGTCGTTGTTGCTCGCCGCTAACAACAATAATAATTTATTCTCGATGCTTGGTTTCGCATAGATCGCGTTAAGTAAAGATCATAAAACTCTCGCTAAACGAGAAAAAAAAAGATTAAGGAAAGACTCTGTCGTCCATTATAAAATATAAGAAGCGCCTTATTCGACAGACTGCCAGAAGAGAGCCAGAGATTTTTCACGAATAATCAGGCTTAAAAAATGAAAATTCGATGGACTGCCATCTTCGCGATAAGTTATTATAAAAAGATCCCGGAAAGTCTGAAAACGTCGGAACGACAATTTTTGCTTCGTTTCTTTCCTTCTTTCTTTTTTCTTTTTTTTTTCTTAAAGTGTTATGTTTCTTATAACATACTTTTCTTTTCGAACAGATTAAAATATACAATATCAATGAATTATAATATTATTACACTTCTTAAAATCCCGGACGTGCTCAGACTTCGCCGAGATCCTCACAAACATTCAGGTAGAAAATATCGTAACTTCTCACTGGTAAGTCGGAATCGTTTAATCGAATCGCCGACCATAGAACATTCGTATCAATTAATTATCATCATTCGATCATCATGTCCATTCACACAGATTCACGCATTCTCGATTCATGTTTTTCATTTTCTTTTTCTGTATTTTCTTTTTTTCCGTTTTGCTTCCCCTCTCTCGTTGCACGATGTGTATGAAAAAAAGTGCGATGTTATCAGTTTAATCGGAAAAAGAAAAAAAAAGAAACGAGAAACAAAACTATTACAATCCTCTCTGTTACAGATAGGTATTGCGTTTTACGAAAGTTGTGCAGAATAATTATTATTCCATTTTTATTTTATTTTCTATTCGATAAGAGGATTCTATTCGACGAGAGGAAATTGTTCTGAACTATATTTTTATGCTCCTAATTATTTTTTGAAATATTATACGATTAATCATTGAAATAAATATATATATAGAGGGAAGGAAATCATTGTATCATGTTCACCATCTATGTTTAGAAAAAAAAAAAAAAGAAAAAAGAAGAAAAAATAAGAAGGAAAATAGTTTTCCAACTTATCCAAGTAATTAGAATTCAATTCTTATTCTGCACAATATTCGTTTGACTATAAAACATACATACTTATTACATATACATATAGTATATATACATGTACATATATATAATAAGTGAATTTATAAACTAACATTTTTCTCGTGTAATGCTTCAATAATTAATTATTATTTGTAATTAAAACTAACTAATCGATATTTCATGATAATCGCAATGAGGTGTCCACAGCATCCGGTTTTTCTTTATATTTTTTCTTTGTCCTTCGGGGTCGTCACATTCTTACATTTTGCCTGTCTGTGTGTGTATATATATATAATGTATATATATATATATATATATTTATTTATATATTTTTATATAGTATGTAAATTATATACAGTTTTGCAGAAGGGTATGATCATTATTGTGTAGGCACTATGGCTTTGGACGTACACTAAGTTGTACGTTTAGAGTACATCCTTAAGAGACTTCCAACTGAGACAATTCCATCCAGTACAACCTCGACTTCTTCAGGAACAATATTTATAATTGATACATCTTTGTTTCAATGAAATTTCTACTGAAATCAGCCTACAAACTTCATTTTTTCTTTTCCACCGCCGTTTCACGCGGCAAAAGTCAAGGTGCACCGGTATAAAATTCCTCTCGAAAAACCCCTTTTTATAAATCAGTTCCAGAATAACATTGTATCCTGAAAAAGAATCTTAGACATTTTTCATCGTTACGACTCGAATTGAATACGTATAGATGCGTTTACATGCAATATAAATACAGCCTAAGATTTTCTGCTTTTGCAATTTTCTTCTTTCTTTTTTTTTTTTCCATCGTATGCTCGAGTTCGTCTCCATGTTCGCTACGACATTGTCAATGAAGCTAATCCAATACGATGATGATGATCTATTTATTTTTTAGCCGGAATAATAATATTTTCTTCGATAGGACCATATCGTGAGATGATAATGTTTGTGTACGTGTGTTTCTTATGTATGTAATTTTTACATGCCATAAAAGAATCATCCGCACCGATAGATAATCATTATATACTTTTTCTCTATTTCACCTCGTGCTTTTTTTCTCTCATGCATCGAACTGTACAAATTTTCGCTCCCTACTCAGAAAAGTCGACCGATTACAAAAGTATATAGAATAAAAACTATGCCTTTCAACCGTTCGCATTTTCATCATTTCTTCAACTTTCTCTCTCTCTCTCTCTCTTTTTCTTTCACACACACACACTTTCTTTCTCTCTCTCTCTCTCTCCTCTCTCTCTTTTTGTCTTCACTTTCATCTTTTTACAAACAATTTATTCGTCGATAAAGCCTACTGTACGCATCGATCTCCTCGACAAAAATTTTTAATAATTACAACGTTATCCTTCCGGACGGCGGTCTCTCGGTTTAAGCACACGATTTAGAAAAGAAGAATCAGTCCAAGTGACAAGAGAAGGCAACCATCCGGAAAAGATTTATCCCCGTTGTTCTTATTTTTTTTCTTTTTTCTTTTTTCATATCACGTCGATATAAACATTACTCTAGGAGGGATTTCTTTCATTGAAATTACATTTTTTATCTGCGTACGCTACTTCACGTTTCTAATAATAATTTTTATTATACAATTCCATATAATTAACCATAGAAACGAAAAAAAAAAAAAAAAAAAAAAAAAAAGAAAAGGAAAAATATATATATATATATATGTATATATATAAAGAAAATATCGTAGTTATTCGTCGACACGAGTCCAGTCTCTCCTCTCTTTGAAACTTCAAATATATCCTCTTCCATCTATTTCATCCTTCTTACTCTTTCTCTAAGCCTTCATACGTTTACATCATTTACAATATTATTACACATTGCACAAGAAAACGGCTCAATACCGTCAGAGCAGCTTTACAAGTTATCATCCCAGAAACTTAATCGGTTACGACCGTATCAAGCCGGAAGTACTCACCGTGCGCATTAATCATTGCCGTGATATGTTTCTCCCTCCCCCCTCCCCCCATTATTTAATGCTTTTCTTTTTTTTCATGCAGAAACGAATTTCCCAAAGCGAATCGTGATACGTTGTATGCAGTTGATTTTTATGAAAATGTTTGTTTTCAAAGAACAAACTCAATTCGAGACGCATCTTTGACAAAATATTATTCGATTATAACATCATAATATCTATATACATTTTTCCAATGTATTTCCATTCATTTTTTCTTTTTCTCCGTAAAAATTAAGAAGCGCAAAATTATATTTTATTTAAAAAAAAAAAAAAAAAAAAAAAAACATTCAACGGCGTGTCGATTTTCCATGGATTGTGCCATGAATTTGATTTCGCTTTTTAAAAGTAATTATCAAATTTTCCCTGTTTCTATCTATTTCTATTCAAACAATCTAACATTTCTCTGCTCGATCGTTCCCTTAATTGTTAAAAATTGCTAATCGGTACGAAATAGAAAAGCGTATTAATATTGGATTAACCGAGTGATCGCTATCCATTCGAATGTTAAGGAGGCGAACTCAGAGTGGTATACTCCAAAAAAAAAAAAAAAAGACAGGTATGCGTGTGAATGTAGTGTTGCGTGTCACGACGACGACAATTAGGACGATATCCTTTAGAATTTGAAATCAAAGAGATCCGAAAGCCCTTCCTCTGTGCCTAACGAGAACGAATAGTCGTTTTCAGAAAGAGGCGGTTCCAGGGACAGTAGATGCTCACCAAAATCGAGAATACTTAGATCTGCAACAAAAGAAAGAGAAAATGCTGGGCTTGTCCAGTCGCATTGAACACCTTCACTTTCAATATTCATTTATTAATTTTATTCGTTTTCTTTCTTTGTTTTTATGATTTAATAATTTTTTGAAAAATATTCGATGTTACAATGTTAATTATGTTTGATTATTTAAGTTGGTTTATGAAATATTGATTTATTGAAATCAATTTGAAAAGATAATAATTAATAAGCAAGTATTATTATTTAATTTAAATAACAATTAGCAAAACCCTTAAGCAATGAGAGCTGAATGTTTGTTATATTAATTTATTAATCATTTTGTGAATTATATTATAATATTGAAAAATTTATGAATTATTTATTAATCAAATGATGAATTATTATTGAATTTTTAATTATTTTTATTTAAAATTAATAAAAATTTCATGAATTATTTATTATACTCATAATTAAGTGATAATTGTATGGATTAATCATGATAATATTTTGGATTATTTATTTTAATAAATTGATCTTCATTACTTTGTTAAAAACAAAGAATATAATTAAATTTGCATAAAATTAAAAATGAAAAAGTCTAACATTCTTTAAAGTTTTCTATCTTTGCTTAAAAAAAAAATTAATTTAATATTCTTAAGCCAGAATAGAAAGATTAAAAGTAATCTGTTTTTATAATAAGGTAACAATTTTAGACGAAAAAAAAAAAATATATACATACAAAATAGCATTAAAATATATACAAGCCAATAATTATTTTATCCATGAAACATACCTTCACGCGACAAGAGTTTTGTTGTTTGAAACCGTTACCTAACTAGAACTCTGCCTGTGATGTGATTTTAATTTAGTTAACACACAAGTCACAGCCAGAGCTCCATCAGGGTACGGCTATCCTCCATTGTTGAAAAAGTAGAGAACCAATGAAAAAGATAGCTTAAATTATTGAACCTCGATGTACAATAAAAAATCAACTCTTGCTATCTTCTTTTTTTCCAAAGAGATTATTTTTTATAAAAATTGTTATGGAATTCTTCAGTGGCATGCATTACATTTCTTTCAAGTTTCAAAAAAACAATAAAAATTACGAATCTTTCATTTGCTTACACGAACGAGAAAGAAACGTATTTCTAGTATAGTAAGTCCAGTAAATACCTTGGAAGTATAGAGACAAAAATAGTAGTTTTGAAAACATTTATTAAAAAATAAAATAAAATAAAAGTACAACTTTGTTAACAAGAAAAAAAATTAAAAAAAAAAAAAAAAGAAATATAATAACTATATCAAAAAAAAGATATTAAGAAAATGTGAAAGATTAATCAATTATAAAGTAATAAAGAAATTAACTAAGATTTTGCATTGGATTGTATATTGCACTGGATTTTGCACTAAAGTATCGTTATAAATTAATGTGTTAATATATATTAACAAACTAAAAAAAATTTCAAAAAGTGTAATAAGATGAAGACAAGCTTAAAATTGATATTCAATAAATATATATATATATATTTTTTTTATCTTATATTATATTTTTATATTAAAAAGATTATATTCATCTTATTACAATCATTAGCATTTTATACTAAGCATTTCTTATAAAACATAGCGATACATTTAAAAGCATACGTGCAAATAAAAGCAGCGTAAAAAAATAAATAGTAATAATTAATTCCATAAAAGAATTAAAATTAATATTATAATATGCAGATATATTGACTTTGTTTTTCTAAATTCTATTTTTTCCAATAGCATTCGCAAATTCAATGCGAAAAAAAAAATGAAAAGTAACGTATGAATCTTAAATTATGAAATATGCGCGATCCTACCTGGAGTGCTAATTTGATCCTCCGTTTGGAGTTGGAATTTGCCACCACCCATTGGTCCATAATCATCGGATTCACACAAAAGCGCGTCCCTCATGCCTGCTAAACTGGTAACTGTAGATATAACCGGAGTACACAAACGAGTACTCAACGAACTTTCGATAGAAGGTACTGGTTCAACCCGAACCCCGCTTCCTCCATTGGCCAGCAGTTCAGGAGGGAGACAAGGTATTTCGGATTCTTTTGACGAAGGCACAGGTTGCGTCGTCGTGTAACCCGGAGTGGGAGACGTTTTAACTGCAGGATCATCAGGACAAAGAAATACCTCTATTTCACCATGAGATGACCTCATATGCATTTGAAGCTGAATACACAAATAATAAATAATTAATTGTTAAAAATGTAAATAATTTCAATCTTAATCGATTTCTATGAAATTACCTTTTGTTGACCAAGATTATTAATAGGTTGTGGAACATGAAGTGTAGCTTCTGGTGGAGCTTTCACTGCCATTATAGCTTGGTCTTTGTACATTGGGACAGAACGTAAATCATGATACGTTACATAAGCGTATTGTCTGTCTGCACAGAGCTCCCTAAGATTTTTATCTGCACCATGAATTAATCGATCCAAAGTATTTTCTTTAGCTTCTAAATCTGCCACTTCTTTTCTGAGATCAGCGATATCGTTCCTTTCATTTGGTAATTGACCGCCTCTATAAAATAAAATAATCACATTTATTATCGTAGAAAAGCTCGATATTTATTGATAAATTAAATAACAACGTACTTCCATTGTATATTGTTTTTACTTTTCTTTTCCAAAATACCTATACCTTCCAATACATTTGTAATATCGTAAATACGACGTTTCTGTACTTCTAATTTTTCAGATGCTACATTTAAATCTACAACACCATCTTGACTGCTTTCAACTAAATGTATGAACTTTTTTGTAAGTAAGCTCAGTGATGTATCGTACCGCGTTCTCTCTACTGTTTTACCTACAATAAAGATAACATTTTTTTTTTTCTTTAAACATTATATAAATGATAATATTCCAAGAGAAATAAATGAAATTTACTTTTTGTAGGTGTATGGCCAGCTAGAGAACTTGATCCAGATTTTCTACGTTTACCTCTAGGAGCTTTAAAAGCAGATTGGCTAGGGCCTGTAGTTCCCATTTCCAAATTCAGTCTTCGTTTCACTGCTTGAACTGAAATTTGCTATAAAAATACAATAAAATAAAGTATTGATTGTTACATTGTTAACTTACTATTATAATTATAATAATTTATTATAATTTTAAATAATCATTTCGATTAATCATATAATTAAAAAAAAAATTAAGAATAAAAAATTTTTTTCATATTTATTAATAATAAATTTTTTAAATCATTTTTAATGTTTTAAATGTTTATTATAATAAAAAGAGTTATCATATTTAATTTATCTTTTTACTAAGTAAAAGTTATTTGGTTAAAGATTATCTTAATATAAATATAATCTTATTTACTTCAGTTCGTGGTGGTGGTTGTGTAGGTTTCCTTGTTACTTGATAACAAGGTGTTTGTCCATATTGGTGGTCTTGAAGATGAGGACTTGGTGTTTCTTCAGCTACTTTTTGTGCTTGTACTTCATCCAAAGAACTCTCATCTAAAAATTCTTCCTTTACTAAAAATAATTTGCATATACATAAATATAAAAGCAAAATAAATAAAGATATTATGAAATAATACAAATAATACGTACGTAATTTAGTCTCCACCATATCTGGTGTGACAGGCCTAGCAGGATCTTCTAAGACCACTTGTCTCCTTACTCGAGGCATTTTTATAGTTTATAACAATCTATAACAGTTATAAAAATATAAAATTATAAGATTCTTTATATAAGCTTTAAAATATGTAAGTTCGAGACAAATGATATTTAAATTAAAATAAATATTAATTTCTCATACGTTTTCATACATTTTTAGTTAAGAATTTTAAATATTACATAAACATTATATATATATATATATTAAAAACATAAATCATATTGTATTACAATCTATTGATAAGTTATATATTCTACTATGTGTTTCTTTTTAAATTTATTAAAATTAATATATATTTCTAATAATAAAACATAAACAAAATATAATTTAATATCAAATAAATCAAATTTAATTAAAATTAAATTTGAATGGTAATTGTTATCAAAACAATTAGTTAGATTTTTATACTTTATGTCATTACATATGAATCATACATTATATATAATATAAATATATATAAAAAAAATTCTTGAAAATATACAAATAGATATATTATTAAGAAAATATAAATATTTTTAAACATAATATATATTTTTAACAAAATATAATGAAAAATACATGACATAAATGTTCCATAAATTTCATTATCAAATATATAAAATATTATAATACAATTATTATTATACAATTATTAGATACAAAATATTAATAAATATTTCTATACTGTTTAAAAAACAATATTTTTTATTATGTATTTAAATAATTAATTACATTCAATATTTCTTTTTTAATACTACTATATATTTTTACAATTTAGCAATGATAAAATTATTATTAATTATATTTAATAATAACATTATAAAATCTTTTCCTACTTTTGATTTGTAAAATTGAATTATCGAAGTTTTTCAGAAAACGTGTCATACACTACAACATCGTCCATGAAGGTTAATAAATGTATGTATACTATTTTGGCGGATACTTATTTTTCATTTCATATTGTTCATCACAAAAAATTGTTTATTGTTTCAAACATATCTTTACTAAATATTCGTTAATAAGTATCTCGAGCATAGAAAGAAAGTTGTTCGGAAAAATTGAAATGCAGCATTTTAACTTAGATATTAGTACCTTGTTAACCTTGTCAATAGTATATGCTTTATCAAAAATATACCATTCATATGTGAAAATTATTGACAGCGAAGTGTGCGGATCCGATAAAAATTCCTATCGATCGTCGTCCCTTCATTCTCGACTTTTTGTCAGTGCCACCCATTTGTGAGTGTGTTTTACTTGGACGCGATAGCACATTTAAGGAGAAGCGACTTTTTAGATGCATATCAAAGAACAGACAGCATAGGAGAGAAGGTTTTTGTTCTTGAATCAAGCAACATTGGTAGATCCTAATAATAGAACTCGTATTCCAAAGAATTTCACATTTGTCTTCACAGGGAAAATGATAAACTTTTATGTTGAAATAAAAAAGATGGAAAATAAATGCATAATGATAAAAAATATAATTTTAATTTTATTATTATGCAATTAATAGAATAGAATATGAAATAAATTCTAAATTATTAAATATAATTGACAACATTAATTTTTGTTTGTTCTTAATCTTCAAAATATAATTTATTTTGTATTGTACTTAAATTATTTTTAAGTAATAATATCTTAGAAAAGATAAAAACATTTCTCAAGTATTATGAAATAAGGGAAATGATTAAAATATAATCATGTATAAAAATAATCGTTCGGAAACGGAACGTTTCAGTTCACAAAACGGAAGTGGTCGACTAAACGGCAAGATGACAATTCTACAAGTATTGAACATCTGGTGAAAACTACAGATCAATTTCTACATTGTTAATTTTAATATGAGTGTACAGCAGCTGCAAATATCGAGGAACATGAAAGTAAAAGCAAAAAAAAATTAAAACAGACAATGTACATTATGTGACACTTGTATTAGCTTTTCTGAAACTTTCAACAACAATTTTTTTGTTGAAAATAATAAAATTAAACTATATATATATTATTTTAAATCATTAAAAAATTTAAATATTTCATGTTTATCTACTTACTTTAATTAAAAAAAAAGAAATATATTGTTGCAAATATTAAAGTGTAATTTCGCGCTATTTTTTAAAATTAATATGAAAGATAATCTTAATTATGATATATTATTTCAAAATATGGTATAAAATAAAATTTATATTCAAAATTCACAAATTAAAATTCACAAATATTACATGTTTAATTTAAATTTAAAACATCATTTCTAAAAATATGTAGTTAATTATTGCAAGTATTCTAAATTGATTACAGTTTTAGATTAATTTCTCACATATCGATTCAGAAAAAATCCCTAGAATCATTCTTCTATTATCTGAGTATTCCGATCATACGATATTTCCTCACGTAAAAGTTGAGAATGACAAAACAAAATAGCCGCGAAAAAGAATAGAAAATCCTTCCTAAAGTCCTCGTTTTCAAAAGACTCGTTACGCGCCTGAGCGGAATGAGACCCACGGTGCGGACGCGTACGAGAATTTTCGAAAAAAAGAGCAAGCGTCCCAAGAACACGAGGCAGCGTTCCGGGTGTGGTTTAAAGAGGCACGTCGTAGGATCGTCGTGTTACAGCAGCCTTGCGTTGTAAGCAGTTTTAGAAGCAAACTCCCGGTCGAACTGCGAGGTTGTCTCGTTTTCGCCTATTTGGCCGAGTACACACCGTACTACATCGATTACAACAAGAGATCGTGGGGCCAATAGCACGGTAAAGCACATTCGAAGGTTGGGAGCAATGCACGGTACGGAGGCATTGATTGGTAGGATGTTATCTCAAAGATAAAACTTGACTAGTGTAACTCGCGTCGACGGCATTGGATGTAGAACTAGCCTAGAGTCCATCGATTAGTAGAGAAACGTGCTCTTTAAAACGCGAAACATAACGTTCGTTCACAAACGTTTTACATGAACGATTTTTAAGGAGGTATGCAATAAATCCAACGTTTTCGTTTAATGCAACAAAATTTTTCTTTTTTTTTTTTTTGCTTAAATTAATAAAATACTATATATATGTATGAAATCTGAAAAATGTGTTTTGCACTGAAATAAGAAATATAGCAAAAAATTTTCAATAGATTATATACAGATAAGTAAACATGCCTCGTGTGTATGAGGCTTCAGGCCCCAGATGTTAACGACGAACCTTACTGTCCCCCTTTTTTCATTCTTCCGCTTGTAGAAACTGCACAGGTTGCAAGGTCTATCAATGAATAATCGTTCTCTTTTTATCATTGGAAAAGTAGAAAATATATATATATATATTGCATTAATGAATCTATTTTACATCGCTTATACAGAGTAATTGTTCGCGATCAGCTGTTAACATAGATCGAAGGTTTAGAGGTTGTCTTTTTCTTTCTGTTTTTATTTTTATTTTTTAATACCGCGTAGAACGTTCGACCACGACAAACAACAAACGAATTCCGATTTTATTGAACACGGCAATGCGTACGCGCGATATAATCCGTACGCCACGCACCGAAGCGGCCATGCATACGAGAGCGAGCGAGTGAGCGCGAGTAGGCAGACAATGAGGGAACGCGATTATGCGAGCGCGCGCACACACACCACTCCTTGCCGATACGCACACATAGAAACGCACGATTCGCACGCAATACGTAGAGCCGTTTAAAGAGCCAAGCCGGGACTAGAGTATCCCTAGTTAGGCGTGCTACCGGCACGGTCATGAGGAAACCTAGAATCAGTGCACGCTTTCGCGATTGATCGCAAAAGATGCCAGCGACTTTCGACGACCAAATTGATTGAACTCGAAATAACGGATCATTTTTTTTCTTTTATTTTGTTTTTTCCCCATTCTTTCCTTTCTGTTTATGCGCTCCAGTAAGCACATCTTTCGTACGATTACGATAGAAAAAAACACGCACGGTAAAACACGTTCTTTTCGGATGGGAACTCGAATGTAGTGTTTCGAAACAATAATTACTACTTCCCAAGGCAAAGAAATTTTTCATTCGGACGAAACAAACGGATATTAAAAAACGATTTACGCGTGTTTATTCCACTTACTTGGCTCTCGAGCGTGCGGTAGAAACCGCACAGTATTTTGAGACGGAGGCCCACGCTCTCTTCCGGGAGGTTCAGCCAGCACACGGCGCGGCGCGTGTCACAGCACCGACGAGCGAGGCATATCCGTGCCTCCTCGATGGCAAATACGTCGCCGTCGTGGTCGTAATCGTTGTTGTCGCGTTGTCGATATTTCTAGATGCAAATTTCACTTATGTCTGTCGATGACAAGACAGACAAAACGTGTGCTCGGAGGACGACAACGAGTCTTTTAACCCGGTCTCCCGAGGCTAACCCGTGCACGAATGTTTCTCTTGCTTTTCGCTTCGATATATCATATATACACTTCGTACATACGATTTACTACTCTCTCGCCCTCGCTCGTTTTCTCTCCCTCTGTCCTGCTTTCTCAGTTTATAACCGTAGTCGTTGTCCTCGTCGTAGTCGTAGTAGTTGCGTGGCCTTTATTTCTCTTTCTATCTTTTTCCCACTCTCTCTTTCTTTTTCAAGCTTGTTTTTCTATATATTTGTTTCGCTCTGTCTCTCTATTACACTGGTGCGGTATCCATTTTCTGCAGGGCTGATCTCGGCAATAGGAACGACAGCCAGCAGCAGCAGCAGCAGCAGCAGCAGTAGCAGTAGCAGCAGCAGACTGGGGACCCGAAATAATCGCGTGTAAAAAGCCGAAGCCGTTTGTGTGCTTGCCGTGTTTTCAGCTTCCAAGGAATGTACAGGCTCTAAAGTTCACGATAAGCCCCGCCTCGACATGATCGGTCGAGCCACCGGCGAGGAAAACGAACCTTTTCTGTCGGGGTGTCGCGCGCGCACACGAGGCCGGCTCGTGAGCTGGGCGATTGGATGGACGGGGCTGGCTGGCGCGCTGGCAACTGGCTCGGGCTACGAGGCAGATAGACTCGCCTGTGCCGGTAGTAGTAACACCGGACCGCGTGTTCGTGCGCTTTATTCCGCTCTTCAACGTACAGTGTTACTGTAGTAGTGGCCTTCTACTACTGCTTCGATATGTTCTTGAACGCGTCTCTATCACGGTGGTAGTATGTGCTTAGGCGCCTGTCATGTGTCGGTGCGTTCGTGGACGCGCGCCTATAACGTACCGGCGCATCGGCCATCTGCCGGTCGTATACAGGAGTCGAGTACGCGCGCCAAAACCGTCACTTCGCTTTTCTCCGTAACCACCGCGCCGCCAGCTATCACAGATATCCAAAAAAGTTCCTAGACCGTGTCACCTTTTCTATGTTTTTTTACAAAATTTCACAGGGTCACTGTTTTTACTTATCTTTCGAATCCATCGAGACAATAATGATCTTCTAAATATTCACGTTATCGTTTGTTTATATTCCTTAGGGTTAGACGTTCCACAATGAATACACGATGTGGTGCGTTTTCGATACCCGCGTCATATATGTTGACATAAAAATAAGACGAGAAAAATTAACAATTTACGAGTTGCACAGACTTTTCACAGAGATAATGAGCACACGCGCCAAAACTGTCCCTCTCGTTTTCCATGAAACTGCCACGCAAGCTCCGACATGTAGGTGAAAAATCCCTATATCACGACTTTCCCAAGACACGTTCGCGTTTAATGTATTTTTTATTTGGTTTTGACAGTTTAAAACGTCAAAATATATTGCTATTATAGATTATTACCGTTTCAGTCCGCCATGGTCAGGGGTGTGCGCTTTCGAAACAAACGTCCACGCTTGATGTTGGCAGTGAGTCCCTTTAACGTGGGCCTTATCGCGAAAGAAAGAGGGCAAGAATGAAACGAATGAATAATATTCTCTCGAATTATATAATTTTCAATATTTTTTGATTCTTTTTTCTATACTACACACACACCCGAAGATTGGGAGGATCCCACTACCTATCGTTTCTTGCCCGAAACTAAGCGGGCGGTCGTCGCTTCCTTCACGATGGAGGGGTGTTGGACACCAGGGCCGTATCACTTTACACGTGCTAAAGCACGCTCAATTTTGTTTTCTATTTTAACAAATGATTTGAAAATTCTCAATATTAATTTGATTGATTTTATAATTTCGATTTTCTTTTAACTGAAATTTTATTTTAATAATATTTATGTTAATTTTATTTCGTTTTAATAATTTTCATTGACACAAGGCATAAGAAAATATTTTTATTATATGTTTATAAAAATATACAAATATTTTTTTATATAATATTTATCATACGTCTCTTATATTTAAAAGTTATTATTGACAACAGTAACCGAATAACTGTAAGTATATGTAAAAAAGAAAATTAGAAATGAAAATATTTACATTATTTAAACACATTTATATATGTTATTAGTTACGTTATTATTATACGTCGATGCTATTATGATATTCTTGACAATTATCAATAAGTTGCAGGATTCTTTAATACGTAGCTACGTACCTGAGATAGGTCGGCAAGAAGGGAGCCCGGTGTTTTCTTCGTAACGTATTTATTTGAACCCTACGCAACTACAAAAGGATCGTACCCTATGTAGGATGTAAGGGAGGGTATAGATCTCCCTTCTTGTTCCTATATTCATAAGTTTCTTCCTACTTTTGTGTCTTAAGTATTAAGCTAAGCTAAATTCCAAAAGTGTATCAAGAAATTAAAAAAGACATCGAGTAGATTCTGAAACAACTATATGTCTACGATTACGAAAATTTCTGGACATTCTGTTTCTGAAGATTCGAGAATCTGCATGGCAGAGTACGTGATCGCTTTTACTTCGGCATTTTGAGTATGTTTACCAATCGTGAATTCTTCCCCTAACGCCATCGCATTGATCTTGAAATTTGCGCGGTCGAATTTAGTGATCTTCACTTTCTGATAACATAAAATGATACTTTCTCTTACAAAATTTTTGAAATAATAAAAAACAAACAGTAGAAAATAAGAGTAGAAAATGTATTTTATTTTTTAAATTATTACTGAAATCACATATTAAATTGGATGATTTGTTGAATAAATATTCTTGCATAAGAAATAAAAAGTCGAAAAAGTGTTGAATAAAGCTGATGTAATTGAAAAAACATTTTAAGTGTAATGATGACAAAATTGTTATTTGAAAAATGAAATATACCTTTGCAACGATATATGGTTCGGCACTAAACATGAACAATAATTCATCGAGGAAATGGAAAAGAAGACTTTCTATGTCATGTCCTTCTGCTTCCACGTAGTGTAATTGTGTCATTTCAACGCGCTCTAAATCCGTCATGTATCCAAACATGGCCACCGCACATTGTTCGAAAGCTTCTTCTATAGTATCACCCCATGCATGTAATCTATAATACATTACGAATATTATAATATATATATATATCTAATCGTATAATTTATTCTTAAAATAATTCAACGATATATATTTTTCATTCTATTAACAAAAGTAATTTATTATTTTTAATTTTAGGTTATCTACGCAAGTAACCTCTACAATGTATCAGTTTTAATCTTACAAGGAATTTATGAACTAAATACTTACTGTACATCTGCTGTATGATCCAAATCTGAAAAATAAAACGTAGATACATGATTTCACTTATTTTCCTACATAACTGATCGTAAAATAACGTTCTAACTTTCAATTTTAACCAATCCACATGTAGCAAAATGGATGCCGGTATAACGACACACCGGCTGCCGGTTATTTCATTCTAACACAATGAAAGTCTTTATTTGATGAATTTAATGTGATATTATATTTAAAATACGATATACGATACTTACATTCATATTTTGCAGGAGGTATTACAAAATCTTCTTCGCTCAACTCGTCCATGATTGCGCACAGCTGATCTCACGTATGTGAATAACCGATCAGCTGATTCTCTGACAGGTTTAATCAATGGCGGTCCCGGTTATACGTACACAAGATTGTACTATATAGATGGCGCTACGTAAAAGGATGCTCATGATCTAGATTACCGATTGAGCGAAGTTGATATTATTTATATATTTTTTTACAAAATGATAAGATAGATTAATAATAATTGATAAAAAATGATAATGATATACAAAAATAGGATATATAAACGATTAATTTTTTTATTAATGTTTTTAATTGATTATGATATCTTATGCAGTCATTTTAAATGCATAATATATTTTTTCAATTTTTTATGTTTCAATGTTTATTTTCTCGAATCTAATGAAAAACGTAATATACTTTAAGATAAGTATAATTTACTAATGGATTAATTTAAAGTTACTTGAAATTGTTTCCCACTAGATATAACTTCACTGAAGTGTTTATAAATCACTATATAACATGCAGATTTAAAATTTGTGTCATTTGTACAGATTTCTATGATAATTATTCTATAATAATTATAAATTCAGTGAATGGTGAACCGCATAATGCTGCAATCTGCAAATGCTAACCAATAGACCTATATATTTATCGTTTGAATAAATACGATGTGTAATTTACTTATTCGAAAAAAATATGAAAGAATCCACTTCTATGGGATTAATTTCAAGGGTTAAATTTTAAGACATAAATTTTCTCATCTTAATAATATTAATCTTAATATTAATTAAAGTTTTTTGTCATTATCATTAATTTATCATCGAATATAAATATCAATAAACTCGTTAAGTTATTTTAACAAATTTTCAAACAAATAATTAATTATTTTAACTAGCCTTGATTATAAAAATAAAATTAAAAAATAATTTAGTCAATGGATTTACAATATTTAATTCGATTATTAATTTTGTTTGCGCAAATCATCCAACATCTTTGTCAACACGATCGTCGATGATCGACGGATCGCTTCGCCGATTAACTGTGTCGAACGATCGATCGATCGAACAACAAACGAGTGAGAGTCGAGTAGATTGATCAGGTATGTAAGTGCATAAGTATGTGGTACTGTTTCGTTGGCCGTTTTTCTTTGTCAGTCGTCTCCCCGATGGAAACTAGTTTCTCATATCGATGAGATGTGATCCAAGGGCGTCCGGTTCGAGCGCTCCGTAATCCCTGTTACATAAAACTGCGTAGACGGTACCGTAGCAATTCCTAAGGGACATCTCGTCGTCATTTGTTTACAGTATCATTTTCAACCAGCTAACTTCATGACAGGTATCTCACAAGGTCACAAGGTCACGGATGCCTATATTTTTTCTTGCACATGATCTTTACTCGCTATCTGTCAAAGATCAGTTTTTTTTTTTTATTTTCATATTATACGCTTTTTCTTATATTTTTCTCGTGATATATCGATAATATGAAGAATAATATGGATCTTTTGATGAAAAATTTAAAGTGAAAAATATATTATTTATTATTATAAGGAGATCTTTAAAAAGTAATTGTTTTTTTTTTAAATTTTCTTGGATTTAGATTTTGGTATATTAGATAGATTTTTCAAAGTTTTAGAAATTTTAAATTTTTTTAAAATAAAAGTTTATAAATATAAGATATAATAAGAAGACTATTGTCATATTTTTAATATTTAATTATAATTATAAAATATATTTTAATAATAGCCTTTAATAAATTAAAAAATTAATTATTAAATGTATTCTAATTGTTTTGCTTGAAGTAAATAGTCCTCCAATAGTCCTACTTGAACTAAAATTTAACAAGGATAGGTACCAGGTGTAAACGAACGACATTAACGAGCTTTTGCGTCACAATAAAGCTGGAAAAGCTATTTTCTTCACTTTATAGCTTAATTTATGATTACGTTATTATTCCGCATAGCGTGCACCAAATAAGAGTCTAATTTTTGAATTAATTTTTACGCATCATAAATTTTCACTAATCCATCCAATTTAACTTTCCTTTAAAATAGAAATGATTTATTTTGAAAATATTTATTGCAATTTATATATAAATATTTATTAAAATTTATTAAAATTAAATTTCTGTCCCTTCTTAAATTTGAACAAAGCAAAGAAACAAAGCAGAGAGCACGATTCACTTCACATTCAAATCCATGAGTCATAAAATCGTTTGTTCTTATTTTTACAAATGTTGCTATGTTACTACGTATTTTGTAATCGCACTATAATTTTGGTACATAACGTTGTAGGGTAATTAGATGTGGATGTGGCATTAAAACTTCATTCATTACATGTTACACAACACGCGATTTAGACTACAATCACAAGCAGGAGAAGATAAATATTGGTCGATTCGGAAACGAATCGGTATAATAAGAGCATCCTCAACAAAAATTTGAACGATGTATTATTATTAAAACGAACAAATAATTCATATTCAGATAATTGAAAAATTAATTATCTAAATAAACAGTTTCGCTATTACTTGTTATTTTTACCAATTTGATATTTATTGTTTGACATGTTTTAATGTATTGTTTCTAACTTTTAATTTCTAAACTTTTAATTTCAATCGAAGTTGGTGTATATTGCGACGAGTAATTAACAAGTATTAACTGCGTATATAACTGAAATTATCTATATTCTTTAATGAATCATATATGTATATTTTTGTAAATAGATACAGGATAAAATACAGAATGATTAAATTCCATGACTTTGATTTTAAGAAGATGTTTCAAGCATCCTTTTTTCCTTTTTAAAGAAATAATTTATGGATGAAAATTATAAAAAAAAATTTATTTAATATTCTTAATAGAAAAAAAACTCTTGATATCAAAATATTTTTTTATATATAGTCATTACATATTAAAATCAAAACATTTACTTCACGATCATTAAATTTTTTGTAACTAAAACTTCTTTACAAAATTATTTAACCAGAAGCAATATTCTCAATCTTCCTTATCAATCCTTATCCATCAATTACCCACGTATATTTACATATAATAATCATCTTTTCAACAAGAAAATGCTTCCAGTAACAATTTTCCAATAACAAGAATTCGAAATTTTATCTCATATTTTAACGATTTCATCACGTCAATCTCCCAAATGGAGCATCATCTTGTTGAAAAAAAAAGAAAAAAAAAAAAAAAAGAAAAATACTCGGTACCCAAGTGATAAAAGGTAAACAAGCGTGTCAATTATTCCGCTATCTCGGTTTCCGAGAACGCCTATGCAGAACATCGGTCGCGAGAGAAAAGCTATCGGCTCGGCGAGCCAGGGATGCCTATGCAGTGACAGAAAAGTCGAAGCTGGATCAACCCCCCTCCGGATCAGAACCGGTGCGTTCAACAAAAGAAGAGCGGGTTTACGCTGTTCACCGGAATCCACGACACATTACACACCGTTTACTCTCTGTCCGTTTCATAGGGCAGGCGTAGAAGCGGGCCGCTTCTCGCCTCTCACGTGTTGGCGCGCTTTAATGACATGCAATTTTGCAACGTAGCTCACCGCCACGAGTCCTTGGCGCTGGGAACTATATAAACGGACCGCTTATAATTGGCTAGGCTAGCTGAAAGATTTTTAACCGTCCAGCACTATGTCGTTCCAAGCCGTGGTCGTCGTCGCGCTATGCGCCGCCACCCTCGTCATGGGGGATTATCAACTTCGTAAGTTGAGAGGATCGAATATCTCTTTGAATATTCTCGCTATTCTTTCTTTTATTTATTTATTTTTTTTTTTTTTGACAAAGAGTAAGAGTCTTTTTTTTTTTAGGGAGGAAAGATTTTTGCAAAGAGGCGCGAAAGATAGAGTAAAAATGACTGAGATGAAGATTATTTGTTTTTTTTTTTTTTTTGTAAGTTTTGAGGATTTCTTTTTTAATATTGTGAATATCGCGTTTTGCAATATCGTTTTGATTTATTTTTAATTTTTTGGGGAGTAATTTTTTGGAACGGGAAGATCTTTTGCAAAGGATTGATTTAATTAAATGTTCGATTAAAATGTAGAAACTTTTTGTTTTCTTTTTTGTATTATGAGGTTGTATTTTTAGATAGTTTATAATTTTTGATATATCTAATGAGATTAATAATTTTATATTTAAGAAAATTAACGTTTGATCAGATTAAATGGATTAAATAAATGAATGAATTAATAGAATGGGGAAATAAATTAAATTAAAATAATTCAATGCAATACAAAATTTACTGAATACTTTTAAAATCATTATTGTTCGTAACGAAGCAGTTTCGTTTTTACCTCGAATTAGAGTAAAAGTTTCTGTTATTTGTTTCACAGAACTAGTGAAGTAGAAAGTTAAGATAGATAATTCCAGTGCTGGTAAGTTGAAATTTTAAAGCGAAATCTGAAAACCACCATTCACTGTGCGCATTTGTTTTCCCTCATGAATCACCCAGCAATTTGAACTTTTCTTTTTTATCGAGTTATAAAATTGCATCAAATCCTTATTAGCCTCTATTAACTGAGTTTCTTTTTTTTAAACAACAAAATCTTCCATTTTTATGAAAATTATTTTTCCTTCTCTCACCTATTAAATTAACTTAATTTATCTTGAAATTTTTCTTATAAGTTTTAATCATTTTATTTCACAGCTGCAACAGTGAAAACTTGCAAAAGGGATTCAGACGATTTTTCATCATGTTTGCGGCTCGCCATTCAAGAAGCATGGCCCACATTCGTTCCAGGTAATATTATCGTACATTTATCGATAATTATCCATCAGAGCAGAAAATATTCAAATGAACTGTGCACTTATGTATACTCGAACTCTGTTTCCAAACACGTCACAATCTAATAATCACAATTTTTTTCTTTATATAAACTCGTTTCGAAGAAACTCGTCCTTGCTCCATCCATTTTTTCATTTCTCTCGTGGGTTATTTTGAAGTGAGAAAGATTACATAACACCGTTTTATTGCAAAGATCATGAGAACATTTTTATTCAATATGTAAACAATGAACTTGTTTTTCCACGATAGAAATTATGGGAAATTAGAATGGACGACTGGTCGAAGATTTTGATTGGTCAAAGATTTTGACTGGTCGAGACTTTTCTTTTTTTTTTTTTTTTTTCCTTCGTGACTATTTTAAATTGGTAAACATGTTCCATTCACTTTGGCAAATATTTTTCAGGAGTATTTAGTTATGTCAACAGTGCATACCTTCATTTTCGATATTTCATTTCGTAATTAACATTCTGCAATAAACGAATATTTTTATTTTCAAAACAGAAGTAAGCAAATTTCGTTTCTAGATTTAAAATATGAAATTTTGTAAAATTGTAATTTTTATTAAATATTTGCACGATTTCCATAATAGGATTACCAGAATTCGGTATACCATCTCTTGATCCCTATTACATGGAATCATACTCGATGGAACACGAAAGTGGACAACTTCGTGGAAAAGTATCAGTCGCGGATGTTCGATTGTACGGTCTTGCCAAATCACGTTTCTTATCCGTGAAACCGGAAATGGATGGTGATTTCTTCCGATTGGAAATTGACGTCGAGATACCAAAACTTCTGATAGATGGCGATTACAAAGCCGAGGGATCACTGGCTACTTTCAAAATGGGTGGAAAAGGTATGTATGAGAAAAAAAAAATGAATAAATTAATAAAAAAAGCTAATTTTTAATTAATTGTCAATCACGAAATTATTATTATTATTATTATTATTATTTTATAATTTTCATAACAATGAAGAAAAGAAGCAAAATTGAAGATAGAAAACTTAAGAAAACTTAATATTTTCATCCCTAATAATAAGATTGTTAAATTTTTTAAATTATTATGCGAATAATATCTATACTTACAATACTTACTGTTTCGATTCAACAGGATTCTTCAACGTCAGCATAGAGAACATCAGAACCACTTGGGACATTTCAGGCCACGTAGTCAACGACAGATGGGTCGTGGAACATTTCAAAACCGCGCCAACGATCAGCAGCATGAAGATCTGGTTCAGCGATCTCTTCAACGGAAACGAAGAACTGAGTAAGTGTAATAATCTCTCCATAATTAATGAACCGAGTCGATGCACTTACACGTCACGCGATAATAATCATGCAAATTTCGTATCTCGATGACAGGATTACTATAAAAAAAAAAAAAAAAAAATAAAAAAAAGAAAGAAATGTATATAATACGTGACATAATAGAGAAGTACGAGGGATAATTGTTTACCTTAAGTCAGACGCTTCAAATCGATGTAGAAACTTTCATTAGTTAGATAGAAAGACTAGTTGTCTCGACATCATTGCATAATGTTACTGTTGAAGCGCATAGGGAGAGAGAAAGAGACTCGTATTTTTCGAGAGAATCCTGTCGTTTAATTAGCATGCATGCAATCGTTATACGCTGTTATTTGCCGCTTATTCTTATAACTTTATCTTTGGTTATGTTGTACGATCCTCCTATTGTATGGTCGCGATGTTACGTGATCATCGAGTTTGAAGAATGTATTTTTGATTTGTAATTTTTTGATTTTGCGGATGTAATAATTTCCTTCTTTTTATTTTTTTTCTTTTCCTCCGTTGCATTATCGTTTGAGAATATTTTAGATAGATATAATTATATCTTAATTATATTTGATTTTTTTTCCATTCCAAAAATTATTTAACTTTTTTTTCTCTATATTGTGTATCGATTGATAACAATATATTTTGAAATTGAAGTTGAACGTGAAAATAATATTTCTTGCTCTATTTAAATCAAAAAGTCTCACATTTCTCAATTTTTCATTTCAGTTTAATTTCTAAATAATTCTGAATTAGAGTATATATATATGTCCAATAAACAAGAATCTAATTGAATTTGAAATTTTTTTTCTTTACTTTTATCTTTTCTGAAAATAATGAGATCCTTGTTTTGTAATCAATGAACTTTCTGCGCGAAATTTACGAGACAGAGTAGAATGATTTATTCAACTTACGATAATAATTACAATTCAATCGTATGTTCCAATACATTTTTATTACTTGTTGTTTGACAATGGCAATTAATCGTTAAGAGTGATTTATCAAGTAATTTTTTTCTTCAACAGCGTTTAATATCCTTTCGTATAATCTTTGGAAACAATAATTTTTCCAATCTTAAAATGAACAATTTCTGCTTTCAGATCGTGCTGCTTTGGTCTTCATCAACGAATATTGGCCCTTGGTATATCGAACAATGTTACCAAAATTAATAGAAATGTGGGATACGTATCTGTCCGAGTTCTCCAATCGTTTCTTCTCAAAGATACCGTTCTCAACAATCTTTCCTTGAAATCAATGTTGAGAATATAACAAATAAAAATATAACAAATAATTACAAAAAAAATGATAGATTTAAAAAAAGACTCAACAAAGTTTTTTTTTTTGTTGAAACTAAAGGTGGAATGTTTCAATTCTCGTAATCGTAGCAAGATGAAATGAAAGAATCAAGGACTAATCGAATGATACTATATGATAATAATATAACACGAATGATTCTAAGAAAATTTTGTGAAATTCATTTGAATGTCAAAATGATCAATGTGATCTCTGAATATTTTTTTTTTTTTTTTTTTTTTAATTGTTGAAGACACAGTTGTTAACGCAACAGTGTTTATACCTCAATTCTTCAATTGTTTTTGAAATTCTTAATTGGATGAAACATCGGATAAATTTGAAATCAAATAATTAAATATTAATTTAGATGATATCATGATTTTGTACAATAAATAAATGATTTTGTGCAATAAATATTGATTCTTATACTGTTGTTCTTTAAATGAAGATATTTTCTTCTTTCAATTATTCAATTCTCTTCTTCAAACTCTTCTAGATTTTTTTTTTTTTTCATTGCATGAATGCAATATCATTGGAATATCAAACTAATATCATCGAAAATAAATGATTATTTAAAATATAAATCTATACCTCTATAAATATATATACATATATATTTTTCATGTACTTTATACAATAAATTCGATTAATTAATTACAAATTGAAATATCGTGACGATATTGTTTGTACCTTATAATCTTGTTCTAACCCAAGTTATTAATTTCCTAATTCTATGTATATACTAACTTGAACTATCTGTTTCTTCACTTATTTCTAATAAGAGAGAAAAAAAAAAAAAAAAAAGAGAAGAAGAAGAAGAAGAAACACGCGATTCAGGGCAGCAGAAAAACTTCCACTGGCACGTGGCGTAACAATTGATTAACAATTCCCGCAAAAAGTACGGACAACTTCCTCTTCAGCTGAGGTTCCATCACCTTTAACACCTCTTGCCCGTTCTCGCGGAGGAACAGGTTCGTTGCCTCGGCTATAAAATGACAAAAATTTATCCAAATCGTACGATTCGAACGATAATAATATTTTTTAAAATTAATTTCCAGGATCATTTCTATTTCTTACTCACTCAAGATTCGATTGTTATTGAATATCTTGTGGACACCCATCCTAACTTTCTTCACATCGAGGACAACGTCAAGATTATCCACGTTCAGATACGTTTTTCCATCCTTCACTCTCGTTGAAACAGTGCCTTTAACCACTGCCGTCACATCGTCGAATCGCGCGTGAAACGTTCCATTGCCACTGGCTGGTAGAATAATTAACACCCCTGAACTGGTGTATTAAACACGAAATAATATAAATATTCCTGTGATTCGAATCGAACTTCTAAAATCATCACATTTAATATTAACACGTGTACTGTCACCAATTATTGAAAAATAATTTATTTAATCGCCAAAAATTAATTTTACCAAAAAAAAAAAATAATAATAATAATAATGTAAATCCAACGTAATTATATAAGCACAAGAAAAAGTTAATAAGGTTAACGGTCAGGGAGAGCAAGTCTAAATGGAGAAGAGAAGAATTTGCAGATCGTGTACCTGGAATAATGGGCGTCCAAGATGAGGGCTGGCATTCGTACAATGGCTTCGAAGGGTGAGCCGAGTTTAATGTTCTCCACCGTATAGTTGCTCGCTCCCCTTACGAATAATTCGCGCAGTTGAACCTTGTAACCGTTTGTGCCACCTGTCAGGGAGAGAGTCAGCTCGTCCATCTGTTAGGATAAACGCAAATTTTGACAGACACACTAGTTTACAAACGGGTAATCACAATTTGCTTTCCTCGACCAATTTTATTGATTTTGAGTTATCTCGAATTAAAGGTTGAATTATATTTGGAAGATTCTGGCCAATTTATTGATTTTAAATTATCTCCAATCAGAGATTTAAAACGTACGTTTCAAATTTGCAAAAGGAATTTATTGATTATTATTTATATCATAAAATTTGTTCAAGCGAAGAAGAATTAAGAGAACGAAGAAATTTATATTTTTCTAAAGTTGTATGTTTGTAACCTAAAAGTTCTATCTGTAAAAATTGATAATTTTAACGATACATTGAAATTTAACGATAAACTGATAAAATTATTGAAAACAAGAGTAAGAATTCACGTGTAATAATTCTATTAACGAGGAAGCATTAATTTTCAATGTATCGATAGGATATCGAAAGTGGTGAGAGCTTACGCGAAATGGCTCGACGGAAGGCAGCTCGATTTCCGGTATCCCGACGCTTAAGTAAGGTCTCAGATGGTGCAGTGCGTCAATGAGGCATGTTTTCAACTGTGGGTCGCTTCTCGAACATTGTTTTATGTATTCGGCTGCAATTATTGAAGCATTAACATATGGCAATAAGTTAATTGGAAAATAAATTTTTATTATTATGTATTTATGTATCAATGAACATTTTTCTTGTAATTATCTACGGAAAATTAGAAGTATAACTTTCTAATCTTTCTTTCGATTAAATAGATTATTAATTACATCTTACAATTTTATCATATATATTTTTTTCAACTTAGAAATATTACAAAATAAAAGAGAGAAAAATTGTTCAACAACGTTAAACAATTATTTTCGAAAGGATAAAAAAAAAAAAAGAAGGATTTTAATTTATTACGTAACGCGATTAAGTTATTGATATTACAAATAATTCGTTTCAATTTCTCTTTGAATTGTTCGAGTAAATTCGACGTGAGATAAAGATCGAACATCGAATAAAAAAAAAAAAAAAAAAACTTGTGAAACGTAAGACCATCATTAAACAAAAAGTTAATGATCGTTAATCAAGGAAACAAGCGGAAACGTTGGTTACGCGAAAAGGTAGTTGCCAGACAACTTGTCACTTCTGAAACCGCACATTGTGAAATTCTAATGAAATTTCTTGAGGGATACTTGCACGACTGACCCTTTTGCCTCGCATAACACATTTATGTAACTCTTATTTCCCTCCTTCCCTCGCCATATAAAAATCCACATATTCCATATTTAACTCGACTGAAAATGAAAGCGCCTTCATCATTCTTATCAACAGTCACGAATTCAACCGAATAAAATCAACATTCAACGTATTCTTCGACTTCTTCCATTCTTAATTGATCGAAATTGACTTGTATCTCTCTGATCCAAAAAAAAAAAAAAAAAAAAAAGAAATAATCCTTTTCCACCTTCATCAACACACCTTATATCTTCTTATCAAACTTTCACTTCCAGGTTTTCTAACGACTCGGCTCCAACCTCCAACGAAAATCATTCGCAGAGAGCAAATGCATTCGAGAAATGCAAAAAAAAGAAATATCTTTAATTACTCACGATTAGAGTCGATGGAGAGGGTAGTTGCACCGGATGTAATCACGAGAAGGCACAAAGTGGCAGCGATCATCTCGAATCCTGAATAGTCTTTCCTCCGATTAAGGGCTCGAAGATGAAGAAACAGTTGGAACGATGTTGGAAAGCTTTCGAGGACTTGGCGGATCGACAAGTCGGGTTGGTCAGGTGTGGAACCAATGGACAGACACCCGAGACTCTCGTTCAACGAGCTCGAAATCTAAACAGCACCTCGCTAGTCCTCGACTGACTATGCAAGAGGGCATTGACAGATCGCAACTGCACTCGGATACTTTCACTGCTGCAACGTGCACCTGCGCCTTCTTCGTCTGGGACGAGTCTCTATGGTTAGATGATCGTGCTAGAGTTGTGTCGAAAGCGTACGACGCGGATAGTCTTCGATCTTTTCCAATCTTGCCGGCTACTGGCTGGAAAGCTGCCTCTTGGAATGCCTTTAAATCCGACTTCTGTTCTCGAACACTCTGCTTCTGGCCTTGATCATCGATAATGAATCGATTTTTATTTCTTTATTTCTTTCTAACTTTATATATATACGTATATATGTTCTCTTCTTTGGAAGTCGATGACGTCGTTCTGTCGTTTTCCTAGCTGTTGTTGGAATCCTGCCTTAGGATATGGAAAAATTTTCGTGCGGGTAAGATTTTTTTTTTCTTTTTTTTTTAATATATTCATCATCGTGCAGAATTGAATGATATTAATGATTACGTTTGTAACTAGAAATAATTGTGAGTTACGATGAAATTAGAATATTATCGATCAATCTTATTTTTCGTTTAATATATTATTGAAATCAAGTTAAGTTAGATCTACAAATGTAAGCTTTTTCTCGCATTGTTTTATCGATTTTTCTTTTTATTAATATTTTCGATATGATTTTAAAATTCTCCAACGTGTGGCTAACTTCTTCTCGTATTCTGTACAAATTAATAACAAAAAAAAAAAAAAAAAGGAAAAATATCGAATTAGGTTAATTGGACATTTTTAAGAATTTCAAGTATTATTGAGAGCATAAGGTTAAATATTTTTAAAGATTCGGTCAATCAGAATTTTAAATGAATATAAAATGGACTTTGATTGATTGAAATTTATCCTTCGAATTTTATTCTGCAAATTCGGTGATATTTTACCTGACACCATGACCGAACGAATTCAAAAGTGACAATCTACCAGTTAGTTTTTTGTATCTTCATAAAATAAAATTTTCTTCCCAGCTATAATAGTTTCAATATCGATTATTTTCCTTTTTTCTTTTTTTTCTTTTTGATCTTTATGACGTTCCGTTCTTTTTAAACTTTATTTCCATTCTTTGTAGCTTCGTGATTGATTTTCCTTTTCTCGATTCTTTCTTTTTTTTTTTTTTTTTTTTNTTTTTTTTTTTTCATATTTAGACGTTATGACATCATTTGATCGGTTTCCTGATCATTGCAATGACTTTTATGGTGTTCTGTTCTTGAGATTTTCCTCTTTGTATTAATGACACTCTTTTCTTTCTTTTTTTTTTTTTTTTTTGAAACAGACAATTTTTTTTTTGAACAGATAATTGAAGTTTCTTTGAATATTAAATCGAAGGAGAAAAACAATTTGGCGCCCCTATTCTGGCGCCTCTGTTCCTGATTGGCTAGCAATATCTTATATTGATTTTCATTTCCTTCTGTTCTTTCTTCTAAAAGACAATATTAGGCAAAAACCTGACATTTTTATCATTGTAAATCGTACATCGTTTCAAAATGTTTGTTAGAAAGTGATAATCTTTCGAGCAATTAGTCGAATACACTTGGTTTGCGATTGTTTGAGATTGTATGTATCTTGATATATGTTAAATAATCTCGACAAACAATATTAGAATATTTTACGAGTAAAAGTAAAAGAGCATATGTATAAACATAGACTAGTGAATGGTTTGCTATAAAGTTGTGGAAAACAATAGCATGTGTCTTGAACAAAGTGTTTGTAGATAAAATAATTTATGAAAAATAATGTTAAAAATGTTTTTTCTTATCAATATATATGTTTTTTCATTTCATAGAATATATTACCAATCCTGATTTGCATTTCATTAATTTTTCCAAAACGTTATATAACTTTAATATTGAATTTAATATTGAAAAATTGAAAATTTTTTTTTGTTCTTAGAAGAAATATTAGTTTTTCTTTTTTTTTTTTTAATTAAACAAATATTGAATCTCGTTTAATATATTAATAAATCAGTTATATAATATTCTTCTCAATGAAAACAAGTTTTCCTCGTATAATAAAATATAATAAAAATTAGAAAAATAATAAAAATACTGTGACAAAAAAGAAATGCTAAAGGATAGTAAATATATACAAGATTTTAATGAAAATTAAACGAACTTTTTACATTATCGAAATGTAAGATAACATAAATTTGTAACCATAATTGCACAATTTGTAATCTATTGTGCAATCAGATTTTCAATAGACTGAACTTTAGGTATGGATTCATGAAAGTGTTGAAGCAACCAACCATGGTTATCTTCAAAAAGTAATTTCAAGTTTGATGTTGAAAAATAATTTAATTTTATAATATTTTAATAAGGAATTATTGATATCTTTTACAAATTATTTTCATAATTTTATATAGAATTTTACAATGAATTTTATCATCAGCTTATAATTTGTATTATAATGATTACTTTTCAAAAATAAAATTAATAATTGAATTTTTCTCGAAATTTTACTCAAAATTATTCCTATAATTCTAATATATTACATAAAAAACTTTCACTTACTAAAGAGGTCGCGAAAGTGATCTTTACATTGATATATAAAATTTCTTTAATATTATATATCATAATATTTCATAATCGTTATGAAATGATTCTATGAAAATTATCAATGAAAATTAGAATTAAAGATAAAAAAATATCTATTATATTGTATTTACTTCAATGTACAACGTTTAAAAAAAAACAGCAGAAAAAGTTGGATAAAATATTTAAATAAATTTATAATGAATCAGTATACATCATTTGCATGTGATTGACATCTATTGACGAAGAAAAGAAACAAATAATTACACGTAGTATATTTATTTACTTACTTTAATTTTTTTGTATAGTTATCTCTTTCATGTATAATTCATTTCTTTTTTTAAAAAAAAATGTATGATAATAAAATTATCATATAATTATTTTTATAAATTCTTTTTTTGTATAAATCACATGTATTTTCTAAAAAAAATCTAAAAGCTGTGTTGATATATATTATAACACGATTATTGATCATTATATTTCTCTGAACTTTGTTTCAATTAAAGACACTTGCACTTTCAAATTTTTCACAAAAATTTTTCACAACTCATATATCTAAAAATTCACAGCTTTATTAACTATTTCCAATTAAATCTTTTTTTAAAAAAGAAAAAAAACATTCTCTCTTCTCTCTATATATTCTTCAGAAAGATTTCTTTCTAAAGACACTTATCTTTTTCAATAAAATATCTATAAAAATAAAATAAAATAAACAAAAAAAAATTACTCGACTATTCACAGTAATGATTCAATCCACTCAACTCATTAAATTAATAAATTATTAGTTAAAAAAAACTTTCACAAAATTAAGATAATTATACGATAAAATTAAAAATTACACAATTTTGGCTCTCGTCCGACGAGGAATAGAGTAACAGCAAAAATATATATATATCTTTCCAAGATATTCAATCGTGACATCTTATTTTTTTTCTTAATATTTTTTTTAGATGCTGATCTCCCCAATATTTCGAGGCAAGCTTACGTAAGATTGGCCGTAAATTCTCGCTCAAAACCGAAACACAGGTTAATCCTTCTCTCAGATGTATGGTCGAGAGTGAAAGTGTAAGCATCGTATGTACAGTTTTGTTAGCCTAGAATTGTGATTACCTTGAAGAAAACTGAACGCTGTTGCTGCGTTCGATTATCGACGAAGTACATTATCGATAGACGAGATGTCGATAAAAGTTTCCGGAACGCTGCTGCTCTTCCTGTGCTCATCATCGATAGGAATAGAATTTGGTAAATGAACGTTTTTTGATTTCCACTTAGATTAAAAAAATAATCGATACAACGTATAGAAAATTATTGAATTTTAAAGTTATTTGTTAATATTTTAATCGTGATATATAAGTAGAACGAAGTTTAATCTTATTAAAAGTAAATTATTTTTTCTAATTGTAATTCCTAATTTTTCTTTCAAACTACTATATTCTACGCTTTAAATTGTAATTGGAATGATAATTATTTTATGATAATTCATTAAAATAAGTAAATAATCTTTTTGCAATTTTCTGCATCCCTTTATTTATTAACATCTCAAAAACTATACTTGATCGCGTTCCATATCCAAAATATGATTTATCTTTTTTTGATAATTAATTTCAGATAATTTTAAAAAACTGTAACTCATTATTTCATTTTTAACAACAATAATATATTATTCTCGTGAATAACAATATATTATTCTTCTTTCTTCTAGAGGATCATTTCAAGGATTGCCACCCAAATGTCTCGAATTTCGACCAGTGTATTCAACGTGCATTAAATGAGATCCGACCTTATTTTAAGACAGGCGTTCCCAAATACGGAGCACACACCCCCTTCGAGCCATTTTTTATCAAAAAAGCGCGCACGTCACGAGGTATACCCAATTTCGGTTTTGTCATTACAATGAACAACATCGAGGAAGTTGGATGGGATTTGAGCAAAGTGACGAAGTTCACCAGCGATTTGAAGAACTACAAGGTGAAGATGTATACTTGAGTACTTACTCGCGTCTATGGAATAATATTTGTCGAATCTAATAGCCCCTTATGAATTTCTTGATTGACAATCTTTGATTGCCTCTTATGGGAAATAATATGAATTATTTATCGTTTCATCGAAAATTTACTCGTATTAATAGCGAGCACACGTAATATCATTAATATTTTTCATTTTCTTTTATATTTTTTTCATAAAAAAATTAAATGATATAATATCATACATTATTATTATTACTATCATTATTATTATACAATTATTATTATTATCATTATCATTATCATTATTATTATTGTTGTTGTTGTTGTTATTGTTGTTGTCGTTATTGTTGTTGTCGTTATTGTTGTTGTTGTTGTTGTTGTTATTGTTGTTGTCGTTATTGTTGTTGTTGTTGTTGTTGTTGTTAGTGTTATTACTCGAATTGGTAACATCATTCCTATTTAAAGAAATTATTACACCTATCTGTAATGATAATAATCTTAATCGTTATTATTCCATTTTTAGGTGGTGTATACACAAAATTTCCCGGACAAACGGTTAAAAGGTGCATACGAATTCAAAGCATCTACGTTTAATTCTACTATAAACAACAGAGGAACGTTCATGTTACAGCTTTGTAAGTGATATTATTAATTGAAATTAAAAAAAAAAAAAAAAAAATGATATTTCTATATTGTCTGATATACGATATTATTAAAGTTAACACTTAACCAATTTCTCGCAAGAAATTGAATTATACAATTATTCTCACAAGTATCATTTTGTCTTTTCAGACGATCTCGTTCAAACGACTACGGTAATCGCGAAACCAGGATCAAGGGTTTATGTGAAAGTGGAGTTAAACTCGATCAGAGACATGAGATTACACGTCACGAATTTGTTCTTCGGCGTCAAATTCATCGAGAATTTTATCGACACCGTGATAAACAGCACGTGGAAACAATTCTTCAAGATAAGCACACCTATACTCAACGAACTCATCTCTGACGGATATTTCGAATTATTCGATGGCACATTCCGCAATTTTCCATTCGAGAAAATTATCAAACCATATCCTTATACGAATTAAGAGACTCGTTTAAAAAGATTTCCATTTTCTTTGAGGACAACGAGTCATGAAAAATAATTAGACTCTGTCGAGATAATGGAACAGAAGAGGATTGGCATGTAAGTATGAATCATAAAGTATAAAGCATAGAAAGTAGAGAAAATATATTAATTTTTTTTTTTTAATATTAAATAATTATTAATTAAATTTTCTAAGACTAATCAAAAATAGTTTTATCGATGTTTAATTTTAGGAATATCTTCAAATCACATTTTTACGACGATTTAATGATAATTAATATGGATTTTAATTGCCACGTTAAATCATTAAATTACCATTGCTCAATTTTTGTCAATTCTACGCGGATAAATATTAATTTAGATCACCTCAGAAAAATGATAAAGTAAGAATAAGTGAAAATATTATTGCACAATGAATTTAAGGTAAAATAAAACTTTCTTTCTCTGATAACAAGCTATGTTTAAATATTTCATTTCACGTGAATTTCTCGTAACCTCAAGAACAATCGAGTTAAACGTTCCATTGCTCAGCCGTATATAAAATTACAATCAGGATGAAACGGAATTATCTCTTATACCGTGCATCCTATAACTATTCCACATGCTTCGTCTCTGATACCACTTCTCGCCAATCATGTCAATCATGCATTAATTACCTCTTTGGCAAATTACGTTCAAGGATTTATTCAAAAGATTCTTGGAAATCGGTCGAATCTTCCCTTCCTCCCCCTCGTGGAGGAATGAAGCATTACGAACACTTTCTTCTTCTGTCAGGATAGCTGCTCGCCTTGAGATTCTGACGGTCTACGACCTCGCATTCTCGCTGTACGTCGACTCTACGTTCAATTTGCGTTCAAAGGAAGACATTAGGTAACGTAGTGCTCGCATCGAGAATATATATCTTGGCGGCCATTGTCTTCTTTGAAGAGTAAGTGGAGCATCTTGCGCATCGTGGTCGTTGAATGAATACGTTCGTGCATCACGTGGATTTCTTTGACGTTCCTGTTTTATATTATATTTAACGCCAATGATTTTCAAATCTCTTTTTCCTTTTTTAAATTATAACTCTCATTTCTTCGAGATTTGTTTCTCTGATTTAATGATCCAGAAATTAAATTATTCCTATAAATATTTCGATCTTCTTTCTTTTTTTAAATTTTAAATGGCCTCACTTCTTCGAGATTTGTTTCGTTTTCTCTGATTTAATGATTCGATCGAGAAATGGTTAACTCGAAATTGGAATTATTCGTGTGAATATTTCGTTCTTCTTTCTTTTTTTAAATTTTAATGGCTTCATTTTTTCGAGATTTGTTTCGTTTTCTTTGATTTAATGATTCGATCGAGAAATGGTTAACTCGAAATTGGAATTATTCGTATGGATATTTTGTCTTACTCATGATTTTGTGACGTTCAATCATAATCAATTCCAATGGTGATCGAGTTACGGTGCTTATTAACGGTGCTTAACATTCTTCGCTAAACACGTATTCACTTCTCTGATGTCCGTTGTTCACGTCCGCCCGTTTAATCTTTTATTCGTCCAATTTTTATTGCTCATCGTAATACATCTCGACTAACACTAGGCGAATAAGGAGATCAAATCAATCAAGTTTGCATTTATAGAATTTAGATAAATTGTTCTTGCACATAGTTTTCCAAATAATTTAAAAATCTTTGTATTATGATCCTTCAGATTTTTAGAAATTTCAAGTTAAATTTACTCAAGAGAGTCTGATGACTGATGACTCTTGATGATTCTATATAATGTAAAAAAACTTAAAAAAAAAAAGATCGATTAAATCTAAAAGTAAATTATCGTTAATTAAGAGGAAGATAACATTCTCGAGAAAAAATTAATCAACAACCGATGAACGATACTTCAAAGTTACTTTTTTCTTTCGATGTTTTGCCGTTGTAACGGAGAGATAATTCTTCGAGAACTCTTCAACAATAGCGCATATTTTTCGCGAATCGTTTCTGTCTTTGTCTGTTTTTTTCACGCTGTCGAAGAAAGTAGCGGACAATAAGACTGCGAGAAAGTTAGTCGCTAAAATAATTAACGTGTACGTATCGTGCTCCATATTGACAACTTTGATGTAATAGAGGGGAAAGAAGAAGAAGAAGAAGAAGAAGAAGAAGAAATTTATGAAGATCGTTTCGTTGAGGATTCGAGAAGGTTGTGCTTTCTCGAAATCATAAAAATTATTATAAACATTGACCTATATATAATATAAAATATTGAACGAGTTTATATTTGTTCTTGGAAAAGAGGAAATACGAATGGAAAGTTAAGATGGAAAGGAAAAATGAAACGATTTGTTTAAATTAATGTTGATGTGATGAAGTTTTTCTTTTCTTTTTAAGAAACATTTATTTCGATAATATTAAATTTTAATGAATATCATATTTCGTAAATGAATATTGTAACCATGTAATTTTTAAGAATTACTTTAATTTTAATATTAATCATAATTCACGCATAATTTCTTTCTACGCGCATTGAAATCACCGCCAGATCTATTGAATCTGTTTTACCGACGTGATATCGTCGCTCTGAACGATGACTTTTTTGCCAAATTCTTTTCAAAATAATTTCACAATGATGACAAATTTCTTTTTTAATTATAAACGAACATAATTAATTTTCATACATAATTTTCATTCATAGCATATATTATTTTATACGTTTATCATATCGTGAAATAATTATTATCGAACGTATTAGAAATAATTAAATCATTACGAATCACGTTTCGAATCATCAATCTTCATTAAACGTCTTCGACTCGGTAAATTTCATTTTCTCGCCTCGAATAAAAATTAAATTCTTCAACAACATGCAATCATTCAACGTCTCATCAAATCCTCCAATCAATGTATCTTACTTTCGTTCTCAATATCGTTCATATTCACAAAAAAAGAAAAAGAAAACAGAAGAACCCTTCGATCTTTCGTGATCCATTTTCCTTCGAAACTTTCCTTTCGAATTATCTTCTTCAATCTGCTGCTGATAACAAAAGAAATCATCCTTGATTTATTATATAATCCAATACTCTCCCAAAAGTGAATCCGAACTGGAGGGAAAGCTCCCTCTCTCTCTCTCTCTCTCTCTCTCTCTCTCTCTCTCTCTCTCTCTCAGAGAGAATCGCCCGATCCACCGCTGGATTCTGTTCTCTGTCGTTCGTACGTAGAAGCCTCGAAGGCATAGCGGGGGCAATGTCAAGGTGGTATAAGGCCTGGTGCATCCCTGACGGCCGGTCATTCCACGCGGAGAAATTCTATCGAAGAAAGTCACTGGGAGGCGACGATCCTCGGAAGGGAATAATATGAAGAGTATCTCGTTTGTGCTCGCGTGTTCGTTGGTGTTAGGCGTGCAGGCGATCGGAAGATACAGGGGATTAGAGTTTTTGGAACCTTGCTCCAAAAGCGATTACAACGTGGAGAGTTGCCTTGCTAGATCGGCCAATGTACTCACCGACCGCTTCCGTCACGGTAAGATGTTGTTCGCCTTTGTTGTTAAGGATTATATAGTTAATATATATAATTTGCATTTGTCGATTATAAAGGAGAAGGTGGATAGCCTTGTCGTTTAATCTTTGAGCGATGTGATTTAATTTTCGTTGTAGATTTTTATTCTTTTATTTATTTATTTATTTTGAATTTATATGAATTTATATGAATTTATATGAATTTATATGAATTTATCGTATCGTAGTGTAGTGAAACGTTGATAGACGCTAGTACTCGTTTCATTTTCTTTTTTTTTTTTTTTTTTTTGATAGATGGATTTTTATATTTATAAGTATTTACATTAGTCTATCTGATGTGAATATATGAATATGTAAAGTATATCGCGTTGTTCCAGTTATTTTTCAAAATCGTCAATATACTATGTTGTTATTTTTGTCCTATTTCTTCGTCAAAGGATTCTTTGTGATGGAAAAAAAAAATCTACTTTTTCTCATTTAAATTAAAAGAGATTTGTATAGTCGATCCTAGAAAGGATAAAAAAAAAAAAAATTAAAATCTTTTTTACCATACAAAAATATCAACATCGTTTTAATTTAAAATTAAAATTATCGAAATCGAATATTATTTAAGCTTGCATTAATTTCTCGAAAAATAATAAAATATATTTGTTCTTCTACACATTCACAAATAATTCTACAATGTTATAATTATACGAATAAAAATTTTATTTCGCGCACTCGAATAAATTCTTCACGTCCCCTCCCCCTCCATGAACCAACGCATTCGTAACAAGAGACCCGTTAGATCACTACGTTTACTAGATGACTACGTTTTATCGCACGTTTGACGGGAGTCCCATTTTCTAAAACTGGAATTTGATGAAAAGTACGGAAGTCGAAAGTCGGAGAATTACAGATTGCGGGAGCACGTGGTGTCGTTTAAAGAGAAAAGAGAGAGAGAGAGAGAGAAAGAAAAAAAGAGAGAGAGAAAAGACACAGAAGCAGGTTATAACGGTGTATTCGAATGGCCATCCAGTGTCCTACATTCCGAGAACACTATACACGAGAGCACGATCGAATAGATTCGATTTACCTCGATTCAGATTGAATAAAACATTAAACAGAATTTTTACGAATCTCATTCTTTTATTTCACTGCTTTTCTCTTTTTTTTTTTTTTTTTATTTTATTGCTTTCGATTATTCTTGGTAAATTTCGATTATATTCTTGGTAAATAAATTAAATAAACACGATAATTAATTAATAGATTAATATTCGAATACACCAGATTAATATTCGAATATTCGAATTCGTTTATTAAAATATAAACAAAGTAAAAAATTGTTATCATCAAAATCGTATTATTATTATCGAAAAAAAGAAAAAAGAAATGGAATTATAATTTCACTTTAAAATTGAAATTTGTAAGGTTTGCCGCAATTGGGATACACAGAGGTGGAGCCCATCATCCTCGACGAGCTTCATATTGCCCTTGGCGAGGGACCAGATGGATATAGAGCTCAGTTCAAGAACATCACTGCAAGAGGCGTTTCCACGTTACGGGTGACAGGTTTGAGGGCCAGATTATCAGACGACGAGGTTCAATTGCAATTAGCTCTAAGCATTCCGAAAATCAGAGCTGCCGCTAAATACAGGTCGAGTGGCACCTTGCTTTTGGTCAAGGCAAGCGGAGCTGGAGATTATTGGGGCGAATACGGTGAGGAATTATTTTTAACGTGATATTTTACTTTTCTTAAATAAATCCTTCAATTTAATTATAATCAATAAAACCGTGAAACATTGAAATGGAAAGAGACTTATAAAGAAGAAGAACGTGAAGTACGAATTAAATTGTTAAAAGAGGATGAAATATCATATTAAAATATTTAGAAATGGTGTCCCAATTGGTGTATATAAAGGTATACATATATTAGTAATTTTAAACATATAAGCGAACAGTGTGATAGAACATCGGGCTAAGTGAAAAGGTAAAAGTCAAGAGCATCGTCAACTTTCACCGCCGACGCAATGCAAATTTGTTTTTCAGCTAACTTTTATGATCGCACCTTTTAAAGATTTCTCTGTTTAACTTAATAATAATATTTAAAGTCGAAAAAATTTATTCAACTCTTTTCTTATTGAGCAATAGTATTATCAGAAAAATTCTACAAAAAAAAAAATATATTTGTTTTATTATGTTATTTTATTATGAATAAAAAAGTGAAGTAATACAAAAGTATAACGTTTGCAATTTTTTATTCAATACAATAATAAATATATATATATATATATTTTTTTACACGTAAAGAAATTCAAAATTATAGATAGTAGTGTTTTACATCTTGAGAAACACTGTAGATGTACAGTGCGAATGGTATCATTGACCTCTCTAATGCATTCGCCTTGCAGAATGCAACCAGTTCTGCATAACTGCATCTTGATCTTCGCATGATAGCTTCGAGCAAAGTTTTTATTATCCATAAAGAAACAGTCTATAAAGATTCTCTCGATAAATCAATGCGAAATAAATCAATTCTCATGTATCATATAAATTCTGCTATTAATAAATTAAAATAAATTTTTAATCATAGAATTGCGAGTGTTTAAAACAATTTTTTTTTTTTTTTTTTTTTTTTTTGGTTATAGAAGGTGTAAAAGCAAAAGTATTTATCAGAGCGAAGCCATTCCTGGTTCAAGATCGTCGTTACTTGAGGTTGCAACAACTTAAGATGGATTTCAGTGTGCAGAATATTAAGATGGGTGTTGAAAATGTTCGCGACAGCAACGCTATAATTTGTAAGTATTTATTCAAAAGTATCGTATCAATAATTCGTGTTGTACGAAGAAAAAATTTTTAAGAGGAATAAAGAACTCGAAGAAAGAGAAATTTAATATAAGAAAAAGAATAAATTAAGAGAAATATTTAAACAATAATTTAAATAACAAATTTTTTTCTCGAATAATTTTTCTCTTTAATAATTTCAGTGGCAGCATTGAATCTTTTCATTAACACCAACAGCCAAGAATTGTTGAAGGAGATGAAACCGGATCTAAGAAGGAAATTAGTTCAAGTAATGACGACATTCGTGGAAAGGATCTTTGCTCAGGTACCATACGATGCTTGGATTCTAGATTAGTTATGAAAGTTGATACAAGATGACGGTTAACGAGCAAGAATGACCAAATATTTTGTTAATTGTTAAAGAAACAAAATAGCTAAAATGTCTCCCATTTTTATTTTGTTAATTTTTTTTTTGCAAAAAGATTTTCCACCAAATGCAAAAAGCAAAAAAATTAATTGAGTGCAATGGAAGTTTTAAATTTGATAATGAAATATTTAAATTATAATAATATCTAAACATAATTTTACCAATTTACCAAAAATCGATGTTAAATTGATTCAATCTTAAAATATTTTATGGTATTATTTATATTTTCCCTTGGTTTATTCATATATCATCATAATGTAAAAACTTTGTAGACATTTTGTATATTTTGTGTGAGATAGTGTGAATGATAATATCGAATCAATATCATCAATAACAATATTCATATTAAGTTATACTGTTCGTGTACTCATCGATTATATGACTAACTGAACAATGAAAACTGGAGGAAAGCTGCAAGCATTCGATATCTTTCGATTGTCTCAAAAAAAAAAAAAAAAAAAAAAAACAATGTATATATCGGATAAGATTTGTAGCTTTTTCTGTAGTTTTCATTTTTTTCAGTTTATATCATGATTTATATTATACACATATATTTTTTTACATATCTTGCTTAATGTTTACGTTTCTCATATACTTTCTTATTATGTATTTATGGTTATAAATGAATATTTATTTCATTAGATTAATTCATCGTTGTATTAAAATAAAAATTAATTCTTATCGAGTTTTGTGAAATATTATTTCGAAAAAAATCAAGCAAAATTACTCATGACTATTTTAAAGATAAATATAATATAAAATTTTCATTCTATGCACATGTATATTCATTATATATTTGAGAATAAGATATAAAGTTAATAGAAATATGGATATACGTACGATATAGACGTCATTTATAAATAAAACATCTTTTCTGAAATGTAATTACCATTTGCAAATTTGAAATCGATCTTTCCGTTGTATGACTCACATTATAAGGAAACATATAATATAAACTTTTTTTTTTTCTCTAAAAATTAATTTGCATAATACATATAAATGACTATTTTAAAAAAATATAAATCTTTTAATAAAAATTCTTCATAAAGATATAATAAAAATTATATAAGAATTTTATTTTATTTTACTTATGATTAATATTATTTCATTTATCTTTGATTCATTTAATTATCACAAAATTATAATTATTACATTGATTATTTATTATATTTTCTACGGAGAGGAACGAACGATACTTTTTTTTTTTTCTATCGTTCGACAATTTATCAATTTCAATGAATAGACATAATAAAATTTTTCATATACGAAATTCGAGCAAAATATGATGAAAAAAAAAAAAAAAGAGAAGAAGAAGAAGAAGGATAATTAATTTGTTTCGACTTTGAAGTTTCCGGAGGATTTCATGAAGATGATTGCTCTCCATTATTCTTCAACTATGATCGATCATATAATTCATGCAATCATTTAATTTGTTGCATCCTGTTCACAATATAAACTGAATATGATTGATTCAAGACAATAGAAAATTCCATAATATCAAAGAAACTAATATCTAAAAACTCAGTCAATTTTTCCAATTTTAAATCATTAAATTTTTATGTCTAACGATCATCAATACAAATAGCAAATCTGATTTTCAATTACACGAAATATACATATTCTTAAATGTTATTTCATTATAACAATTATATTATCATTATTATTATTATAAAATTTTCTTTCAACATTCATTTATTTAGAAATATAATTAATTGTTATATTTATTCAACTCGAAGATTTCGACCATTACTTAAGTTTATTTCATTGATATTCCAGTAAATACCAATCATTTTTTTATTTTGTGCAATTCAATGCCGTGATACAAGTTTACATTGAGATTCCAAGATGACAGTTATTTATTTACTTCGTTAATGTATCGCATTAAATAAAAATGTTAAAAACACAAAAAAGAAATTATATTGTAAAAGGCAATTTTTAATCTTACATTAAATTTTTTCACTCAACAATATTTTATAATAAAAGGTTGATAGTATTGGTAGTATATATATTTGTAAAATTGAAGGTAAAATATACGAATTATCGCTTAAAAAAAAATCTTTAAATTTTCTTATATATATATATATCTAGTTTTCTTTTCTTTTTTTTTTTTTTGTGATCATATTTCGATACATAAAATATTATAAATACATGTAAATAATATTACTGATCTTTATAAGAACTTAATTAATAATTCATGTTTCGAAACATGTATTCCTTGAATTTGCATTTTTATCTTAAACAATATTTCCGCACTTAGACTCTTATGATGTCTGAATATTATAGACGAAAAGGCATTTTTAAAACCTAGTTTTTGTATAATTGATTTTATAAAAATCAACTTCATACGAAAAACGAGTCAAGATAAAAATATTTGCCGAATTTTTAATCCTAATTCCTAAATTAAAATTCCAAGATAAAAATAATCTTAAACTGTTATTAAATATCAATGATATCGTCGAATCAGAGAGTCACACATTCACAAATCGAGGAAGTACATACGTTCGGACGAGGAGGAATCAAAATGGCGAATTCCTCGAAGTGGCATACGCGTTGAAAACCACGAAGATTCCATCGCATCTATTATTCCAAATGCGTATTTTCTTTCCACCGGCTATGCGTGTGCTATATACTCGCTCGTTTATTCCTGTTTATTCTTTCTTTTCTTTTTCAAAAAAAAAACAGACGATTAAACGAAAACGATCCACGATATTGGCTCGTAATATTCGATGACATCGCCGAAGGACGAGTCAAAGTACCATTTCTGCCTTGATTAATCGTGTGCTTAAATTTCTTTATAATAATTTCGCTCAAATATTTTCACTTCAATTGTAAATATAAATTATTATTGTATGACAAGATTTTTACTTGTTTCGAGGTTGATCGTCTCCTTGTCTTATTTTTTCGATCGAAGGAAATTTAAAATATAATTGACTGACAATTTTAATCCGATGCATAAAGATTTTGAAATATTGCTAATTTTCTACGATCAATCTTTTTTTTTTTTTATATTTGAAGATTGAATTTATATGCTTATATGCCAAAATTGAAATAAAAAATGAAGTACTTAATGTATTAGACAATAGAGATTTCTCTAAGAGAAGGGAAGAAAATTAATCTTATCGTATTTCAAATAATTAGAAAGATAATCGAGTTGGCATTTATGACATATTTATGTTGTGATTATAAGAATTGAAAATTAATCACGATAATCTTATTGGCAATTGTTATTCTTTCAAGTGATATCTCAAATTGCTCGTCGAAATTTTATATAATTACAATTCACACGCGAAAAGTTCACCACACTTTTTCAACTTTTTCAACTTAAGATATTAGAAACTGATACGTTCGAACGAATAAATTTCATCGTAAATAAAATCAACCCTTAGTTAGATATATCATTTAGTTAGATAATATCACGACATTTTCGTTTCATATTAACGTTCAGACAATGAGAAGTATCACGATACAAGTCTTGACACGATCACATGCTCAGAATTCGTGATCTGGATGCTGTAAAGCAAATATCATCGAACAACAACTGAAGAGAATTGGTCAGAGAGGGGGAGAAAGGTGGAACTATAAGAACTTGGGGCTAACCACAACAGTATTCACTTCTAGACCGACTATCTGATCATATGAATGACTACTTTGCTCTTGACATTCATAATCTTGTTCAGTTCGTTTTTAGAGATTGTAATATTTTATTCATCTCGAAAATATTGATTTTCTAAGAAGGAGAGATGAACAAGATCGCGCTAATCGGATCGATCGTGGTCATCACTTTTGCCACTGTTTTTGCGCGTGATTTGCGTAAGTGACATTTTTCAATTTTTTTTACTATGCTTTTTAAATTATTTCTTGAGTGAGTTTTTAATTAGAATCAATAATCTCGAAAATATATATTAATATTGCTACATTTCGAATTCTTGTTGGTTTTGGTTCAGAAAAAAATTTTTGTAATTATTTGAGGGAAAAATTTAACGTTTAGAATTAAAATAAAGGATCAAACGTATAGATATAATAATTTTTTTCTTATATTATTCGTTTTAACAGAAAAAAAATGAAATTGAAATATTTATGTCATATTTCAATGATGAAAACATTTGCATCAAAAAGATTTCAAGAATATAGAAGATAGTTATGTTTTAAATCATTAAAATTTATGATCTTTTTTTTCCATTTTGCTTTTTTGCATTTTATTACCATATTCTTACCGAATTAAGCAAGTTTTTCCACTAAACATTTGATTGACATTTAATTTGATTATCATACAATTCGTCAATTGAAAGGAAATCACCTAATTCAATTCTTCATCATCATTATATATCAAGCAACAATTGCAAAGAAACGTATGTACGTATTTTTAAAGACGTGTTTCAAAATAAACATTGGTCAGTATTTATAAACATTAATTTATGATAAGTTTGTTATTTCTTCTTAAAACTGTCAAGAGTATAAAAGATAAGATATTTATTCAAACAATTAGAATAAAAATCAAATAATCATAACCAATTTTTAAATTGAATATGAAATGTTAACAATGTATTATTAACACATTAAATGAAAAGAATATTTTCAATTTGATCAAATTATAATTTTTTTGAAAAATTATTAAATCGATAAATTTGAAAAATTTGTTACAGCCGATTTCATTCACGTTTGCAAGAAGAACGATCCGAATTTGAGCGAATGCATCACGGACAGCGTGAATTATCTTAAACCTTACTTAAAAAGCGGATTACCCGAATACAATATACCCGCCTTGGAACCATTTTTGTTGAAGGAATTGGTAACCACGAGTGGAGGAAACATTAAATTGAAGCTGAGAAACGTCAATGTATATGGAGCAAGTAATTTCACGATAACGAAGTTGAAGTAAGTTAAAAAAAATTGCTAAAAAATTAATTTCACATAAAATCTAATGTTTTAAAGTTTCAAAAAACAAATCAAATTAAATGTCAGAGAATCTAAAGAAACAATGTTACATATTTCCCTTTTGAGTATTAATTTTTTAAAGCATTTTGTTAAATTCAATTTTTAATTTTTATTTATCGAATTTAAGCAATTTTGATATTCAGAATGATATAATTTTATATATATATTTAAAAATTTCGAGATTCAGCAGAAAATTAAAAGAAAATTTAAATTTAAGGTTTTTAACTCCATTGTTAACATTTAAATTATCTCAAAAAATTAAATAATGAATTGATTATTGAATAACATTTGTAAAACTTCTAAAAGGACCGTGTTTCATTCATTCAAAATTCTGAAAAATTTAACTGTTTAAATTTAATTAAAATTATATTGTGCTCATATTGTGTTATATTGTGTTCTAACGATCATCATTATTATTTTGATTAATTCATCCTTGATTTCTCTGTAGATCGTAAAATTGTTTCAGTAATTTGAAATGGCAGAATATGATTATAAACTAAGTCGATTAAATGGTTAATCGCTCGAATGAATCTCTCGAATGATTCATTTCTCAATTTATTCTTCATTTTTTCTTTTTCCTTAAAATAAAAAAAAAATAATCTTGACTATTAAAATATCCAATATTAATTTACATCAAATTAATGTCAAGATAAAAACTATTGTAATGATTTCATCTCATTAAATATCAAAATAAGAAATTCTACAGAGATTTTCCTTTCAATATCCGATACAACGATATTCTTCGTTCTTGGTTAATGAAATTCTCTATTATCGTGTATAATATTAGTTCCTTATTACATTATTGAATTTTATATTTTATGTAATGAATTATATAAGAAAAATTAATAACCGATGATAAGAGATCATTAACTATCCGTAACAAAAAATTATTCAAGGAAAACACCATAAATAAAACGCCATTACATTAAACATACATATACATTAGAATTATGATAAATCGCGATCATTATTTATGATGGTATAAAATTTGCAAAAATTTCTTGGCATAATTATCTTATTTTTTTCGCCATTATTATTCCTTATAGTTGATTTACCATATTCAATTATTGAAATTAATTGCAAATCAATATTCAACGATGAATATTATTATTTAATTTCGATATAAAGTTGTATTTTAATGAATGTCATTCTAATTATTTGATGTAAAAAGAAAAAATATATACATAAAGACACTGAGTAAATAAAAAAAAAAAAAAAAAAAAAAGAGAGATTACATAATATGTCGTGTAAAACAGAAATGGGTACATCATTATGTCAAATTAATGACACGTGTTACGAGTTACAGCGATGAATGACCTGTCTTGAAAATGAAGACATTAATCTAGTCAATGGATTAAAGATATCCATGAAAATGATGTCGAATTCGAAAATTGATTCGAAGTTCAACATGAAATTTTAATATCAGAGATAAGATTGTTTAATTTCTTTCAATTTGTTTAATAGAATTATTAATTTTCATTCAGAAATAAATTTCTAGGTTACTATATAAATTATTATTCTTTTCTATTTATTTTTTTAAATTATTAACTATTTTATCAAATTGATTATCATTGAAGAATTATACAAATACTTCATTTATTATAATATCACGTTGTGATTTTGAGTTAATCTAATTCTTTTGCTAATTTAGGATCGAGACGACATAAATTTATTGAAAATGTGATACATAATTATTTATTGATCGTGTGACTCATAGACAAAAAAAAAAAAAGTTTAAATAAAGAGATCCATCTCTTAATATTCCACGTGTGCACGAGGTAATGGCCATGACACGAACTCTTGCGGTTCTAGTTAGAAATAATTTGTATGGCGAACGTGATACGCGGATCGCAAAAAGATATGGAACCCACGGAAACAATCTGAACGGAAACGATGAATGTCAATCGCGGATGAATCATTAATCAAAGAATTGTTATCGAAAAATTTCTTTCGAAGAAATTCGATACCAATTATTTTTTAAAATTACAAACAATTTTCCATTAAAAATATAATATATTTTTTGATATTGCTCGATCATTACCATAAAAAAAATGATCTCAGAATGTTATGTTATCGGTTAATGTTATATTATCGGTTAATTAATTATGACAATATTTGTCTAAACATGGAGAAGTTGTAAAACAAAATTTTACAATCAAGAGATCCGATTAATTAAATTAACTTTAACGAAACAAATTTCCAAATAATCTTCTAATCAAAATTTATTCTTTAATCATTTGCAGAAGCAACGTAGAAACTTTAAATTTCATAGTCGATTTGGATTTTTCAAAACTCAATATAAAAGGGGAATACGATGTGGATGGACAAATAATTCTGCTACGAATTCGTGGAAGCGGACCTATAATTGGCCAGTTCAACAATTGCAAGGCATTTGTGAAATTGCAAATGGAGGTGATAAAGGGAAAGGATGATCAGAATTACTTAAAACTGACCGATCTTCAAACCAAGATCTTCGTTGGATCTGGCTCCTTGAAGTTGGAAAATCTTTTCGGTGGTGATCCAGTTCTTGGAGATGCTATCAACGTTGCCATCAATAGTAATTTCGACTCTTTTATCCAAGAAATAATACCTATCATCGAGAGCGCCATCTCGAATACATTTACTGATATTTCGAACAGTATTCTGATGCAATTTCCTTATGAGAAACTTTTCCCAGGATCATAGATATTTTTATATATTTTTATATATTTTAGATAACGTGGATCAAAATCTTGTTGAACGATTGGATTGTATTATTAATATCATTAATGAAATTTGATAAAATAATAATTTTTTTTTCTATGATGATAAAAGAAATTTGATAGATAAATGAACTGGCGAAATCTTGAGAGTAAATTTTAAAAATTTTTAAGCCTTTTTTTTATTTTTATTATGAAATTAATATCGTATCAAGTTTTCAAACATGATTAATGATGATTTTTTATGAATTTGGATTAATGGAAATAATACTATGATTCCAAAAATCATTTTGTGATTCTCTTATGGTTCACAATTGAGATTTGGAATAATTAGGAATTTGATTGATATGTCTCAAGTAATTTTGTAAAATTTTGTAAAATAAACAAATTATAATTCAATTATTTCATTAATGTTATTAATTAGGTAGTAATGTTTTGTTAACTGGTTATTATTTTCATTAAATATAAAATATTTTTAACAAACATTTCTTTTATGATCTCATTACAAATATTCATATGTTATGCAATGGAAAAGAACAATACTTAAGATTTTCTAGAAATGTTGTATTTAAATATTTCTTTATATTGAATTAATAGCTGTTTAACGAAGCATTATATTATATATTATTGTATATTATTGTATAAGAGAGTTTAGATCTGAATTTTATTATATATTCAAAAATGATAATTCATTTTATTTCTATGTATGTTCAATTTGCACTTTGAAAATAAGAATTGTCAGTTTCTTTTTCTTTTTTTTTTTTTTGTGATTCACAATACAAAAAATAAGTATTACTGTTCTTCAATGATTCTTCATTCTTCTGATAATTTGATTCTTGAACAATTTGATTGTTAATTAATGTATGCATTATAATGTAATGTATACAAGGTTAAAAAACATGCCAAATAAATAAATTACAATTATTAAAAGAATTTTTTATTAACTATCTAAAAAATTTTTCTTGGTTATCTTGTAAGTTGTGTGATTTATAGATTGAGAAATAAAAATAAAATTCTAAGAAACTTTCCAATTTTGTAATAAAAAAAAAAAAATCTTGAAAGATATTAGGATATAGAAGATTGGAATATTTTTTAGATTTTTACAAAATTTTTAATCATTTTCTAACATTACAACTTTATTTAACATTACAATGACGCGACAAGTAATAATAATTAATATTCTAATACTTACATATTTATTTATGCATTTTTTAAATTATTTATATATTTTTCCATTTTTTAAAATATTTAAATTATTAGATTTTTTACAAATATAAATTTTATTGTATATTATTTTTATTTTTGCAATTATTTTAAATTGTTATATTTTTCTTGATTCTTGACTCGTTGAATTCTATACTCGAAATCAGTTAGTTATAATGTTAGAAGGCAAAAAACGTATACAATTTCGATTATTCGATTATATCTTAAAAATATCTTAAAATAATTGAAAAAAATATTTGATAGAATATTTTAATAAAAAAAGAAAAAAAGAGTTAAAAAATGAAAAATCATCATACATACATCGTTGCAGAAAATTGTTGGCAATAAAATCGATCAATGTTCTTCATTCTCTATCGGGGAGTAATTCATCAAAAGTGAAATGTTTACAGAAATTATTGCATAATTCAAGAGAATTTTTTGAAATGACCTTTTCTATATTAGGTGTGAAGATTTCTAATATCTCTTCATTATCAATCTTACTTAGCGTTTCTTTCAAAAAGTCGAAAACATCCGAATCGAATTCGAAAGACAAGCTTCCGATATTCAGATTTGGATTTATCGATTTGAAATAGAGATATTGTTTGCCATCGCGTTCTATTTTCTCCAAGAACAATTTCGCCTTTGATTTTATGTTTTCTGTAAACGAAATTTATTATCATTGTTGCATCCTTGACAAAAGTTTTACTTAGAATTATTAGAAATTGAATATTTTTACAAAATATTCATTATTTTGTAAATATTACATTATGATGGTAAAATTAAAAATTGAACGTGATATAAAATTATTATCAAATATTTTATATTGCGAATTAAAAATTAACTATTATTAAATATAAATACATATATATTTATCCATTTTTTTAAATAAATATTTCTTTAAAAGTTATTACAAAAATATTTTAACTAAGAATTGTATCTTGAATATTTTTAAAAATTTAATGGAAAGTTAAAATATAACACATATTAAAAAATTATTATCGATTATTTCGTGTTAAGAATGAACAACCAGATCAATTGATTCCTCGATTATACTTACCCCCTTTCAAAGTTAATTGTCCGTTTTTCTGTATAGGGACCAAAATATTCATGGTCATATTATAATCAACATTAATTTCATTTTTATCGAAATAAAAATTTATGTCCAATTCCATTTTCTCGAGGTCCATGTGCAAATATTCTATACGAAATGTCGATAATTGATACAATTTCACGTTCGTGCCAACAATCTTAAAGTTAGGCAAGTCGATAATCGTTATATCATCGAGCAAAAACGGCTCTATTGGCAATAAATTTATTTCGGGAATTCCCTCAACAAGCTTCTTGTTCAAATTTTCAATGCTTTTGATGACGCAATCATCGAAATTCGGATTCTTTTGACCACAGATTTGAATGTACGAAGCTGAAATCCGAGTACGTGATTTATTTTTCATATTTTTTCTTTGAAACGTGAAATTTTTTTTTTTTTTTTTGTTTTATTTTCTGAAATTAAACATTTCTATATTCCTTCATTCTTCTGACATATAAATTGTTTCTTCTGACATATAATTGTTTGGAATAAGATTTGAGGGAATGATTATGAGTATTCTAGAAAAGAGTTATTGAATATAACGACATTGAAATTATTTTGTTTTAATTAGGAATAGAAAGAAGATACGCATTTCCAAGGGAAGTATATAATTTCTTTACGAAGAAAGTTAGATTCGTAAATATTATGCAAACGTTAAAATATTAACAATTCTAATTCTATGTGATAGTTTCTTCCATAATATAGTTTGATCGATATAGAGCGTAGAATATGAAATGTTTCTTTCTTTATTTATTTTATATTTTAAACTTATTTAAAATCGAGAAACTATACATTTTCAAGATATTTTGGCTTATAACAATTTTATTTCAAATAATTAAGATTCATTAAGATTATATTATTAAAAATTTATTTGATAAAATTAATTTGGTTGTAAAGTTTATAAATGTAACATTACAGTTTAGAATAATTGATCAAAATTTCTTTGTCTAATATTCATCTTGATTGTTTTAACTTTCATATGCCATTAGATATATCTGCTTCGTTGTTTCTGTACAACATAGAATTTAAATGAAAAAAATGTTTTTCCGTATTGTTCGACCTTCCCTTGATTTAAAATGTGCATCATCATTTCCAATGTAAAATTCATCATATAAATCGACTCGTTACCCAAAGTAAATCATTTTTTTCTATAAACTACTTTTTTGTATTAAATTTATCATATTAATCGATTTTTGTCTATGTAAATTATCTTTAAATATATAAATTATTATTTTTTATAATGGAAATGGAATGGAAATTATCTGAAAATCTCTACTTATTTTAATTTTAAATCAATTAAAATAATCACATTTAATTAATTTTTTAGATATTTAAATGTATTTACTTTTTATTGTAATATAGATTTTCAATTTCAATATATCTTATAAAAAAGATTCAAACATAAATTATTATAAAAAAATTAATTTTATATATAATCTTATACATTTATTTTAATATCGTATCTTTTATTTCAAAGATTAAATATAAACATTTAACAAACATTTAAAAAAAAGATATAAGATAAAAGATATTTAGCAAATTTTATTTAAACAAATTGGATCATTAAAAAAAGCTTATTCTTTTCTGTCCTCTTCGATCATTTTGATTAAAACAGAAAAAAAATAATTTTAATAACTAATTTTCAGTATATATTCATTTATATATATTTAGTTTTTTATTATTCTTCTTCATTTTTACATACATATATTTATTATATAATTCTTTATACTATATTACTTACATTTATATAAATTAAATTCAATGCAAAATATTTCATTAATATTTTATTTTATAAGACTTTATTTTATAAGTCTTATTATAGCTTCAATATAATCAATAATTCATTGAATTAAATTGAATCACTAAATTCGTCTTGACTAGTTATAATTAATTACAATACTAATATATATAATGATAAATTTATAGAAATTTAATTAATTATATTTTTTTATATTTTAATTAACGAACACTTTTCAATTATTTACACAGATATTATATCAATTATGAATTTGAAGAATTCCAGAGATTTATTAAGATTCTTGATAGAGAACAGAAAAAAAAGAAAAAAAGAAATAGAAAAAAAATTAATTTGACAATTTTGAAAATTTCTGGAATACAATTTTTAATTTGAATTCAATTTAATATTTTTCTTTTATTTAATTTTAATTAATAATATACTTACGAACTTCAGATACCGTATTTCCAATAATGGCTATGATTACAAGAAGATACTTGGCATACATTTTTTCTTACTAATGATTTTAACTCAACCGATTTAACGAAGAAACTGATCCTCGTTTGTTTTTAAAAGCATATTATATAGAGCTTCAGTAATTAAAGAGAATATTATGTGAATGATCAAGATATGAATATTTGCATAATTATAAATAATTGTAAATTCATAGTAACGATTAAAAGCTATTCAAATTCAACACATATACAGGGTATTTATGTTATATGTGCACGTATATTTGTAGATCTTTGGAAGGTCGATTCTACATAAAAATTAGTATGCAAGAAATATTAGTTGAGATTTATTTATTAAGATTCAGAATTATCATATTAGAATGACAATTTCAGATTTGAAATTGTTTGTTTTATAATTATTGTTGAAAATACAAAGATATTTTTGTGAAAATTAATATTGAATTTATAAATTAAATTATTTAAATAAAATTAAGTTTAAATTAATATTGTTTCAAGTTACAAATTATAAACAATTTAAATTTGTACTAGATAAAGCGATGTTTTTCTTATTGTTATTTGTTATTTAACATTGAAGAAAAAATATAATAGAGTTATAGAGATCATTTTTTTTTTTGGCCTATTTAATTTTTATGTATTTCCATAAATGTATTCCAATAAATGTAAAAATTTATAAAAATGAAAATCTTGTAATTCTCATGAGAATCATGAGAATGAACTATGAATCATGGGAATCAAACGATAATATATCAAAATAATTAAATTATAAACAATCTTTTATTTGAAATATTAGAGAATTTATAATTTGTATTTGAATAATTAATTTATATGGATATACGTCGTAACTATTTTCTTACTGTATTTAAATATTGCGTCAATCTTTAAAATCACTGATCATGATGAAAAAGAAAAGTTGATTAAATGATTTTTTCTTTTCTCGATTTTATTATTACACTTAAAAACCTAATTCTTCTGCATTTTTTTGAGTAATTTATTATTAAAATAGTCAATAAATTAATTTTTAGAACTTGTTATCGTCTGAAAATATCGAAATTCGATCTTACTTAATCTATCTAAATAAATAACAAATTTTAAATAATACATTTTATTTGAAATAAGAATAAAGAATAGAATTTAATTTAAAATTTTTTCAAAAAACATTAGAAATACAAAAAATACAAAAATGAAATGAAAAATTAATTCAATCAACAGCCAAATAATGAAGTAATTCGAAGGAAAAATCATTGATTCTTTTTCAAAATCAAGAAGACACGAGATTGATCAGAGATTTAATTAAAAAATTTAAATTGTCTTTAATTTTTCCTTTCAATTAATTTCTATCCATATGAAAGTTTTTTTTCTTCTCAAAATTTCTCTGATCTTTCTGATGATTAACATATACACCTCATGCACGTATAATTAATCGATAATGAATTTATTTAACGAGTAGCCAATTTGTTTGTATTAAAATGCAAAATAAAACGAAGATTTCAAAAAAGATAAAAATATTAAGATTAAAATATTATACAGAAATATGATAAATACAGTATAATTCTCATAGAGAAGTACGAAGGAGGGATAAGGTATAAAAGAAGAAGAGAAAGTGGATTGTACGAAGTCAGACGATGCTCGAGTAGCAGACGAAGAACTATGACTTGTTCTTTCTTAATTGTATACTAGCAACGAAAGTATAATAAGAGAAACTACTGAATTTACTACCGTTTCTTTGTTACTTATTATCTTTGTATTCGATGTTTCGAGTAAAATTTAAAAAATCTTTCTATTATTATTCTTGTGAAGAAAATGGTTAATGGGGAAACGAAACGTTCGTAGTCAGACGTGTCTACAATACAATATATTGTAAGAAAAAGAAAAATATTTGTTTGATACAATTTTCATTTCCGATATTCGACGATATCAAAAATTGATTAAATAAAGAAATAATTTTGTATTCAATGTAAAATTTAAACAAATTATTATTCCTATAAAATAGGTAAGATAAATAAGATAAATAAGGAGAAACGGATCGTTTGCAGACAGACGCGTCCACTATAATACAATCAAAAGTAAAGAAAAAAAAAAGAAGTATTAAAATAATTATCAACAATTCTTTGAGTTCAAATTGAAATTGTTAAACGAATCGACTAAATCTCAACGAATTTTATCGATTAATTAAATCTTAAGAATATTAAATTAATATTTATTAACACATATGTCACAAAAAAAAAGTTATTGAAACAAATATTTTCCAATAAAACTTTGCAACTCGATTAATCTGACACAAAAATACGACACTCTCTTTCGAAGAATTCAAGGAAACATCTCACGATGTTGATACAAATTACAGAAACGATTAAAAAAAAAAAAAAAAAGAGAAAGAAAGAAAAAGAATGAAATCCACATTGGCCGTGTTGCAATTTATCACGAAGTAGATACTTACAAGATACTTACAACTCGAAACGTAGTAATCAAGATCGAATGTTCAACTTTGCTCGCATATTTTGTCACGGATCGAAGGATTTCGATCTTTTACTTTCGCCGTCTCGAAGTAAAAATCGCGGAAATCAGTTTGACCGATCGTTTTCCCTCTTTTTTCTTTTCATCCCCTACCTACGGATCGCAGCGCCAATGCTCGATGGCGGAAGAACGCCGATCTAACGTGGATCGTTTCGTTTCGCAATTAACTTTTTACTCGGTGATTACTATTTCGATCCACCGGTTACCGCCGGTTTTAACGATCGAGCGAAGCGGTCATTGTGGAATTTCTTATTTGTTAATAGACCGAGATCAGTATTCGGGCGTCGATGTGGATAATTGCACTGGCATGCGTGCTCTCCTCCACAAAATTCGATTAGGAATCGCTTCGAATCGAATCGAGTTTCTCACAGAGATAATTATGGACTAAAAGGAAAGGAAATTTTTCAAACAAATTTCAGATAAAAATCAAAATTAATTGTTGATATAGGTAGAAAAATATAATTTTTTAAATGCACGATCGAATTTTCGTTCGATCCAGTGTACAGCACAATGGTAATTCGGAAGTCTCTGAAAGATTCTTTGAGAAACGATTAGATCTTTCTGTCAAAGTAGAATTTTGTGAAATTTTTTGCTTCTTTTTTTAAAATTTTTATCGCGTTTCCATCAAATTGGCGAGTTTCGAAGACTTTCCAACACTTTCTTCAAGTAGACTGTAAAATTGCATCAATATTCATACGTAACGTTAAAATTAACAGCACGTAACAATTCAACTGAGAATCGTTCGATTTGCAATGCAAAACGATATTGCTGACACTAGTTGATTTTACGACATCACATGGAAAAATGGGAATTGTGGTGAATTAATATTAACGTTGCTTTTGACGTAGTCTCCTGAGATTTTAAATTTATTTCATACAATTGAGGAATATAGAAAAAAATGACACAGATAATAAATTGTTTAATTTAATTTTAAAACTATCTCAATATTACATTATTGTACGTAAGCATATTACTTAAAAAAAAATATGTCAAAATCCTTCTCAAAATAATTAAATATAAGTTAAGTTTAAAAGTATCTCTTGATTTGTAAAAAATGGAGAAAAAAATTATCGATTAATGGCGTTTGAAGCTGTGGCGGGAAAATTGAAAATCGTATCCTCCATTTCTAAATAATTCGAATTTTTTTTACTTGAAACCATTTTTTAAATTCATTGCACTAGAGATTGAGAATTATTAATATTATTATATTTGCGATTCCCATAAATTTTTTCAAGAATATAAAAGTAATAAATTAAAATTGATTTTTATGAATTTTCCATCTCTTACACGTGTCATAAAATTTGTACAATTTGTCTTTGTAAATTTTCCATGCATTTTCCTCCTTTCTCCTTGCTGTTTCTTTGATCGATTCTCTAATAATTTGCTACATCCCTTGATGAAACTTGTTATTACTCGTTACAGACATTTGCTTCGTTAAAAAACGTTATACAAAATATTATACAATTAAGCAATCTGAATTTGTGTGAATGGCGTAACATTTACTATGATTTACGATTGTTTACGAACTTACACGGTTTGTAATTTCACTGGCGCGCACATTTCTCATTTTTACAACTAACGCGTGTAATTGTAAATTCTTTACGTTATAATTCTCATGTATTTGTCATTACATAAAGAAATTCTTCGAGGATTCTTGAAAATAAAATAAAATATTTTTTTCCTTTAATACATGTTTCTAGGCCGTCTTGAAGAATGATTTGCTAATTTATTACGTTTATGTATTAAAAAACATCTATTTATACATTTTAATTTGATTTTATTCTTCTTCTTTTCCACTCAATCAATTCCATTCTTATAATATTCTTTCATAAAATGGCGTATTATTATTCATTATCATTCAGGATTTAATTTCAAGATTATTTGTCACTAATAATTTTTTTTCCACCCAGTCACGTAAATTATTCTTCTTTTATTTCTTCTCCTAGTCTGCAATTCTAAATTCAATTTTTAAATTCTTTTATTCGAAGCTTCTTCACTTCAAATTTAAACTCCTACATTTCTGAATTTTTCTGAATTTAATACTCAAAGATCCTTCGATCGCTAAAATAACTTAAACTTCATACATTCACTTTCAAGCATGCGATATATTTAACCAAAAATACTTCAGAATCATTCTCAATATTCACTCGAACGAAATTCTCCAAATTAAAACACGCCAAAACTCGTTTCATCGCCATCTTCGCACCCTTCTCCTCCTCCTCTAATTAAATCAAAAACTTCAATTTGCTCCACTTCCACTCCTTGCCTCTAAAATTTCTTTATCTTTTCTATCTCTCTTTTCCATCTCTTTATAGAATTCGAGCAACGAGGGAACGAAATTGGCGAAATTGGCGAAGGAAAAACGGATGGATCGTGGCAAAAGGCGATTCGACGCCAAGTACCACCGTTCTCCAGCCATCGACATCGGCACTATGGACTGGACCAATGACCGACAACTGGCACGAGGTAATCAACATGTCTGATTGCGATAAGGCAATCCTTGCACACCGTTGCTCGGGGATCGTGGGTTTAGATATCATCCCCCCGTCTTTCGATCGGTTAGTCGTCCAGTATCTGCCGCGATGCACGCTCTTCTTCCACGTCTTTGGTACGAACGATTTTCTCTTTCTCCTCTCGAGTCCATCCTAGCACAAGTGCAAGTATATCCAAGTTTCAATTATCATATTATTTGTGGTTCAACGCAATGAGGGAAGGTGGAAATGTGGTGTTTGTGGTGCGAACAACTGAATCGAATTTTGTTAATGTATTTACATCGAAGAGGGAAGTATCGATGCGTTTGTTAAATTGTGAGCGATGGAAATTATGAGTTAGATCAATAATGATACGATAAAACAGTTTGTATCACTTTTACTCTCTCTGGAATTGATCTCTTGAAACGATGATATATATATCTAACATCCTGTATGTACAATTTCTGAGTTAAATATTAAAAATGAGGTGTTAAAGAAAATAAAAGATTGTGAAAGTTCAGAAGTTTATTTTTCTTAATCTTGACTTGTTGACAGGATAATTCAAATAAATTATAGGTTTTATATATATATATGTATAAATTGGTGGTAGTTTTTGAATTTTATTTGATTGAGAAGCATCAGATATCAAGTGAAACAATCAAAATCTTAATTTTGGAAAATATATACAAAATAGTTTGTTTTAGAAATCTCTTTTGTTCAAACAATCTATGTTTTTTTACACTTTTTTAAATATTTCAAATATCAATCAACTGTCCACGTCTTGATTTGTGTTGACAGAGGATAGATTTTTCTATACATAAATTGATGATAGTTTTTACACTTTTCTGAATATTTCAAGTATCAATTGTCCACGCAATTCCATTCAATTAACGAACGTCACCGGTCAGAGATATATTATGCAGAAACAAAAGTAATATAAATACACAATTTACATTTAAAGATACAAAACACGGAAGAAATAAAGTTTCACAAGCCGCGGATCGAATATGTTTGCGGTTTAGAAATGCAATAATGATGTAATAATGCTATATTTCATTTACATTAAATTTAATTTTAATTCGTTCAAATCGATAATAATAATAATCTGATAGATTACCATTTGAATAAATTATCGTACTACATAGAATCTTTAAATTGATTGAAATTGTTTATTCTTAACAATCCTTTTAATATTTCTTTCTAATTCTATTTTGATTTATAAATAATTAATAATTACATTATTTATAATTAATCGTTATAATTAGAATTTTTCAAATTGTACATTAAGAACGTCTTAATAACATAATATGTATAGCCTTGATTCATTTTTAATAAGTTTTTTTTATTAACATTTTATTAACATCCACTTAAATATGTATCTATCGTATAATCGATCGATTTAAATGCAGAATTTCTTATTAAACGTTGATACGAGAACACAAACATGTAATTATTCTTCATTATTTAAAATTATTAAGATCAAATTTTAATAATATTTAAACAAATTTTTTTTTTTTTTATTATATAATGATATTTATATCTTAAGATTTTTTTTCTTTCAACGTTGGAAAATAAATAATAAAAATGGAAAATAATTTTCTTATAATTAATATAAATTTCTTATATTAATATAAACAAATGTTATTAAATTTAAAAAAAAATGTTATTTTATCGTTCCTTGTTAATTAAGATAGATCAAGGTTAAAAATTATATTTATATTTCTACAAATACTTAATAATGCGATCAACTGATGTTTTTCTATGTTTTTTTCTTTTTTTTTTCTAGCCTAATGGCACTTCTAGTTCCTGTAATCTTCGCCGTTTTACGTAAGTATTTCTTTATAATATCATCATCTTTAATCTTTAATAATTAATTTTATTTTAAAAAATAGAAGGATCTCTATATTGATTATATATTATTAAGATATTTTTATATCTTTATATATTTTCTATATTCATTCGTTTGAATTCGTAAATGGCAATAAGATTATAGCAGATTATAAATTATGATATCCATCTTTTTTTTTAACAAAATTATTCACGAATAATCTTAAAATAGATTCTATTTTTCATCTGTTAAAAATTCCTTCCATTTTTAACATTAAACCATTTATTTCTATTTCGAATTGATTACAAATTACAAGCTAATTTTGACGTCAGTCAAATGAATTAATCTCGAGAGTTTGTTTTCACAGACAGAGATCTTCGTGAAAAGACTTTTGAGAATCGATTGCAAAATTTCGATTTAATAGCGATTCTTCGAGAAAAATAGAAGTATGTCGCGTGCATTTTAAACATGGTTTCGACATTGTATCGTGCCACTTTTCAAAGAGGGCCACGACCTTAAACTCGTTCGATGCAAGATCGCCAATCCGATGCACTATTTTTTCACAAATCGATTGAATGGGATTCGTGAAAATTTGAATTTCGAAAAAATTAAATAATGTAAATATTCTAAAAAATAATCAAATTCCGAATCACGTGCTTGAAATTCTATCTATTATCTTCGAAATTAAAAATACGTGAATAATTATCAATATTATTAATCAAAATTGTATTTCTCGAATTTTTTTACATTTTACGATATCGTTTGTGATTATCTTCACGCTTCGAAAATCAAGAAAATTTCCATTAAAAAACGAATCATTAACTTGCAATTTTACTAATTTACCATAGAAATTAATAAAAAAATTCATCGTTCAAAATAGTATCAACTTCAACAAAATATTATTATTCATCTCTTTTCATTTCCTCTATAATTTTTTAATTCCCCTAGATTCCCTTAATTTCCTTGTGCTCCAAATCCATCTCTCGAATTCTCCCTTTTTCACTTCCAATTCCCTTTTTATCTGTCCAACCAACCAAGGAACGGATTCAATAATTAGTCAATTGAACAATTGAATGGCACAGCGTCGTACATAAAACCGTGCAAGAAGAGAGATCCGGACATAAACGAGTGCATCACGAGATCGATCGATCAGCTTCGCGACAAATTATCGGCTGGAATACCGGAATTCGAGGCGCCACCCATCGAGCCCCTGTACCTCAAGCAAATTCGCCTGTCCAGGGGACCGGTTGGAGCAAGACTTGACGTCAATCTCACGGATTTGCGGGTAAATTTGCGGAATGTCGATCGTTCCACATCGATCGACATTACTCTTTTTTATAATTTGAAAAAATATCTAAGTATATTTACGCTCACAATCTTGCACACAAGTATTTCGAAACGCGAGAGAATAATAAAATCGATATATAATGGGATCGATTATTCTAAAGGATTTTTCTTAAATATTGGAAAAAAGGGAACTAATAAAGGATTAATAAAAAAAAAGATCGTGTTACGATTGATTGATAAGTTTTTCGTGGAAAAAAATTTGGATTTCTGGAGCAATAAATGAGATACGATAATGTGATATTTCCTGATATTTTCTTGTATTACTTTTTTACATTTTTACTATTTTATTTTACAGGTGTTCGGCCCATCCACATTCAAAGTTCGAGATCTCAAAGCGGATGTCGAGAACGTGGTCTTCACTTTCAAGGTCAACTTTGAGAAACTCCATTTCCAAGGGAAGTATCAGATCGACGCGAGGGTGCTTTTGCTCAAGCTGACGGGGGAGGGAAACATTACTGGAACCTTTAGTAAATAAATTTCTTTTTTTCTTTCTTTTCTAACCGATTTTTTAGAGTTTTCTATTTTTTTTCTCCTAATGAATATTTAATTTTTCACCTCTATTTTTTTTTTAAGCCGACTATGATTCAGACGTCGTTTTACGGGCGCGCAAAGTGTACAGAGACAATGATATCTATCTCAACTTTGAAAGAATGAAAGTAAAGATCAGAATTGGCAAAGCACACTTGCATCTTAGTAATTTGTTCGGCGGTGATACTGTTCTTGGTAAGTTAATTATAATTCTTCGAATAATCTTTTTTTTTTTTTTTAATAATAAATTAGATTCTCAATGAATTAGAAAATAAGTTAAATCTCGTATTTACGAATAATTCAAAATAAAAATGATAATCGGAATTGAATTGTGAAATTTGATTGAAAATGATTGAAAGATTAATAGTTAATGTATAATTTCATTCATTTCTTTCTTTCTTTTTTTTTTTTTTTTTTTTTTTAAGCTGCAGCCACCCATGATCTGTTGAACAACAACAATGCATTATTCTTGGACGAGATCACTCCAGTATTGGAAACATCCTTGGCGGATCTTTTCACAAACGTGGCCAACAAGATCACAAAATCTTTCACGTACAAAGAATTGTTTCCGGATGATTGAATCTCCCTTCCATCCATCTTTATCTTCGTCTTGTAAAAATTTGTACAGTTGCATTTTCTATTAATTTTTCAAACGGGTTTTCATAATTAACATATAATCGTACGTATAGAAATTTTGTACAATCGAAGGGAAGTTTTTAAATTATAATAAAATTTTAGCAATTTGTTAATTTTATAATTAAAAGAATAATATTTATATATATATAAAGAGAGAGAGAGAGAATTATAAATGTACAATATATTTTGTACATAAAGTTTGTAAAATTATTTGGTGTTTTGAATATAGTATGAAAATAGAATGTACATTTCTATGTAATATTATAATAAAAATGAAATAAGATTTATTGAAACATTTATTCAATTTATAATTAAATCTATTAAACCAGATGATTGGAATATAATCATGACAAAATTACAAGTTGATTATTTTCTAGCTTTTAAAATCATACTTTTTCGTGTAATAAAATAGATGAATAATTATCGTCAATCATTTAATCATTGAAATTTTCTTTTTTAATAATTTTAAATGAAAAAAAATTTACAATCACAATAAAAACATAATTTTTCCCATAAGATATATATAAAAATATGAAAAATTTAAGAATACTAAGTTAATTATTATAAAAATTAATATATGATTACACAACAATAAAAATAATTAAAGCAAGAATTATCTATTCCATTTTTAATTTATCATTATAATACTATTGTAATGATCAATCATACTATGATGCATTTTAATATATATACCATGTATCAAAACTATTAAAAATAGATCTACTATCATTATCATAACGATTTAATTACTTATAAGTACGAGAAAAATCGAAAAAGAAGATTCTCTTTTTTTCAACACGTTTCTATTCAATTTCTTTTCTTTCCTTTCCTTTTTCTTTTTTATTTTCAACATCAATCTATTAACACTATTTTCAACATCGAGCAATTGTATACAACACGAAGTTTCAAACTTTTAATTATTCTTTAATATTTTTAACACGAAAAATTTCTCATTCCTCTCAATCATTTATCATTTTTAATCCACTATTCAATTATATACAATATATTTCATCTGTGCGAAATATCACGATATTATTACACTAATTTATTATCTCTTCTTAACGAAACGTGTCGAACTCATAATTAAACTTCTTGCATCTTAATCTAACGGACTAGGGAAGCAATTCTTGTTTCGTGAGAACGCTCAACGCTCTCGCGACCAATGCTCTGCTCACGGTCGCCGCTGTGTCCTCGATAATAGGACTGGCTATGTCCAGGACTAATCGTGGATTCGAGTTGAAGAATGTCGCTGCGGCCTCGGCTGGAAAGGAAGAAATTCAATGGGGAGAAGAGCGAGAAAAGATTGGGGAAAATAATTAAAGCAAAAGCCTTTTCACAAACGTGTGAAATTGTTTGTTGAATTTTTTTGAAAGGAAAGATTAATCGAAACTGGAAGAAGGACTATCATAATACGTAATATTTTCAAGATTAATATCAGAAGAAAAAAAATCGAACTTACCCGCTGCACTATGATTGGGAGGTGCTTTCAATTCGATGTTTCCACTTTCAACCCGAATTTTCGTCACCAACTTGTCGATCTCGATCTTTTGCACCCCCTTCGCGTCCGTCACTTCCTTGCCCTGTGCCTGCACGTCCACCTTCGTGTCAGCTTCGTGCCGGAAGGAAAGAGGATCAATTATAGAAGAAACACTCTCTATCTGTCTATTTCTTTCTTTACATTAAGCACCCCTGTATACTGCCCTCTTTTACCACCACGATTCCGTTCTCTGTCCACATGACATAAGGATAAAAATTTCACTCACTGAAATTCCCTCTGAAGTTACCAGCCCCGTTCAACGGAAGCAGTAGCAGCCTTCCCTGAACGTCGTAGTTGCCGTTCATGTGCACGTGCGGCAGTCGAACCTTGATGTTCACCGACAGATCGTTCGGGTTCGCCTTCAAATCGTCGATCGCGAAATTCGTTGCGCCATAAACGCGGATCTGGCTCATGTTCGCCTTGATCTTCAACGTCTCCAGGTTTCTGTCCACCGTCAACGAGGGTAGGAAAAGCGGGTCCAGGGCGGGCAGCTTCAAGGAGGGGATACCGTTGGCCAGGTAAGGGGTTATGGCGTTCAATTGTTGGAGCACGCACACGTTGTATTGTATCAAGTCGTTCGTTCGTGGACACGGCCTTACACCAGGCGCTGGGAACAAGAAAAGTTTTTTACGAACGGGAAAGATTGAAAAGGGAAATTTTTTTTTTTTTTTTTTTTAAAATACGTAAAATTAATATTAATATGGGGTCAGTTCGTAAGATTTTTTTCTTTTAAAATATGTAAAATTAATAACGTATAATTTTATATTAATAAAATTAATACGTCAGAACGTATTTGTAATTTCGTTTTTATGAATGAAAAAAATTGAAAATTTGGGGAGAAACTTTTTTCTTTTGAAACACGTAAAATTAATATTAATAAAGAGTTAGAACATTCATAAGTTCGTTTTTACGAATGGAAAAGATTGAAAATTTAGGGAGAAACTTTTTTTTTTCTTTTAAAACACAAAATTAATATTAATATGGGGTCAGAATATTTTTGTAATTTCGTTTTTACTAATGGAAAAAATTGAAAATTTGGAGAAACTTTTTTTTTCTTTTAAAATATATAAAATTAATATTAATATGGGGTCAGTTCGTAAGTTCGTTTTTACGAATGGAAAAGATTTTTTTCTTTTAAAATATGTAAAATTAATATCAATACGTCAGAACGTATTTGTAATTTCGTTTTTACTAATGGAAAAGATTGAAAATTTGAAGGAACTTTTTTTTTCTCTTTTAAAATATATAAAATTAATATTAATATGGGGTCAAAACTTTCGTAAGTTCATTTTTATGAATGGAAAATTTGGGGAGAAACTTTTTTTTTTCTTTTAAAACACAAAATTAATATTAATAAAGGGTAAGAACATGTTTGTAATTTCGTTTTTACTAATGGAAAAGATTGAAAATTTGGAGAAACTTTTTTTTTCTTTTAAAATACATAAAATTAATATTAATATGGGGTCAGAACATTCGTAAATTCATTTTTACGAATGGAAAAAATTGAAAATTTGGGGAGAAACTTTTTTTCTTTTAAAACACGTAAAATTAATATTAATAAAGGGTTAGAACATGTTTGTAATTTCGTTTTTACTAATGGAAAAGATTGAAAATTTGGAGAAACTTTTTTTTTCTTTTAAAATACATAAAATTAATATTAATATGGGGTCAGAACATTCGTAAGTTCATTTTTACGAATGGAAAAGATTGAAAATTTGGGGAGAAACTTTTTTTCTTTTAAAACACGTAAAATTAATATTAATAAAGGGTTAGAACATGTTTGTAATTTCGTTTTTACTAATGGAAAAGATTGAAAATTTGGGAAGGAATTTTTTTTCTTTTAAAACACGTAAAATTAATATTAATAAAGGGTTAGAACATGTTTGTAATTTCGTTTTTACTAATGGAAAAGATTGAAAATTTGGGGAGAAACTTTTTTTCTTTTAAAACACGTAAAATTAATATTAATATGGGGTCAGAACGTGTTTGTAAAGAGAAATATTGAAATATTTGTAAGTATAATAGTAATTGGAATGGAAGGAGAACTGGAAGGGAACAGAGGAAGAAACTATCGAGGTTTCTCTTCCTATCGAGTTTCGCAAAGTTTCTAAAAGATTGGAATTTTCGTTCGAGTTACCAAACTTCCCTCATTAGCAAAACTTCCTTTTACCTTGCGAAAGGGGTCCTGTGGCACTTCTATCCAACCAGTGAAAACCACACTGCTCGCGTGTTTCTTAAAGCCTATAATTATTTTAGCTGCACTCGGTTTCAACAATTTGAATGACCTGCTTTCCTTTGCTTAAACGACCAGTTAAATATCTAACAAAATTAATCTTTCTATAGCTTTTACGTTTGTTTTATTATACTAACCGTTTCATTGTAGTAATTACTTATTGTATCATTAAGTCGTAATATTCTTTTTAATTCAAACTCGTAAATTATTCGCAATAAAATAATTTTGAGATTACATTTTTTACATCTCCTCTATTTTATAATGTATATTCTCTTTCTTGTACCATAATTTTGTACTTCTACTTTTTCTTATCTACACATACACCAATTCAAATTCAATTTCACACGTTCCACAGAATCCAGAAATTTATCGCGGAAAATTTAATTTTTTTCGTGTAAAAATCTATCAAAATTTTTACATTTTTTTTTTTTTCAGTGAAAAATTGGCTACCTATACGTACACCTATGTGCATAAAAATCGCGAAACGGAAATCGGCGAACGAGATCAACGTACCAGATCGAAGCGTTGGGTTACTGAACGATCAACGATGATGATTAAGGAGTCACGGTAGAGCGGTTTTTTTTCTTGTTGGAGGCCAAATCTAAAATCGAAAGTGGATACACGCTCGATAGAAAGTGAAATTACGCTCGTTTTTTCTGCGACCGTAAAGGAATAAATTCTCGGGGATCATCAAGAAGAGAGCACACGTGTTTGAGAAAGGATCCGTGCAATGATCGATAAATCATATCCTATAGCTGAGAAAAGTGGATCTATTCGAGATACGAAGGAGAATCGTTATTTGAGTCGTTTCTTATTCGAAATTTTAAAGGATTGATTGATGAACGAGAGATGAAAGTCGAAGTGTTGTTGAAAGATGATAGTGATTTTAATTTCAAGTGTAGAAAAATTGATAGAAGAGGGATGGAAATCGAGGTGTTGTTCAGAGATGACAATGATTTTGATTTGGAGTGTAGAAAAATTGATGAGAAGAAGGGAGGAAAGTCGAAGTGTTGTTGAGAGATGATAATGATAATGATTGGGAGAGTAGAAGAATGTGTGGAATTTGTGGAAAGTATGTATGTAAATACTTGCAGAATGCAAATGGCATGCAGATAAACAAAATATCCAATTCTTTTCGTAATTTAATATTTTCTTTGTTAATAATAATAATAATAATTTAAAGGATAAAATAGATTTATATTTCATTTCTAAATAATTGCAAAGTTACTTTTATTATTACGTGAAAAAAATTGGGATTCTTCCTTTGTGAATGATTTGAAGTTGATTCAATGAATGTTTGATCAATATCGAGTTATCAAGAATAAATTTAGTAAAAGAAAAAAGAATCAAAAATTATTAATTATTCGCAAAATATTTGTCATCTAAGTTTTCTATGGTATACTAAGATTGATTAGAAACCCAATATGGCAAGATGTCAGTAAAGTGTCAGGTTAGCAGCACCTGAGCTTGCATTTAAACTATTATGGATCAACGTTACGTTTCAATCTTCTTTTTCTTCGATCGATTTACATAATTGATTTTTGTTTTTTTAACGTAACGCCATTATGAAATCGAATCGAGAGATAGTTGATTCGATATTTCGTCATTATCCTTCCTCCTATTTAAATCATACATCATTTGTGGCGTTGAAGAAATTGATTTATATGCAATCTGATAAATTGTTATTTCTTAATTCTAGCAAGTGATTTTTTTTTTTAAACTTATTATTAATAGTTGAATAAAAATATATAATTCAAACGTGAAAGGAATTCTAATACGAGCTCGATTCCATTTTCTGATTCCCTTTCCCTATGGAAATGGATCGATTCCATTCACCTTAAAAACGACTCTTGAAACCTCTCGATACGTTCATTGCGTCATATTTTATACAACGTGTCTTTTAAGGTGTCAAGCTTACGCGAGATTGAAAGTTCTTTGATCTGATGAATTTTTCAAATATAATTTTTCCCTCAATTTTGCTGCACCCTTTTTTCTTCAAATATTTCAACAAAAGGAATTGAAAACAATCCTTGTCAATTTTCTTATTTCACAATAATACAGGAAGTGTTTAATAATCTTAAAAATCTTTGATTTTCCTTTGATAAGTGAATATTTTCTTTAACATTATCCATTATTTTTATAATTAATTATCCATTATTTTCAAAGATTATATCTTGAAGCTATGAGAAGATCTTGCGAAATCGAAGAGAATTATTTTTATCATGAGAAAAAGAGAGAAAATTCTACTAATCGTTCCATTCATTCTATAATTTATTAAAAGAAACAAAGAATCATACAAATTATCATCTCACTTAATCTTCTCTCTATCCTTTCAAAAGGAAAAAAATTTCTACAGAAGTACGCAACACAGATCAAGATCAAAAAATAAAATATCTCGAGAGAAATTTGAAAATCCTGGAAAAATTAAACAAACTTGACGACGAATTTAATCTCATCCTCTTCCTATTATTCGTAATAATAAAAAAAAAAAACCATTCCAAAATATACATCTCAAAAAAAATTTGAAAGAAGAAACGAAACTACACGACACACTGCTCGACTTAACAACACTTAATCCCCTTAAATATCCTCTTCTTAAAAAAAAGAAAAATCCAATGGAAAAAATTGGAAAAAACGCAACACACGTGGATGAAGAAAAGAAAAAAAAAAAATATACATCTCGTTCGTTGAAAATGTCGGTACTCACGCAGTTCGGCGAAGGCAGCCCCGGTGATCCAAGCGGAGATGAGGGCGAGCCCGATTAGAGACGTCATCCTTTCGACTGGCTGGTGTCGGGAGGACGCAACGTGGTCAACGTTGTATCGTTGGAGGAATCGAAATTAGCAACAGCGATATCGAAAATGCGTGCGATGGCCCGCGCGCCACGGTATATATGAACTAACGCCACTTTCTCCGAGTGAGCAGAGCCGCCCCACTCGCAGCGATGGTAAAATTTATCACGGTAGAATGCCTCCTTTTAACTCAGTCAGGGCCGTACCGCGTGTACCCGTTTTGTTATTCGATAGAATTCGCGATAACCTGCACGCGGAATCGTGCGGAGGTAGGTCAGGATTGATAGGTCTAATGGCGGGTGGAGAAAATTTTCGAGAAACGTTCGGACGCGTTAATCGGGATTTTTCCATTTTTTATGGAACTTTGAGAGATGTTCGATGGGTGGTCTCGCGTTTTCGAAGGAAGTTTGAAGGAAGGACTTGTACTTTGGGTATTCGAAGATTCGATGCTTTGGCTTCTTTTCTTTCAATTGTTGCTTTCAATGGATTTTTAAAGATTTAAGGTTTCAAGTTTGGATACTGTGAGAGGATACTTTGATTATTTAGAGATTCGAGATGTATATTTGGGTATATTTGGGTATATTTGGGTATATTGGGTATATTTGGGTATATTGGGTATATTTGGGTATATTGGGTATATTTGGGTATATTTTTTATTCAAAGGTAATAAATTAAAATATTTTGATTATTTTGGTTGCTAAGATTCTTGATTCTTTTTAAAGATATCTTGATATTTTTAAGATACTTTGGATATATTTATTTTTTTCTTTAAAAATAGCAGAATATTTCTCTGGTTTGGTTTCTTTATTCATTCAATTTTTACATTTATAAAAATCAATTAAGTATATTGATCGAATTATGTAATTTATACGGATTACACAATTGTCATAATATATCTTGTGGCCTCCATTGGAAAGTGGGAACTATTAACTTATTTGAAAGACTTGTCATATTTAAAATATAAATTTCTAAATAAATCGATTTTGTATTTATATAATAGCATTTTGTATAATAAGATTACTCAAACTTACATAAATCTTATTCACAAACAAATAAAAACATGATTTAAAACACAACATGATTTAAACATAAATAAAACATAAAAAGATTAAATTTCTATAAACTCGAAAAATATTATTATTAAATTCTCGGAGGAATTTTTATTGCAATTTATTATTAACATTCTTACATTATGTTCTCCATATTAATGTTTAAAAAATTAAATTTCTCTTTCTAGAGAGAATTTAAAAAAAATAATTAATTTTCTCCAATTTATAATAAAATACATTTAACCGTAATCAGAGAATAATTACAGGGAAAAAAAAGAAAAGAAAAGAAAAGAAAAGAAAAGAAAAGAAAAATTCGATTCGAAAATAGAAATTTACAATAATCCATCAAACAAAACGAAGATTTCATTTCTCTCCGCCTACCTACATATTCAATCCCAGCTAAAATATTTTTCTCATCGGGTAATTTCTTCAATTATAGCCTTCTTTAACGACATCCTCGTAATTTCTCTCGCCACTGTCCGAGGATCGCGATAATGATTCATCTCACGATGAATCGTCATTAATCTAACAGGCCACTCGTCCTTGTCGCAAATTCCACATAATATTTCCTGCAATAAACCGAGATTTCGAAAGAACACGGATAAAAAAATTATGGTTCGTGCAAACAATCGTTAGTCTTATCTTTAAATATAAGAATAAGAAATCTCGATTGAAAAAGATTGCTACGATTTTGTAATCGAGTGCGTTCAGCTTTTTTTTTTTTTGGGTCGCTAAATATCGAGTGAATCATTCTAAAAAAAAAGTTTTTGCAGTTTTAGACGGAAAAATGTTAATTGATTTTTTCTGTTTCGACGTTTATCAAATGTCGTAAGTGAATCGTGTTTCTGATTAGCGATAAGAAATGTTTGAGAAATGTTCTCTTTGCAAATTTTCTGGAACTTTTGATGGAAATTTAGCACTGATAGACGAATGGTTCAAAATAAAATTATTATTAGAAATTTTAACCCTTTATAAGAATGTAAGAGTGTGTAATTAAAATTGATTAGAATTAAATGATTGAAACCATATTACCAATAAAGATACATTAAACTTATTTTCCAGATCAATCTCTTTATTTCAACATCTTAAATTTTCGATATTTTTATACATTCGTATACATACATATATTAGTTTGTTCATTTTTCTTGCATAAAATCATTTTTAAATCAAATTGTGTTAAAAATATTCCTAAACTCTCCTTCTTATTTTGTTAAATGTATTAATATTACATACATAATGTAGATTAAATATATAATTATATTAGTTCTATTAATCCTTTCACTTTCAACTTCATTTTTAATCTAAAACAAACTAAAAACAAATTAATTTCGGTCGATGTCAATTCATTATACTCTCATAATTTACCATCTATTATATTTTACTTGCAAATTTAATTTGATATTGATATTTTAGCGCTTTACAATTATAATATTTCAACATTCTCATTATGTTAATATCTCATATTCTTAACCATTAATTCCAACAATTCGACATCGATTCATTCTCACAACCGAGATATCAAATTTAAATTTTCACGTGAAAAATAAATGAAAAAAAATCTCTTTCTCTCACGTGAAATTTTTCTGCAGCCACTTTCCCCGGGTCAGCCAATGTTGCTGCAACTCGATGAATTTTCCAAACAAGATTATGTAAAATTGAATCCCAACTGGTTTCCTAGTAGTGCTGAGAATGGTATAAATACACGTAACATTTGGAAACTCGTTTGCGAATTGGCTGACACAATCTGGGAAACGTGATCAGTTATATCAGATATACGAACGAGTTTCCGGTGTGAGCAAAGGTCACGAAACGACAATAATTCATAGTTTTATGTTGGTTTGTATTTTTGAGCGAAAAATTGTGATTCTTGGGAAAACATTAAATTGGAAATTTTTTTTTTTTTTTTTTGATTCTTCAAGAAATTTTTCTTCGTTTAATCCTTTTATTTTTGTGCAATTTTTACAATTAAATTTTTCTATAATTTTTAGACATACTTAGAATTTTATTCTTTTCTCTTCTCGCAGAAAAATAATTTTTAAATTTATTATTTCCTTTAAATAAATTGATTTTGTGATTAAATAGATGTATTTTTGTAACAATTTGATGATATTTTAGAAATATCAAGTATGATGTTGATTTTTTGTTGTGCATTTGGTAAATGTTTGCATTAAATGAATTCTTTAGAATTCTAAAAATTAAACTATTTTAACTTATAATTACTTATCTACTATTTAAATAATTTTTAAGCGTATACAATGTAAAACATGTGTGTAATAAATATACGTATGAAATTCAATATATGTAACGTGATATACTACATAAGTTAAAACTAAATATAATATCTTACTTAGTAAACAAGTTAATCAGTTAATAACTCTTCGAGTCATAGCCAGTAAATAGAAATATAATAAATAGAAATAAATAAATAAGTAATTATATAGAATCATGCAATTATTGATTAATAAAAAAGATAATTGAAAAGATCGTTCGAAGAAATATGCCATTTATTACATAAACAAAAGAAATATTATCTGATGTAACTCTATTTCTTAAGATGATACCTTACCTTATTCGTTCTATCTTCGACACACAAGAAATCGTTAACAATTTTTAGTGCTGCAAAAATTTCATCTTTTTCAATTTCAAAATATATATATATATATAAAATCATTCTAAAAAATCATAAACACTTCTTTCATATTCAACGAAACTCCATCCTCTTGACACGTTTCCTCTTCGAACGAAAGAATTATTTCGACCACCACGTATTACACAATATAAATCTGTCAAAACGATTAAAGCCCAACTGTCCTCGACACCGGTTTTAATTGACCGGAAGGTTTTTGTACATTTTGTAAATCATCGCATCCGCCGTTTTGTCGTTCAGGGCCTTGGTGGCCAGGTCATCCGCAAGCATGGCGGCCACCGCCTCCGCAGCCATCAAGCCTGTGGACGAAAGTCAATCGTGAATCTATTATTAAGCGAGTTAATACGCTGGACATTATTGATAGGATGCGTTAAAAGCGTCTGAAAGCGGACTTTTACTTCTCGTTCGATCGATGTCAATACACTCTTACCGCTACTTTTACTTTCTTCTATTGTTTTCTAAAACGTTCGATGGAAAGAATACTTTACACGTGCGTAAGAAATTAAGCTCGATTCGAAATTGATCGGTATTTGTTGGATTAATCGTTTTCGAAAGACGATATTTTTAGATGAATTTTACTCTTCAAATTCGAGAGTTTGGCATAGAATTTTGAGAATTAAGAATTCGAATGGTTGAAAAAAATTTGAGGTTTGATCAAAAGTTTGACAATTTGGGGAGGAGGGAGGGAAGAATTCGAGGAATTTCAACATTTTCAAGGAAACGAAAAGAAAACGAAGGTGATAAGACTCTTGTGTTTACACACATCTCATACTTTTAACAGGAAGCGTTTCTTTCTTTCGAGTCTTACCTTTTATGTAATTGCACGCACGCTTAACACGTTTTAAACGCGAGGCATTCATCCGGTCGTCGATACTCATAATCACATCTTACATATCAATCGTTGCACTTAATAACAATGAATTATTAATTATTAAATACCTCTTGTATTTATCTCTTGTACATTTCCATCAAATTCTCAAATCAATTAAACCTACTTAGATATAAAATTGTGTGATGAATTTAATCATATCATTCTCATAACTTTTGTTTCACCAGAATAATCCGAGAATATCGTTCGTTTGAATAAAAATTTTCAGAAATCTAACTTTCTCAAATTCTTAAATTCTTAAACTGTGCATAAATAGAAAGACGAAATCGAAATTTTCAGATTATTATAGTTTCTTTGTCACTCGTAACACTTTAGGTTTATCGACATCGCTTTCCTCAATTAAGAATTAAAACCTTTCTTCGTCTCATAATTGTGGAAGAATACCGGTTTCGTGACGCAACAACATCGACAGATGAAAGAGGTTTTTACATAATGTTGAACTGGCTTTGTTATCGTTGATCGAACATCGACAATTACCTTTTTTATACGTTTCCCCATTGACTCGATTCTTTTTATTTAATTCGAGAAAGAAAATTCATTACTAAGTCGAATTATATAAAATGTAATGTTTTGATCGCAATTATTAAAGATCTTGATCAATTTTATTCAATTTACAAAAAATTATTCAATTTACAAAGCTTACCATTGCTGAGAATCGATTTCACTGGCCCCTCTTCGTCCATCCCCTGAAGAGAAACATTTTTCTTCGTGGCATTTAATTTGCTCCTGGCCGCTCGAACCATCAACTCGTCCTGCCCTTTGGTTTTCTTCAACTCGATAGTGAAATCACCGATCACATCAGCTGCAAATAACGATATATATTATTTCTTCAATATAAAAAAAAGAGAATATTCGAATATTCTTCCAATATCGCAAAGTATAAATCGATACTTTTTACACCTGAATGAATATACTTACAGAAATTCCCATTGAACTGTCCTCTTCCTCTTACCAATTCCTGCCCAACCTTGCCCATCAATTGGTAATCGGATTTCACGCGAAGCAGTGGGACCCTGATTTTCACGATAACGTGCATCACATCGTCCTTGAAAATCGATGAAAAAAAATATGAACAATGGAGAAAATTGCAGAGATTAAATAATAAGGAGAAAATAATAATAATAAAAGAAAAAGGAAATCATTGAGAATAATTTGAAAAGAGGAAGGGACGATTGCTCACATCAGTGTCGTTCCCTCCATGAGCACGTTTTCGTCTTCTCCCTTGGCCAATTTTCTGCTCCTCAGGATTCTTGGCGTCCATCCCGCCGTAATGATAAACCAACTGCATACCTTCCTCGAAGTATCCTTGCCTCTCCTGATAATCTCTCGCGTATCTCGACAATCCATCCAACCTCTTCGCCTCTATGGCCGCCTTAACGGCGTCGTTCCTCTTCGTCAACGATTCCCCCTCGGTACAGTTGCGACTAATAACTCGTTTATTCTCCAGGATATCCTGTTTACATAAACCACCTTACGTGAATCGAGGTTATAAGACGAATTTCTTAGGAGACACTTAAGTAACAGTGGACGTTTATATAATTGTAATAGATAGAAGCTTTTCAGGTTCATTCAGAAACACTCGAATTATTTATTAAAAACAATTCTAAGAATTCGTTCTTACATTTTTTTTTTTCATCTTATATAAAAAAATTCCTACCTTTGCGTCACCGTTCACACCGAACACTCTGGCATTCCCCTTAGACTCTATTCTCCCGTTTCCAAAGCGCTTCACGCCGCCATTACGCTCCCCATCCGCGTAAACGATATCAATGTACCCTGGTTTATCCTCCAAATTGTTCCTCGATCGATCACGACGCGCCTCTTCCCTGCCGATCTGTCCAGGGACGAACCTCTGACCCCCGGCCACGCTCTCCACATTCTCTGACGCCATCGTCTCAACGTCCCCGTAACGATCCTCCCCCCTTCTGCCGCCAAACTTCTTCTCCCTTCTCTCATCCTCCTCTCGTCTGCCGTGTTCCTCTCTGCTCCCGTCGACGTAGGAACCAGACCTGGCTGCCTGGCTCCCCTTCCGATCGTAGTTTCTCGGGTTCGATCCGGAGTTCATCGCGCTCATCGCGTAAATCATCTGCACGTCGGAAGGATACCTCAAGTTCTCGATGATACGAGCGGTCTCCGACCTGGAGAGAACTTTGGCGCCCTCCATGTCGAAGGAACCGAAGCTATTAGGCTGTTGGTGGAATTTGCGTGGCTCGTTGGCTGGCGGCCTCATTTTCTCCGCTTGAATCTTCATCAAGAAGGGGTCGTACATTCTCAGTCTCTCCTCCTCCCTTGTCGAACCGAATTTATTTACCTGTCGATTCGCGGCAGAGACTATCGCCTCGAAGCTCTCGTTTTGCCCTTTCGGCTCCTTGATCAATGTGTGGAACCTGTACCTGATCGAGTCCAAGTCTCTGAGATCGCTGTAGCTCACGTAGCCGGCCTCCAGTTCGCTTAGGTTCGATTTCAAACGGCCTCGAGCTATGTGGATGCTGTCCAGCCTGGACTCGTTCAGCCCAGTTATCTCCACGTTGCGAAGAATAATTCTGTAACTGGTGTTACCCTCGGATTGATCCACTTTGATCGTCGGAACCTTCAGGGGATCCAGCTTTCCCGCTTTCGAGAATCCACCTGACAGAAGCTTGGACCACAACTGTTGAGACATTTCTAACAGAGTTCCCTGACAGTTTGCCAAGCTCAGCAAAGCTAGAGCAAGGAATATCGTCTTCATCATCTTCATCATTGCGTCTATTTATATCTTTTTTGCTGTTTCAGAATGTTTCCAGAAAAATCTTTATTCCCCCTTTTTCCCCCCAGAACCGATTTCCTCAACACTTCGATACCCTTAATTATTTCCAAAGTTTAAAAGAGACTCTTAACAAAAGCCTCTTTTCTTAAATCACTTCCTTTTAGGAAACACTTTGGAGAACCACTTCGAATTCCAAAGAACCTTCTATTCCTCAGCCTTGATCTCCCAAATGTAATCAGGCTTGATCACCAAGAGGACGATTACGGCTACCACGACGAAGACGAGAAGAAAGCAGAGCAGGGTAGCGCACATCAACACTCCCGAACGATTCGTGCCTCCTCCAGTTCTTCTATCAATCGACGACACCGATCGACTACTTCTTACCCTCCGCAACCATCTCACACCTCGTTGTATCCCCGTGCAAAAACGAGTCGACGATGCACCCGCGCCACCTTTTTATATCGCGTCGTGGAAGGGCGTCCGGGGATCTGGGCCATGGACCAATCTTCTCATTCTTGTTCCCGTTTAAGTAAATGCGATCCTTCTTCTAGTTTCTTCTTCCCTCTCCTTTTCCCTCCAGTAACTCCCCCATCTTGCGTTTCACTCCCGTTGCGAGGAGAGGTATATAGGGGGCAAGGTCCTTCCTTTCGACCTTAAGTGGAAGACGTAATGGCGGGTCAGAAGAGGCCGCAAATAGCTATCGAAGCTATGTTCGATCGATGTTACGCAATTCACCTTGCTCTCTTAAATGTACGTGCGTGGTATGGTGACTTTTTTTTTTTTGTGCTTAATAGGTTTGGTACGGGGATGATGGTGTTAAGGCGAGACTTAAGTCCTCGATGGAGGTTGAGCTTGATATCGAAGGTCTGTCGAGGACTTATCGACGTTTTGTTGCGATTTGATCTATTTTTTACTTGGATGTTTGAAACAGTGAAAAGAATTATGCGAATAGGAAAGTTAATGAAAATTTGTTTCATTTGTTCAATGAATAAAATGTGTATGATAAAATGAAATTCATAGTAATTTGATTAATGGAAGTTGTTAAGCTGCATGATACGATTTGATTAATTTTTATGAGGCAAGATATAATGATTCTTTTTTTAATTATAATATAAGAAACGATTCATTAAAAATAGTCATCATCATTAATTCGTCGCTTCCTCGAGCGATCGGTTTAATTTGCAAGGGGATTCAATCGGCACGAAGGTGCAATAAAAATTGATACGAGACAAATATTGGAACGTTTGAATTGCGTGATCCGTAAAAGGAACTGCGAATGCAATAGAAAAAAGGAGGTGTCAGCGAAATTGCTAATCGATGCCACGTTCCATAATTTTCGACGCCACGCGAAATTATTTCGCGCTCGAACCTCGCCGTGGCAACAACCATGCTCCTCCACGTCCCCTTCGTAATATTTTTCGCGACAAGTTGCTTGTCCATCGCCATTCCATCGCCTATCCCAGAAATACGTAAGTAGTTCGTGTAACAAAAAAAAAAAAATATATATATATATATAAATTTTTATTTTAATATCCGACGTATTTTTAATTATTTTATTCGTATTATAGTATATTTAAAAAATACACCCAGTATATAGGTGTTAATACCATCAATCTGGAACACTTGCATTTTAATCGATGATGAATCGTAGAGAAAATCATGTGGAAAGAATCGAGGTCTTGAATTCTGGACAAGGTTAATGATAGAGAGAACACAATGCTCGGATTTATTTTTAATTACGTTTAATTATGTTTTATTTACAATCGTAAATTAATCGATGAATTTTTATACCTAATCGTATACAATTCAAATTATTCTTCTCCAATAAGTGTAATTCACAGGATTATTAAATTTTTATATACATCTTTTACACAAATCTTTTCTTTTTAAGATAAAATTAATCGTAATTTTATACTTTCCTCAGCCTCGTTCTTGAAGATATGCCATCAAAGTGATCCGCATCTTAGCGACTGTATAAAGGAGAGTGTCAATTCCTTGAAACCGTATCTAAGAAAAGGTATACCGGCCCTTGGAATACCAACGTGTGAACCACTCCACTTGGACGAGATCGAGATCGATCAATCTTCCGGTCCGATCTACATCCGGGCGATCTACAACAACGTGTCCATATTTGGAGGAACTAATTTCGTACCTAAGAGTATCAGGTGGGTTCTCGCATACAAATATTTCTTTTCACCTTTCTAAAAAAAAAAGAAGAAAAAAATGTTATCTACATTTTTCTACATTTATATTTCTATATGCCGAATTATTCACATTCTCTTTTTAAAAGAAAATTTAATTAAAATTTAATTAAGTCTATTTTTCTCGCACAATAAAAAAAAAAAAAAAAACAAATTTTCATCAAGAACATTTCTTGAAGCATTCGATAGATATACAGTTTAATTAAATATTTTATGAAATCGCGAAATCTTCGACGACAATGAAACACAAAGCGTGAGAATCATTTTTCCATCAGACTCGACTTGGATAAAAACGTGATACGATTGAAACTCTTCATCCCACGATTGGAGATGGTGTCGAATTACGTGATGGATGGTAGAATCATGATGCTATCGATCACGGGGAACGGGTTGGGACACGGAAACTTCACCGACATCGACGTAATTGTCACGATACAGATGGAGCGGTATCTGAACGAGAGGACAGGCTCGATTCATCAGGCTGTCGACGATATTTACGTAGATTTCGAGATCGGGCATGCCACGGTGCACTTGGACAATTTGTTCGACGGTGACGAAATGTTGTCTGGCGCCATGAATCTTTTCCTCAACGACAATTGGAACACGATTATCGCCGAGATTAGACCGAAATTAGAGGAGACTATAGCCATGCTTATCATGAAATTCACGAACACGATTTTCTCCGTGTTTCCGGAAAATGTGTTGTTGCCACCTTAGAAGTGATGTAACAGTTTATTTTTTCTTTTTCTTTTTTTTTTTTTCTTTGTTAATGTTTATATTATAACGTTGAACGATTTTGTAAGAAATTTGTTTTATAAATTTTTGTATTTTATATTTAATTAATTGTATACAATATATTTTATATTTTATACAATGTGTTGTGTATCTTATGCTTGTTTGAGAAGGAGAAAATTTTGAATATTAAAATTTAGATATTTTTTTTTTTTTTTTCTTTTTGTAAAAATTTCGATCTCAAAAAAACGAGAAACATTCTCTCTTGCGTATGTTATACGATATATATGCGATAGAAATTCGCAACAAATCGTAGAGGGCGTAAGAGACACTCTTTTCTCGGTGTCGGTATTTCAGAGCATGGAACAAGTTCCATGAGATATCTAGATACTTTTACACTTCGAACATGATGTAACGCCTTAAGGATGGACGAAGATAACTCGCGAGACAAACGTGTAAAACGTGGAACGGTATTGCAGGCGTCGTATGAAATCGCAAATATCACAACAGTAGAACGTGATCCGTGATTAAATCTTCGACAGAGTTTCGAATTTCTTTTGAGAAACGAATTTATTTTTTTCTTTTCGTTTCAAATAAAGAATGGCCAAACCTGTTTCTACAGTAGAGAAACTGGTCCACATTTGAACGAAATTAATATTTTTCACTTCTTTCTGTTTTTCACCTCGTTGAAAACCTGTTCTTTCTTATTTTTCTTTTTTTTTTTGTCATTTTCAAGTATAAATTTGTAAAAAAATCGGAATTAGGAAGTCGTACAAAAATTGTAAGAATAGAAGGTTTAACAAGTATCGATGTCGACACACCTTTTTTTTTTTTTAATGAGTTATAAATTGGGCAACAGCGACAAGTTCTTTCGGAATTTCTTTAAACGATGTGAAATGTTTGAAAGTTTCAAGGTGTTCAAACAAATGGCTGAATCATTAAAATCGGAATGGGTGGAAACATCAACACACGTGTAACATTAATTCAACGATCATAAACGATGGTATTCAATATTAGTAATAAATATTTAAATTATTGTAATAATTATTATTAATAATTCTAAATATTTTAAAAAAAATATACATATTTTAAAGAAATATCGACCGGATATGATAATTAAAAGATAATGATGATATTTTATATATTATAAAATTAGATTGAATCAAATAAATATAAAATATTAATTTTTAAATCATCATCATCGTCATTAATTTTTTAAATCTTTATTCGTTTCATCAAATAAATATATATTTGTCATAGAAATGGGAGGCCAATTGTAAAATACAGCTTTCCTCATCGCTCATTTCCGAGTAATTTGTCTTGTATGCAGTGCACGATCCTTATCAAGGACCAATTCGAAAAGACAATACCGCATTACACATTCATGACCAGCTATGCACTATCCACATATCATTGGACAGGCAATCGTGACTTACTATTATTAACTATTAATAACTCCTGACGGAAGTTTAAAAATAATTATAATTTTTTTTTTCTACATAATATCCTTCTTATTATAATAATTAAACAAATCTTCTTTCCTCAATTTCGTTCCAATTTATTTCTCCTCCTGTTATAAACAATTTGTTGCAGATCGATATCTTTCTTAATTATTTTTGATTTCTTTTTTTTTCTTTTTTTTTCGTCTTCGTCGAATTTTAGAAAAATCTTAAAATCCTTGGATCCTTGGATGAAAAAATTCAGAAAATAAAGATTCGTTAATCTAGAATTTCCTCGATCCTCGATACCCATTTCAAAGTGCAAGACACACATTGGGCAAGATTTACTTAGACAATTGGACTTAAACAAACACGATTTTATTTCTCCGCTTGCCACTCAACCGGGTTCTTTCGTCACACATGAAAATCTGGGAAACAATGGTGTGGAACGAAAATGAAATCGCGCGGCGAGGAGCGTGAAACGAGGTTTCACAATGGTTGTCGGTCGAATTAATGTTATTAAAACGCTAGTAATAGAGGTTGGTAAGAGAGGATGGATGTAGAGCTCTCGCAATGATCGGGCAGAAGCTCGATTGCGCAAACCGTGCTATTCATTTGGCGCATATACAGAGCGCGTACACTTTTCTTGGGCTTGACTGGGCCCCATTATCTTTCCATCTGTTCAACCACGATGGTTCGTTGCGCAATGGTGAACATTGGAAATTAAATGTCGCCTCTGAACAGGTGGATCTCGATTATGAAATCGAACGATCATTGTGATCCTCAAATAGGTTGGCGTAGGTCTGAAATGAAAAAAATCGTTGCGAAACGAAAACCAACTTCCCTATTTTATCAGATCGAAGAGTAATCGATCTCTATCTCTTCTTTTTTTTTTTTTTTTAAGAGAATTTTTATAAATTAAATAATAAATTAAGAAGTGATATTCGTAAGGTGAGAATATTTTTGCTCTTTTAAATTTTAAGAAAATTTATAATTGAAGAAATTTATAATTTAAGAAAATTTATAATTTAAGAAAATTTATAATTGTCTGTAATAAAGAAAAATTATTAAAAATTATTAAAAGCATTGCAACTTTTTTAATCCAGGTGATATCTAGTTAGAAGTTTTTACAAATTAAATTACGAATAAAGGGATGGATAAGATAAAGATAAAGAAGAAAAATTTAGAAAAATATTAAATTAAATTAAATGCAAGAACAAATATTTTCATTTACACGAGAAATACAAAGAGAAATAAGAAATAAAATAAGAATCTGACAAATTAATTTTTCCCAAATTTTCAATGATGGAATTAATGGCAAAAAAAATGCGCATCGATTCCACTCATGAGAAATGGAAAGAAGAATCGGCGACGGCCGAATAGCAGTCCTCAGAGTAGGGGAATGCTTGCATATAAGACAGAATACGAAAGGAACGCGTGTTTAGTTTACAAGAATCGATCCACCTAGCTACCTTGATTTCTCATCTCGATTATAATCTCGTGTGTTCGAAGTAACTGAGAGAAAAGAAGAGAAAGAAATTTATTTAAAAAAATCTCCTCAACTTAAAGAAGAAGAAAAAAAAGAATATAAAAAAAAAAAAAAAAAAAACTAAGTGAACTAGTGTGCATTCATAAATAAACAAGTGCAAATTCAACTTGAATTTTAAGAATAAAAAAAGAATAAATAAATAAACTATCGTTATCGGATATTTTAAATAGAATCTTTTTTTTTTAAATTTAAAATTTAAAAGTTCGTTCACGTTAAATTCCTATGTAAAAAAATTCACATAACACGTTCGATTCTTCAAGATCATTTTTTATCCCCATTGGTGGACCTCGATCGAGGTCGAAATTCTCCAACATGCTTCCCCAACGAAGGATAACGATCTGTGCGGTGATTTTTGGATTGTTCTCCGGCGAATTGGTGTCCTGTGATAAGGAAGAAAGCAGAAACGCCGCATTGAACGAGCCCGACTTCGAAACTCGTAAGCCAATCCAAGTGCCATTCTCATAGATTTTTAGATTGTTATGTGATCTGAATCTGTGTATCTTTCTTGCTATCGAATTATCGTGCGAAATAATCTATCATTCAATTGGCGTGCGTCAACCGTGTAATTATAAAAAAAAGAATAAGGAAAAAAGAAACAGGAATAAAAATGTTAAAAAGTTGATAAACGTTACGCAATCACTTTCCATGGTTTGAAACGACAATTGATAACTGTAATAACTGTCAAATGTGGATAATTAATGTAATATAATAAAAGACAGAAAAATATTTGAAAGTCGATACAACTTTCCACAATGGCGACAGTGGAAAAATAATAATTATTTTAATAAATTAATAATAAAAAAAATAAATAAATAAAGAATAATGCTCCTTCAAATTAATACATATATTATAGAGTTCCAGTTATACAACAACTTTCCACAGTTCGATAAACCAAGGGGATCTGACGATGATTTAACAATTGATTTAACACTCGTGTTCAGACAAACGATCAATTTTATCAGACGAGTTATTTCAAACTATTCAGAAGAAATTTCACATGCCAGATTGCCCAGAGACCAGTTTCATTACAATAAATATAATTTTTGTTCTTCGTACTCAAGAATACGTACACGTATTCTACGTAGAACCGGGAACAGAATGAAACGAAATAGTATTACGAGCGAGTAATTATTCCTCGTATTTTCCTTTTACGATCATTGAGCGTATCAGGCCTTTCTCTTTACACGCGGAGAGGAACAGTGGGAAACGATTGTATCGCGGAAGCGTGTTGCATTGCACCAGTTTCTCCTCGTGGTGACAAACCGGCTGACAATTTGGAGCATAACTTTGACCAAGTGTTCCATTTTCTTTTTCCCTTCTTTTCCTTTTCAATATTATTTTCAAATTTATTTTCAAAAATTAATCTAATCGATTATTCGATTGTTCCTTTCGAAAAGAATTGTAGAAAAAATTCAGTTTGGAACTTTTCAAATTGTGGAGATTTCCACTTCTTCAGCGTGAAAGTAGCTAGGGTAAAGGATAATTATTAATCGTTATTTTCTTTTTTTTTTTGAAAATTGTAAAAATTGAGATTTTCGAGATTCAAATGTTTTTTCCTTTGCTTCTAAAAATTAGAGATTCTTTCGCTTGTAAAATTTTCAAACTGAAACAACAGTTGGTCGTTAAATTTTAGAAAATTTTTGAAAAGGATGAAAATGTATAGAAATTGAGTTTTTCGACATTTTCTTGCTATATCTATTTTCTATTTCTTAGCACGAATGGAAGCAGATTGCTGGATAATTTATCGTAGGAATGTTCATAAATTTTCTGATACCATCATTGTTTCGAAGGTCGAATTCTCAAACTCGTTGTAATTATAATAAATTCTTGCTCGTTAAATTTGCAAGGCAGATTATGAACGTGTCTTTTATTTGTAAATTAATGTGAAAAAATTACCGTGTAAAATATTTTTCAAGTAATTAAAACGTTATTAATTAAATATTAATATCTCGATTCGTAGATTCTAAAAGTCTTCTTCCTCCGAAGATTAGTCTCAAATCGACTTCCTATTCAAGCTCAAAACTTAATAAAAAAAAATTCTTACTTCATCCACAATTTCATCCAAACTTCTCATTTTCTAATGACGTCTCTTCATTTCTTTCGTAAAAAAAAATTTATCATCATCCTTCCACCGACAAGAAATTATTTCTCGAAATCATCCTCAACGAAAACGCATCCTCCTTAACACAATTCTCTCTTAATCAAAACGAAATTCATCCAAAGCAAACGTTCAAATTCCGTCCAAATTTCGAGCTCCATTATTTATTTGAAAATCGTAGGATCATCAATACAATTCATCGAGAGCAAAGATTCGAAACATCCTCAAATTTCGTCGTTTATTAAAGTACGAAAGGAAAATCCAACGCAACGTTATGGTTATGGCGTTGGTTGAACGGCTAATGGTAGCATGGCGTAACGACTCTCGATGGCGTGGCGAAGGTTATGTCAGAGATTGCATAACGCGGGCCCGTGGATCGGTAATCGAGCGGAGAAAGTAGCGGCCTGGCCGATGTTTAGAGCTGGTCTTACGGCTGGTATCCTCGACACGCTCGTCTTCGCATGATTCCTCGAGAGTGAAAGCGTAAACGGGTAAACCGGAACGGTGCATCGAACGGTCCAGATTCTTTCGTTGGTCATGGACCTTGCAACGACCATGATGATGATGATGATGATGATGATGATGACTCGATGACAGAGATGAAATTTAGCTAAAAGGTTTTATTTTTATTTCGTGGAATTGTAATTGAATGGTAGGGTGAGGATATTAGTGGTGGTGTATATTTTGAATGGGGTGAAATTTTTTAGAAAAATTTTACATATAGTGATTTTTAATGTGTGGATTTTGATTAAAATTAGTTTGAATATGGTTAGAATTGGGATTAAGTTTAGAATAAACTGGTGTGTTATGATAATGATAGTAGAGCAAGTGGTTTATATTGTAAATAAGATGAAATTTATTTAGAAAAATATTAGTGCTTTTGAGCGTGAGTATTGATTGAAATTAGTTAGGATTAATTTGAATATAGAAATAGAGCGGGTTGTGCAAGTGCTATGATTAATGGTAGAGTGATTGAAAGGCATTGATTGAAAATTCAACTTTTAAAGTTTCTTTCGAAAAGTTTTATCAATGGTTTTCAGTTGTAAATGTTAGAATAGAAATTAATGTGAATACAGGATGGCTTTATAAAGGTTAGTTAAAGGTTACTTAAAGGTTAGTATATTTTATCAAATAGTTAGTTAATTGACATATACGTTAATGTTATATTAATGATGAAATAAAGTATATTGCAACTAGGATTTAACTTAAAAAAATTTCTCTAGGGAAATTTTATCAATAATATATACACTAGGATTGAAAGTTGAATATAAATATAGAATGGCTTAACAAAGATGGTGTAAGCATACTATGTTAATAAAGATAAAGATGGATCTATGAAATTGACAATCAGTTAATTTCTTCAACTATCAATCTAACTAATTGTAAAACCAAATGTTATTTGTTATTGATCACAGGAATGATCAAAGATATTATGGGATTATAAAGTTGCGTGGGCAGTTATGGTATGCATTTTTCTCTCCTATTCGATTAGACGTGGAAAGTTTGGTGTTAGTTTCACTTTTGCTAGATCTACAGCTGATCCTAAGCTAAACTAAACCTAACCTGAACTGAAAATATATACATATTATAAATCTAATTCGATAATCTAGTAATGAAATAATCGAAAAGATTTAGTCGAATCTGAATTCTGATTAAAATGTTCTTAATCCTTATATTTACCATTCAATTTTTGATTTCAATAATTATCTAGTAATTAATATTGTAATTTTAACAAATTAGTAGTAAATAATCAATGGTAGTTAAACGATAATTCAATTGGAATTGAAATTTTTTTTTTTACTCGTCTTCAAACAAAAGAATTTAAAATAATGACAACAAATTTCCATATAAATTAATCCCTATGTTAATATCCATTTAAAGCTAAAATGCATATTTGGTTTCTCCAAGTGTTAACAACAGAGACAATAACAACACTGTGCTGCATTCACGACATTACACGCATTCAAATCACTTCGTAAACACCGTTTCCCCATATTTTATATATGTTCTCTTATATTGTTTCTCTTAATCATTTCACTACTCTGTGTGTCAACGTTCTCACACTATCATCATTTAAAATTTTTCACATAACATATTTTTTTATATCATCACACACACATTTGCATCAATCTCTCGTATTAAGTTAATTGTTCGTTTCAACAAATTGCTTAAACGAAAGGGGAAGAAAAAGTATATAAAAAAAATATATATAGTAGAGAAAATTATGAGTTATAACAATTATAAATAATGATTGTTAATGATTTATAGCTCAAAGTTTCAAGCCATTGTGCGCTATCGCCTATTATTATAGCAATCCATCAATCATTCCACAAGCTGCGAGCAAGAAAAGCGTGTGTTGCGTCAAACAATAAAAAAAAAAAAAAAAAAAAAAAAGAAATCTTTAAAAGTAATGACTTGTATTAAAATTTAACGAGTTTCGAGTAAAATGATAAAATAATTTTATAGTTTAACGATTCATTATACGGGAAAACAAGTGGATTCAGTTTTCGAACTGGATGGAATGAGTGAAGAAAAAAAAAAAAAAAGAGAGGGATAATAAATTCCAAAAATTAAAATAAATTAAAATAAGTTTTTCGTATCCCTTTGTAACACGTGGGGGAAAAGAAAGTAGCGAAAATTATGCGTCGTAAATTTTCTTCGCTGATGTAACAACGTAGGGTATGATCGCTTAGTAAGAGGTTCTTATTTAAAGTTTTAAGGAATTCGTATTTTTATAAATTGTGACTTGTGTTCGAGGGAAATTGCTCTGTAACGAAATGGAGAAAAATTCGAATAGAGGAAGTCGTTTCTGGATAAACGTTCATGATTTCTTTTTCTTTTTCTTTTTTCTTTTTGTGATCTATGTAACTTCAAAATATTGTCTGTTCGTTGGATTGAGTAATAAGTTTGTTTCCTAGTTTTTTTTTATAAATTTTATTTTTGTGTTTGTAATTGTATTAACGTTATATCATTGAGATATTCAATGAGAGATTGAAATTTTGACACATTTTGTAAATATATCATATTCGATTTTGATTTGGTGATTCGATGTTTGTAGAATAGAGTTTTATTATTCCTTGTCAATGATAATATCTAGAAAATTAGTATTTCAAAAATCTTGTATGTGAAAAACTTCCGTGATCTCTATCAGGATAAGAATCAATTCTGGGAATATTTCAAAGATTCTATGAATTGAATTATGTGTCAAGTTCGAATGTTTTGCATTTTCATAAAAAAAAAAAAAATAAATAAATAAAACAGTCTCTGATCAATCTTGTGAATAATAATGCATAATAAAGAAGTAAGTAGAAATTTCTTTCAACGCCAGGTAAAATATTTGAAAAGAAATAGAATATTAATTAGACGAGCAAAATATTTTTCTCTATCTTCTAATAATTTTAACATATTTTAATATTTATATAATTACATAATATTTTAATTTAATTCATGTTAAGAGTTGACAAGGAACGACAAAATAATCGAGAAATTGGATAAATTTTCTAAAGACACTGAAAGTGATTGCATAAAGATAGAAGAAGTAGAAAGATGTGTAAATAAAATATAACAATCCGAAATGAAAATTTCACCCTCCATTCTATAGTAACATGGAAAATTTGAGATTCTATTCTTTCAAAATTTTGTATTTTTTCACAGCTGAATACATATTACCCTGCAGTAGGTCAGATCCCAAGATAGACGTGTGCTTTCAGAATACGTTGAATCATCTGCAACCATATTTGCTGAAGGGTGAGTAAACATTTTAAGAATATTCTTAAAATTAATTCTTTATTATTATTATTTTTGTATCACGAAATACGGAAATACTATTTAACTGAAGTATATATTACACTTTAAGAATATAATATTTAAGACAGAGATACAAAATTTAGATTATATGAAAGATATACGAATTTAAATTTGTTTCTATTGTCTAAAAGAAAAAGAAAATTGAAACAGAATATGGAATTAGAATGAAGATATATTATGTAATAAGCTCTCGAAATCAGTAGGTTTACATAAGGTGCAATCAGTGTAATTTCGTTTTACTTGAGTTACTTTATATAAATTAAAAGTTTTTCTGCGACTTTGCTTCATTTCTCGTGTTTATTTCGAAATTTATATCAAGATACATTTATATTAAAATATACTTGAATGCTTCGTCTCATCATTTCGAAATTTACATTTACAGTCATCGCACATATTTATACGAAAATAAAATACGAATCGAATACATATAAATCTCATTGAATAAATTGCTTCGTTCCCGATCTTCATTTCTCTTAAATTTTATTAAAAATTTCTGGATAAATTCTCAAATTATCCACGTCACATCATCAATTATATTTGCATAGGTATTCCTGAACTGGACTTACCCCCGATCGAACCGCTGATCATCCCCGAACTGGGAATGGAGAACGGCCAAGGGGCTGTTCGTGTCAGGGCATTGTTCTCAAATATCACGGTTATAGGAGCTGGAAATTACTCGTTAACGAAGTCACGAGTCGACGTGAAAACATACAGGCTTGACGTTCATTTAGCATTCCCGAAGATCGAACTTCAAGGCCGTTACGAGGTCGTGGGGAACGTGTTGCTCTTCCCCATTCAGAGCCACGGCGAATTTTGGGCCCTCTTCGGTGAGCCGATTACATTATCCTTTCTTCATTTTTTATGAAATAAGCTTCTATAAATATTAATCAGAACAAACAAAACAACCTTTTGAATAACATATTTGATACTCATATAATTATTAAATATTTTTATAATTTATATTGTATATTGACACAAGTCTGCTATTCGTGGTTAATTGAACAGGGATTAAAAATTTTCATTTACATTTAAAAAAAATTGATCAACCCCTTGGCAATCATCGTGATGAGATCATAAAAATATATTTATTTAAATTTTACACTATCCATTTTTTTAAATCTTCGAAATAATTTCATTCAAATGAGAATGAGTTCTTCTGTCAAAATTTTCTTTTCCCAAAAGAAAAAAAATTATATCGATCCACAACGATATAGTAGAGAGAAAAAAATAGAAGTTAATCGAAATCTCCTTCGACATAGAAATTTTGGTATCCATAATAATGTTTGCTTGCTTGCTTGCTTCGAATTCGAAAATTCGCTTTGAGAAACTCGGTAAAAATCGGGAACAGAAAAAAAAAGGAAAAAGGAAAAAGAAAGAAAGAAAGAGAGAAAATGATGGAATTGCAGGTGATGTCCAGGCGGTCGCCCGTATCCAGGGCGCGGAGGAGATCCGCGATGGGGTTCGTTATTTAAAAGTGGCGCGGATGCTGGTCGATTTCGGTCTTGGCCGCGCCCGTTTCCGGGTGGTCGATCAATTGAACGGCGACAACGTGATCGGCCAAGCGATGAACCAGTTCCTCAACCAGAACGCGAAGGAGATCATCGAGGAGATGAGACCGGCAGCGAGCGCCAGTATCGCGAAACACTTTAAGAATTTCCTTGGCAAGGCTTTGAACAAGGTCCCGTTGAAAGTTTGGCTTCGTGACACGTAGCTCGTTCTCTAATTCTTTCGAGAATCACTCTCCTTTTCTTTTTCTTTTTTTTTTTTTTTCCTTTTTTTTTTATTTCATTTTTCTGAAAATGATTTTACACGTGGAATTGGAACGTGAATCGATGAGAGTCAAAGGTGAGAATGGAGAAGGATTCGTGGATATTGATGGACAGATTATTTTGACGACTTCAAATTGTGCATTGATGCGGATTGAAGAAGAAGAATGATATTAATTCGGGGAAATTTATCGTTTTTTTTAAGGATTATTATACGAATCGAGGTGGTGTTTGAGTGAAGTTGTTTTTGGTTGTTTGAACTTTGGTTGAAAGTTTTTCTTTTCTTTTCTTTTCTTTTCTTTTCTTTTTTTTTTTTTTATTTCTTTTAAAAGTGAAATTTTGGAAAGTTTTTCTTTCCTTAGGATGATTCCTTTCTATCCTTTAATTTTTCTATATTCTTTTTTAATTTCATTCTATTTATGATGTTTATAATTTTCAGAAGAACGAGTTCAAAGAACAAATTCAGAGATGTCTCTATATTGTACCATTTTCAGTTGTATTTCGAAACAAATGTCTAGTATTATTGTAATTACTTATCGTTAATTTCAATTGCAATGCAGTGATATTTCGTTTGACATTTGCATTATCGATGATGTACGGTACGTACACCGTGCATTAAAGACAGAATTATTGCTGACCTAAAAATGTATTCAATTTTGCAATATTTCTTGCATCGAGATTACACCTATAATTCTAATACGGTATAATTTAATTTTATCTTCTGATAATTTTCCTTTTACATTTATCTCGACAAAATGATTATTGTTGTTCAAATATTATATCGAAGTTTAGGACAATCGTGAATTTTTATTTCCAAAGATATTTCTCCTTATCGAAATGTCAGATTAAACGGGAACGAGAAAGGAAAAATAAAAATATAATTTTACGTACTTAAGTAAATAATTTTGTCGCACTATCTATCTAGAAATCTTTTCGAATAACGTGTGATGAAATTCGAGATAATAAGATTTTCTGTGTACGATGTAACATTGTCTGCCAGGATTACGATAGTTTCTTGTTTACAAAGGTACGTAACGACGACACATGGCATTAGTCATTATTGAAAACATTTATATTTTATGTTTTCATTATGATTCAAGTATTGTAGATCTATCGTAGAAGATATCATGCCTTAAATATACGTGTAATAATAAAATTTTAAATTTAGAATTCAATTAAAGATATAAATAAAAATGTCAAGATAGTTTCATACATGTTTTAATCGTTCGTTTTATTAATTCCCTGTAGATTGAACGAAGAACAAATTTTTCCATTTTAAATATTCCATGAATTAATGAGAAAAAGTATTCTTGGAAACTTTGCACTTCGAGAAATCAGTAAAAAATTCCCTAGAATTCTCTAGAATCATCAATCGTATATTTTCCATGAATTAATAAAAAAAGTTCAAATCATCAACAATAAAAATAAAATAAAACTTTTCACCACTTATATACAAATCAAATATAATAAATTATCATCTCAAATCACTCTCATTAATTGAAAATATTTAATTCGTCATTTAATATTATCTTTCGACATTCAAAAATCAAAATCAAAATCCCTCATTCATCTTCATAAACAAAAATCAAACAAGAATCACTCTCAAATCACTCGATCTTCACAAGCACAAGAATCGAACAAATCACTTCTTCTGCAAAACAAAAATTAATATTCCATAAAATTTCGCTCAATCCATCACATATCCCATCCACGATTCTTTATAACCAAAAATCGTACGAATCACTTCTTCTGCAAAACAAAAATCAAAATTTCGCTCGATTTCATCCATCACATCCATCCGATCCACGAATCTTCACAAGCGAGAATCTCTCGAACCTCAAAGTTTCCCTCCAAAATTTTCACTCCAACGATCCAACGACCCGTGAATACCTCGTCCACGCTCAGCCATGCAAGGAAGGAACGAAAAAGTCGTAGAAAGTCGCGCAACATGCCGATAATGGGAATTAGAATCGCGGTAGTATCGTATCGTTATGACCTATGACCCCTCCGTGTCACGTCCTCTCTCCCTCCTGTGGCAATGATTCCTTGTTGAAAAGTAGCCGGTTCCTCGCCTCGTTGTCGCACAACCGTTTCGAGAGCGCGCCAAGCCGCTTTGGCGTTGTTGTCGCTGTTGAACACGCGCGGCGACGCACCATTTAATCCGTGCACGAAAGGGTGGCGAAGGGTGGGTGCCGAGATCGGTGGCGAGAGGAGGTCTGCCCCGATGGTGGGCCGAGGGACACGAGTTTAGGAGGACATTGGCTCGGTTCAGTGGTTCAGTCGAGAGAAGGAAGGAAGCTGGTCGAAGGAGAGGACGAGGCCGTTAACAAAGATGATGGCCCAATTCACCAAGAGGCAATGGCTCACGTTGATCGTCATCAGCATCGCCGATTTCGCGAACGCGATCTGCGTTTCGCTCCAGGCACCGTTTTACCCGCAGGAGGTGAGTAATAGAAATGGAAGGATGTTTGGGTGTCGCGTTGGTTTTGCTCTGAGTTGTAAGGCAATGAGTTTTCTTCTAACTTTCTTAGATGAATATGGATGGAGGAATTATTTTTGCCAGTTGATTGATTTTCGATTCTTTTCTTTTTTTCTTCTTGTTTGTTTCGTGTTTTGGATGAAAGAGGATGAGGTTATTTAAGTAAGTTGTTTGAATTTTTTTACGAAATGTAGTCGCAACTCGAGAGAAAGGTTAGAAGACATATTGTCTCGAATGATTGTACCGTGTAAATGATACGAAATTTAATATAGGAAGTGTTATGATACAAACGCTTCTTGTATAATTGTATATGTTTGTATAAGATGGATTTAGACTTCGTCGTCGTGTCGATTGACTTTTACAGTGAGTTTTATTATTATATTATCAGTTATAAGCTTGTTTTGTCGAGATAAACGAGAGTAGAATTTATTTCTTAATTTGATTACACTGTTGTTTTTAAATGTTAAGCTTGCACTCGTTTACAAATATTTTAATACAATTTGATTATTTTATTGCGATATAGAGGGTATTAACTCCGTTATCTCCCGACTTAAGGCAAATTTACACGATTCGTGTAAAATATCGAACGAAATTAAACTTGGAATAAAATCGGTTTATGGCAGGGAGGATTTTTTCTGACGATTCAATTATTCACGAGATTTCTATATTTCGTTAAATTTCTTTATCGAAGCTTGAAAAGAAAAAAAAAAAAAAAGGAAAAATATAAAGAAAATGGAAGAAGGAACGAAAAGAAAGTATCGATATAAGTCGGTGCATGGCAGGAAGGACGTTCTCTGTACGATTTCTTATCGGTCTTAACTTGTCTGGAAAGGGGTTGAGTACATCGACGCTCGAGTATAAGTTATCAATTCTACGTGGTTCATTAAGAAATTACTTACTTAACGCGATCCACGCGTCGCCTGATATACGTGAAATCCATGACAATAAGAATCCTATTCTCATAGAACGTTCAATAACGTATTGTTAAAATATATATCAATTGTTTCCATTTTAAAATACGCCTTGTTCAATTTCAGTATAAATTTTTGTATAAATTGCAAGTTTATTTTTCCAATGAAAAATATTTCTTTTGGATAAATAATACGTAAGAATAATTTTTATATAAAATCTCATTAAAATTTAATTTAATCGAATTCATAATTAATTTATAAAATTATATATATATAATTTTCCCTTTCGTTGGTATATTTTATATTACCGATAATTCAATGATTCTTTAACAGAAAAAACTTTAACAAGGATCAAGTACGAATAATGGAATGAGGATGAATCTTCAGAATTGGAACGTTCAATCGGATCGAAACGTTCGTGATAAATTAATCGGCGAGTGACAAGCCAATGTATAATCGCCAATTAATGCTGCATCAGACGAGTCATTAATTTAATCAATTACGTGTTTCTGAAATCAGAAAGAGAATAATCGCGGTTCCTTGCCACCCACTTGTTTATATATTCCACCAATTTCTTCGTCGTGATTGAATTCTATTAAGAATTGCTTCGACATTTTGTTACAACGTTACATATTGTGGGAATTTTTTTTCTTTTTCTTTTTTTTACAGACAGACTTATGGAAATGGTAAAAATTGCGTAACGTAGACAACGCAAAAATTGTATGGCGTCGTCGAAACGATTACGTCAGTCATTATCATTACGACTTTTTTTCAAATATTTATAAATATATCTGGCTCGAAAACAAGTAATCTCTCTTTTTGTTGAAGACGATAGCTTGAGAATCGTAAATTATTCGTGCTGAAAGTTGTTACACGTACGCTTGCAAACTTGACTTGATGAAAGTTTACGAGGAAAAATAGCAAGTTGGAGGAAAGGATATGTTGGAGCATCCCTTTTGATCGAAAGATCCAAATAATAATTGATAATTGGAATTTTCAAAAAGCTGCTAATATTACTAATATTTATTATTAACAATTATTTATTTAATTTGAATTGTATGGTGATTCCTTAATTATTCTAATTGAGGATTTTAATTAATCAAATTATTCTAATTTGAAATATAAAAATTTGATAAAATATGATAAATTAAAGATTTAAAAAGATTCGTATCGTCCCAAGCATAATTAATGAAATGAGAAATTCGCAATATCAAAAGTAAACAAAATTCGCTTAACTAAGATATTTTATAGTTGAAAAATTTTTGTTGAATAGCCTGATGCAACATAACACGATTGTTAACTAATGCTTGTGTGATCTTTTTCTAGATGTCTTTTCTATCCTCCACCATTTTCTTTCTTTCTTTCTTTTTTTTTTTTTCCTCTTTTAAAACACGAGTATAATATAACGAAAGTAAGTGTCGTGTGTCGTGAAAAAATGAGAAGGTTTAAATGTTTAAACGATGAAAATGAACTTGTACTTGCACTTGATGGTAATCAATAAACGTAACGTAATACAAAGTTAGAAAAGCAAGTACTAAGTGAATCGTCAAATAAATACTCGTAATCTTATTAGCTAGACGTTAATGAAATTTTCTGATTAGCAAGTTAAAAGTTTTTTACTATTTTGGCCACTTGGAAGGCGCCATCTTTTTTTTTCTTCTTCCTTTTCTCGAGATAATCAAACGTCGTTTATATTATTCTTCATTGTATCATTATTTTCTATATATCTCTCTTTTACTGTACGTAATAATTATTTAAATTCTTAGAAAACTTTGTAACTTTGAAATATCTTGAAAATCGTAACATCCTTTGATGAGATCAAGGAAAATTTACATGAATATTTAATTCGAGAGAAATATTAATTTTAATTAAAAAAAAAAATCTTCTAAGATCGAAAAAAATTTTTACATTTTAAAACATTCGATTCGATAGAAGAATTATTCGATATATTCAACACGATTAAAGAATCGATAAACTAAGTAAGTGAGAATTATGAAACGATAATCGATCGTGTCACAAATAAATTAGCAATAAATTGTCGCTTATTGTGAAGTATTATATCGAATTACCAGTTTCGAATACTTTTTCGATGATTCACGATGCCAGACACAACAAGAATTATCTATGACGCATTTAAGTAGGTATACTTATATACTTACTAGAGTTCGATGTGTACAACCTATGGTTGCACTTATGTAATAGCGTTACGTATGTAGAAAAGTACAATAGAATATTGCATTTCTCTTTCAGAAAAGAAATCTGTTTTTAAAAACTCTTCTTTTTCCCCTCCTCTTTTCTGAATACTTTTCAATCCTCAGGATAATACACTTTTCTCAGATTCTTTCTTCAACCTTTCTGGGATTTTTAAACTTTCTAATCTTTCTCACATATCGTTCCAATTTTAAATTTTGCCTGGATTCTCAAAAGAGTGATTTTTATTATATAATTTTGAAAAATTTATCGGTGGTGAAATAGAATAATCTTGGAATCTTTTAATTACGTGATTGACATTCATCTTCGTTCGATACTTTGTACAAAGTAATTTATTTTGTCATTTAAATTATTTTCTTATGTTAGATATACACGAGAGATATCCGTTTCCAATGTAATTACACTATCTCTATTGGTATGAATTATTTCACATTGTTATCTCCTGTTATTGTTAGAGTTCTATTTCGGAGCGTATTATGCTGACAGTGAGAAAAGATAATTTATTTGTTTTGATCTCTGTTACAATCTTTTAGAAATTCTTCATTATAGTAGTGACACACTCGCATCCGTAATCTCGCTGTGTAGTAAACACTTTAATTGGAACACAGATCGCGTATTTATCTGTAACACGTCTACTTTTTGACCGGCTGCTGCCAGATAATATTCGAGAAACGTGAATGGTAATGCCGATTTAAGGAAATCGATATATTCGAATGTAAATCGAAATATAGAACGTTTATTTATAGAGATATAAAAGAAACATTCTCTGAGAAATATTTTCTATATATTTTCTCAAAAGGAATTATCTTTTGCAATTTTAAAGGATATACATTTATAGGATTAGTTACAAAAGTATTTATAGCATAAGAATTAAAAAATTTCCATTTTGTATTAATTTATAGGATTAATTCTAAAAAATAATATTTCTGTTTTTTATTTTTTTTTTTCGTTAATTTACTTAATCTATATTTCCAAATGAAACGAACATTAGAACGCATCTTAGTCACAAGACAACTTATCCTATTATTATCACAAAATATGTCATTTCGTGTCAATTAATAAAATGTTCTTATCAAAAATGATTCGAATGATTAATATAATGCAGATAAAAATTTCGTGAAAATTTTGCAATTTAACACAATTTATTTACACTCGTACGAATAATAATTCGTTAAAATGGAGTGAAAACATCTTTCTAGATTAATAGACAAACGAATCAATCTTTTTCGAGATTTCGTCAGAATCAAGTCTTGTCGTTGAAAATTATTTCTTATCTTATTTTAATCAAGTTTCTAATTTTAATATACAGCTAAAATACCACTAATTTCTATGTACTAATTTTAATTTGTCTTTCCAATCTACACTTCCAATCGTACACTTAAAAATCAAAACAATGATACTTCTTTTATGAATATTTAATTTTTAAACTTAATTCGATAAAGAATCTCTATTCCTTTCATTTATTTATATTTAATTATCATCTATATATAATATTTCTTCAAAACAAAATTATTTTATTTTAATCAACAGCAACAATTGAAAATCAACGATAAAAGTTTTTCTTATTTTTCTGAAATCTTCTGAGGAACCGTTTTCCTTCAACAATCTTCGTGACTCTTCGCTGAGAGTGAAGTGTCTAAAGTTTATCAAGATTTATCATGGCCAGCGTTAATTGCACTCGTGATAATGCGACGAAATGCGTAGCAATAATATGGAATCGTCTAACACGATTTCGAATCTTGAAAGGTTAAAAATTATTTGTTAAGCTCGCGTGCACCATTTTTTGGTAATTTTTTTCTTTTTTCGCAGGCTGAGAAGAAAGGAGCATCGCCATCCGAGTACGGATTGGTCTTTGGGATTTTCGAGTTCATCGTGTTCATCATCAGCCCTCTATACGGACAATACGTGAGTGAAATAATTATATTATAATTTATCGTTAATTCTTGGTTAACATTCACTCGAATTATCTTGCATTATTTTTAAATTAACGTTTTTATCTATCAAACTTTCTTGTTGGTATTTTATTTTAGTATCGTGGCAATAATGGAAGAGAGTTACCATAAGTAGGTACATTAGATTTTGTTACAGAATTTCAAATTTTTAAAGAAACTTTAAAAAAAAAATCATAATAATTGTTACAAAATATTGAAATGAAAAGAAAAAAAAAGGAAACGTTCGTAAATAATTGATTAAAAAGAATTATTCGACTATATATATATATATGTAATCTCAAACCTGAGGAATGGCAGTTCCAGTTTACTTTACTGTATTAATTTGCCTACTTGTAGGCGCTCGCTTTTCATCACCAATATCTTTTCTTCCTAACGAAACTACTTTCACGTCCAAATAAAACTAAAATAGTTTAAGATCGACGTGTTTCTCAATCTTCGAACGTGACTATAAATATCATTCTTATCTTTACTACTAGAAAAAAAAAGAAAGAAAAAGGAGAACAAAAATAACGTGATCGAAGGGACCGAAGAGATAAAGTATCGCTCTTCGAGCCAGCTTCCAAAACACTTCCATTTAAGACTCATATTATTCATCAATTTCTTCACATTAATTAAATTATATTCAAACGTCGTAAAGAACACCAAACAACAATAATCAAGTTTTAAAGTTTTGAATTTTTTTTTTTTTTGCAATTATCAAAATAAAAGAATCGCCATGATTAAATATAACAATTTCCACCACTAACAATATCATAAACACTTATAATATAAGATTACTTTCTCTCAATGTTCTCACGACACGTTTTCATTTACATTTTGACAATAAAATCGACGATCTTTGTTAGCTAAATCGAATCGGGCCAAAGCTGTTGTTCAACGGCGGTATCCTGACAACAGGGACCTGCGCCATCTTCTTCGGCCTGTTGGACAAAGTGAACGGCCATTATCCGTTCATAATCCTTTCGTTCGTGATTAGAATCGTGGAGGCTATGGGGAACGCGGCGTTTCTCACCGCAAGTTTCGCCATTATCGCCAAAGAATTCCCGGATAACGTCGCCACCACTTTCGCCAGCCTGGAGACCTTTTTCGGTCTGGGCCTGATCGTTGGCCCAACTGTCGGCGGTATTCTTTATCAGGTAAGACGATAATTTCTCGAAAAAAAAAAGAAAAGGAAAGAAAACTATTCTCGTAGATTTGAAACGCATTAAGGATAATACTTATGAATCATTTGTTCTTCTTTGAAAGTCTTACTTTGAGTAATCTTACTTTAAGAGTTAATGGCTCTCTGGATTAGAAATGGACGCAGAATGGATTGGAAGCAATTGTAAAGAGATTAGGATAATGGGTCACTTTAGAATTTACTTTTTGAGAGATATTGAGGCTCTATCTTGTATAAGATGTTGTAAATCTGAATTGTATTTTTAAATTAATTGGATTGGATGGAACAAGCTTGCACTATTAATAATTTCGAATGGATTATTAATAATTTTTTAATACAGGTTGGAGGATACACGACACCTTTCGTCGTCCTGGGATCAGCTTTATTCACAACCGCGGTCATGACCATCTTCATCCTACCAGTTCATTCCAACAGCAATCAAACTAATCCCAATACAGTGGGTGAGTGGATTTAACAATTTTTAATGCAATTAATCGTGCATAATAATTGGTCAATTGCGATTTAAAATATATTTTTCCAGGTGTGAAGAAAGCTTTGAGAATTCCAGGCGTATTGATCGCCACGTCCTCCATAATAGCGACCAGTATGAGCATAGGATTTTTGCAAGCAACCCTGGAGCCTCATTTAAGGCAATTTGACCTGAGTCCTATCGTTCTAGGCTTGATGTTCGTGATCAACGGCGGCACTTACGCCATTACCGCCCCCGCATGGGGGTGGCTCTGTGACAAGCATTCGCATCCGAAAGTAATTATCGAAATACCATTATCTGATTAATCATCCTTTTAATCTTGGTCCCGAATAAAGATACGAAGATTCGGCAATTTTCGAAAAATTGTTTTCTGAAAACGAGCATGAGATATGGAAAATTGACGAATTTGAAAAATTTTTTTTTAGGTAGCTACCGTAGCCGGATGCATCCTCGTGGTAATAGGATTTATCTTAGTCGGACCAGCACCTTTTATACCATGCCCAACTCTACTCTGGATGACGATCTGCGGTTTGGTTGTTCACGGTTTAGGTATGGCTGCACAACTGGTTGCCAGTTTCACGGATGCTTTGAGGACGTCGATGTACGTTTGATCGTTAGTTAATTCAATTATTGATATTGCGATGATAACTTTGAAATCACGAAGATGGTGAATTTTTCGAACAATTTTTTCCTCTTAACGTTTTAGACAATACGGATTCCCAAATAATTTAGAGACCTACGGTCTGATCAGTGGATTGTGGACAAGCACGTTTGCGCTCGGAGCCTTCATCGGGCCCAGCGTGGCAGGAATTTTATTGGACAATATTGGATTCAGAAATGCTACCATGTTCATCGTGCTGCTTCACATGCTAGTGGTAAGCGTATTCGTTTTTAAATCACCGTTTCGCGTCGTGAAATTTTCGATAATTTATCAGAAACTTTCATTTACCCGGTTTTGGATTAATATTATAATGAATAATGAAAGTGGTGAAGAAAGAAATTTTTGGAAATTCAGGAATAATTTATGCAAAAAAAATTGGCTCTCTTGGTCTGATCATACATCTTCATTCTAAAATAATTATTACCAACAGAAAACTTTCTAGACAATTAGCAACTATTATCATGTCAGTCAGTAAAATTAAATTTAAATATTTCTGTATTTTACGATCCATTGATGAATCATAACAGGCAATATACCTTCCAATTCATCTATTGATATTACTATTCCTCCATCGTGCATTCCCTTTAATTCCACGATATCCCAATTCACACATCCAGATGATCGTTTCCACACGTATAACAATATTTCTTATCTTCACCCCAACAAAAGAGGCCTTATTCCATCCCTATCTAATCTAACCATCCCTATCTAATTCGACCACCTATAAACATCTCTCTCACATTTATCTCTATATCTATACATACATACATATATATGTATAGGGCGCAATGGCAGCTGTGTTCCTGAGCACGTGCACCCTGAGACACAAGCCTTACACAGAGATCAACGCCACGGCAGAGGACCCGAGGACACCTTTGACGGACAGTTGCCAATCGCGAAGCGGAAGCTATCGCCACCCCTCGGCCAGGGGAGGGCAGGGCGTGCCGATCGTGGACAGGCCGAGCGGCATGAACTCCTTGATCGTTTGCAACAGTTACTCGAACAGGGCCGGGGCATGGTCCAGGGCGTCGTACAGCGGCCGTTACTCTCACAGTTACGGCTCGATCGAGACGAAGAGGTATCTGGAGATGACCACGTGACGGGTGTCGTTGTAGAAAAGAAAAAAAAAAGAAAAGAAAAAAAAAAAAAAAAGAAATAAGAATTGCAACATCTCGGACAGGGTCGTGCCCCGCCAGTATTGTGATCGCCTGATTTTGACGTTTTTCGGGCTCTGTGGATGGATTTGTTCGAGGGGGGAGGGAGAGTTCTCTATTGACCTGTCGTTGTGATAAATAAATATATATATATATATGTATATGTACAGTCGATTCTCGGAAGGAAAAAGGAAAATATTGAAAGGTTGAGGTTTATTGTGGTTAAAGTTATAATAAAAATTGTTTCGAGTTGTGAATGATCGAACGAACGAATGTTCGAGACACCTCATAGATGAGGTGCGAAGGTTTTAACGATAATGTTTATAACTCGATAAATAAAAAGCCTCGATTGACATTAATGTTTCGTCATATGGTGATTTAGATGCGTTCGTTTAGAATTGACTGAGAGATGTAGTGAGATAGGAATATATTAACACTCTGTGTGCACGAGTGTGAGAGAGGCAGGTTAGGGGAATGGTAATTTTTTTTTTTTTTTTTTTTTTAGTATCTTAATATTCATTTCGAATATCTATTTTGAAGAGTTTGATAAGATGATTTACGTGCATTTGTGGCAATATGTTTGATTCAAGTTGGATTAGTAATTCAGAGTTTAGGTTGAACTTTAAACAACTGATTGAATGGAAATTGTAATGGTAATGTCTATTTGAAATTATATTTATATTCACTTTGCATATCTCGCCGAAGAAATCTTTATAAAAGGTATAGGTAATAGGTTGATAGTGCGTGCACGTATAAAAGTAAATTATGTAATATTTCGTCAAGGTAATAATAAAAAATGAGAGAGGTGTTTCGCGAGGTTTATCGGGAGGTAAATTTTCTTAATAAAATTTAATAAAATCGATGGATGGAAAGATGGCGAGTGGAATAATAACGAAATGTTTAATAAGAATATATTTAGTCGAGTGGAAGAAATATAATGTAGGTGTTAAATTAATCAAATTAGGATTTCTTCTTTTTTTTTTTTTAATAGGATCCTGTTAATTATTTATTAATAAGAATTTAATAATTATCTCATATCGATGATTTTAAAAATTTCGAATACGAATTGCGAACCATTTTAATAATTATCGATTCTTATTTAAAATATTCTTATTTATTTAACAGATATTATCTAATAAACAAGTTGAACAAAATGAAATTAGTAGAAACTTAGTAGAAACTTTCTACTATCCTTATGTAAGTGAAGTAATCTTATCAATCGACTTCACTTCACGATTTTTAATTGATCATGAATGAAAGAAAGAAAGAAAGAAAAAAAAAAACGTTTCTTCGAAACGAAAGAGTTGGGAACAGTTCTTATTTGATTCTTGTGAAAAAACGAAACGAAAGATGGAGATTTCTTCTAGGATCGAATCTAAGAGGATTGTCAAAGATAAATCGAGGAATTTATGATACGAATGTTTCAAACAGTATTCTCAGGATACAGATGCAAGAAACGTTGCACTTCACAATCGATTAAAAACTATCATTTTTAACGAAGGAAGAATCGTTGGTTCGATCAATGAAACAATTGAGAGATTGAAAAATAATTGGAAGGAATTGGATAAGAAGGATAATTCTTTTGCCAATTTTTTATTTTATTTTATTTTATTTTTTTTTTTTTCGTAAGAAGAACCTTCTATTATAGAATTTGTAATTCTCGATTTACATTTTTGTTTAGATAAAAAAAAAAGAAATTACTCATCGTATATCATTGATAATTATATTATCCGTTATTAAATCATAAAGTCGTGATTAAATTTAAGAGAAAAAGATCCTTTTTATTACGAATCTTTCAATTTATTATTATTTTTATTATTATTATTATTATTCAATGGATGGATTGTTAGTAGCAATTAAAAAATGAGGCACGACCCTGAAATAGAGATCTCATGTACAAAAAAGCGCATTTTTTTTTTTTTTGTAAATAAAATATCTAGGAGACCTCGTCCCCGTCTAATTATCGTCTCAGACAAATCATCCAAAGAAAAATCATGAAAATATTTGTACATATTACTCGTTCGCGCATGATTTTTAATCCTGTCATCGTCAATGATGACGCCTTTTCGATTATGTCGTAGATGTCGTATAATTAATTAATAATTCTCAACGAGTTCTTTAATAAAAGAAAAAAATTTTTATTCGTCACTATATTTAATCCTCCTATCTAACCATTTCATCGTTCAATATTATTTGATTGAATAGATAATATTTATTCGTTCGTAGTTACTTCAAAGTTACTCGAAAAATTCCTTAATTCTTCTTCGTTCTTATTTTCCAGTTCAATTAACTTTATCCGTCTAAAAACCTCTAAATACTTTCATAAATATTTCGATAACTTGTTTTAATAATCCATCGAAGTGTGTAATTGTAATCAAACGTAGGGAAATTAATCACCTGTTAAATTTATAGAAAAACTGGAATTCCAATTAATTTTCGAATTTCGATGGATTAAAAATTTCGAGTATCATTTTCAATCTCAACTCGTAAAAATTTTAATCCACCGACCGTCCCCAAAAATTGGATCTCTGTGAAATGTTTCCTCTCGCTACGAGATGGGAAAATTCAATATCACGATAATTTTCACCGCCCAAAGATTTTCACTCTCGATCAGCGTTCGAACGACGAGACGCGTCGTTTTCTTCGCGCCCGCTTAAAATTCCAAGGCGCTCGCGCATACGTGACACACCCACGCACGTGCGCGAATTCTTTTGGAAACAATGGAACACGTCGTTGCTGCTGCCGCATGCAACGACGTTGCACGCACGTGCATGTGGAAGTACAACGGTGGAAATCGATGGTTTCCTCGTCGATGATTCACTTCGTGCACGGGTCATCCAGCCCTCCTGAAACCAGTTTAGTTCATAGGAAAACTCGTCTCTATGTATATAACGAATCGTTTCGATCGGATCGGTTTCTTAAAATTTTCAAATTCCAAGAAGAGAAATTGAAGTGGAGAGAAATTGAGAGAATCGAAATAATTAAATGTTCTCTCAAAGTTCGTTTCAAGAAATCAGAAACTCTTTTTCTAATAATTTTTATTTTGCTTATTTCTCTTTTTCTTAAATTTTCATAAACTATTTCAATAACTTCGATAAAAAAAAGATGATTAATTTTCGTTAAAATTAATTGAAATTATCGTCGAACAACAACTTATTTTTACTTTAATTATTTACTTTACTTTACTTATTTTTCTTTTTCTTAAATTTTCATAAATTATTTCAATAACTTGGATAAAAAAAAGATGATCAGATTAATTTTCGTTAAAATTAAAATTAATTTCGTTGAAATTATCGTCGATAACTCGATCGAACAACAACGTAAACGCACTTTTATGCACTTTTACAACGTAAACGAGGAAAGCACCTCCTCTCCCCACTTTCAGACCCCTTTGCCATATTTACAAAGCGCGTGCACCGCTGCCTTTTGACTTAAGATGGCGTCCCGTCCCGCTACTTCCGGTTCGACGTCCGATAAGTCGATCGTAAATTTCGCCAGCCGAGTCACCCTCGCGCGAATTCGCAGCTCGTAAAGCAACACGTACGAGCTTATACAGCTCGTGACTGTATTTCCTTTATTCCATTCCGTTCTCCTCTCATCGGCGATGTGCATCGACCGGAAATTACACCGTTCTCCGCGCCACGTGCGAATTTATTCCATCCATTATGTTGCAGAAACAGTGTGTCATCGATGTGACGAAAGTTTGCTTTGAGCGCGGAGGCTATGAAAGAGAATTTTCGAGATAACAATGAAAAGAATTGAAGGATTCTCTTTTCTCTTTTCTCTGAGAGACGATAAGGGAGATGGAAGAAACAACTAAATAATTAGGTGTTTGAAAAGTGATGCGAGGAAAAATGAGAGTTGAGAAGCGATGAAGAAAAAGGGGGAGAGATTTATTTGAAGAATTTGAATTTTAAGAAAGTGATAAAGGAAAATTAGGGCATCGATGAAAATTTGATTCGAGACGAAAGTAAAGTTTGATATTGAGAAATAGGGAAATATGGAAATGAGAAAGAGAAGAGATGGGAAGAATGTAATTTCGTGGAAGAGGATCGTAATTATTTTCTTCAACAGAGAAACGAAAATGAACGAAAGCGAGGGAAAAGAAAGGAAGAGGAGTGAATTAAAAAATTAGGGCATCGATGAAAATTTGATTCGAGACGAAAGTAAAGTAAAGTTTGATACTGAGAAATAGGGAAATAGAGAAGAGAGGAGAAAGAGAGGAGATGGAAAGGGTGGAATTTCGAAAATCGAAGCGAACACCGTGGAAGAGGATCGTAATTATTTCTTCAACAGAGAAACGAAAATGAACGAAAGCGAGGCAAAAGAAACGAAAGGAAGAGGAGTGAATTATTAACGCACGTTGAGGTCAACGGTGTGCATCCAAGTGTCCGTTGATGCAGTTCAGGAGGATCTCTTTCCCCCTTCTCCTCCCTCTTTTGCTCAACCCTATTTTCAAGACGTGCAGACGAGAAATTCTTCCAGATAGAACGCGCCTATCTTTTAGAATAAAGGAAGAAACAGCACGGTCGAGGGCGTAGCGTAAGATAATCATCTGATCGATCAATGTTTCTTTTCTCTCCTTCCTTTATTTGCACATTCGTGGCCATAATTTTCCCGATTGTGTTTATTACATCATTAAACGCGTGATTCTTTGCGTGATGTGCATTTGCATTTACGCGAATAATTATTATTTATTATTATTATTCACAGGTAAATAAAGGTTTGTTTGAAACGCAGAATGCAAATAGATATTCGCGGTGGCGAGAGATAAAGAAATGCCCATTTCTTATTTAAATAATTCTAATTAATATACAAAATTTATTTACTACCTCTTACATAAATACAGTTAAGAAATTTTTTATTTGTATATTTCTCTGCCCATTGTATAAAGTCTCTCGATTTTCTTTCTTTTCTTCTTTTGTTTTTTTTTTTTTTTTTTTCATTCCTTTTAAACGCAAGAAACTTTCTTTCTTTCTTTCGTTCGATTTGAGATTATAACGAGCGTTCGACACGTTGACTCATCTTAATTTCTAATTTTATCGATCTCTAAGAAATTCAATCCAAATTTTAATTCAATTTCAATCATCCAATCAAAAATAGAAACAGAGAGGGATACCCGTACAACATTTCAAGCATAGCTATCCAATTTTCTATTTCTATCATTCGCGTGTAAGTATAACGACATCGTTAGTCAAGAACGATTAGCGACGTTAATGGCGGCGACTTTATGTAATCGGTCGTTACACACGAATAGTGAAATAATTGCGTAACCGATACGATGAAATGTATCGAAAATTGATGACGTCGATCGAGGATTATACGCGTATAGAAAGCCAGCCAGAAGAAACGAAGTTTATCGTTCCATTATCCTGGCCAATTACTTCTAAAAATGTATTACTTCATGATACTTAAGCGTACGTAATTACCAGCCAGACAAATAAACATAATGAACTGTGCGATTAACTGCGTAAGGCGAATAAAAATTTCAATAAAAAGCTTTGCGATTTACGTAAATATAATTTTCTTCTTCTTCTTCTTCTCCTTCATTTTTTTTTCTTTAATCCTTGAAACGTGGAACATAACTTTTTCTTAATCTCCTATTCGTCGGATCTTTATTTGGAAATTGTTGTAATGAAATTTAGCAAAAGAAGAAGAAGAAGAAGAAGAAGAAAAGAGAATTTTAAAGGAGTTGAAGCAAAAAGGGAATCGAAGGGAATATTTGTATTTTAAATATTTAAAATATTTTTTTATAAAAGGTTCTTTTTTCTTGTAGATAAATTTGTTAGATTAATAAAGTAATTTATCTAAAATCTAGGCAAAATAAAAAAAATTATATAGAATTCACATTACTTATTCTTCATTTTTATTCATCAGCTTCGCTTGAAATTGTTTAATATTCTGAAGATTTCAGAGATGAGATATCGTGAATAGACGGAAGAGATCACTCTTACGCCACTGCGGCGCCGGGATTAGGCGAACAAGCATATCCACAGGTGAATAGTATTTAGAATGAAAAGGAACAGGTTCACGAGGAAGGGTTTGCCTCCAATCCGATGCGTCTCCGTTCCAATAATCGTGACTGCTCGGGAGATTAGGCATTAGTTGCAAAAGTTATTTCGAAATTATACGTCGAGGTGATCAATTATGAAATAAGAAAATCAGAATATTTCTACGTCGTCAACTTTATAATAATACGTATAACGTATATATTAGAAGAATAATAATTATACTCCACGATCGATAATTTTCAATAAACCTATCATAACACGTACGCTTCGTATTACATCGTATTCGTTATATTCTTTTTACGTCGTATTAATTAAAACTAAACGATATTAAAATCAATATTCACAATCCTTCAAACACTACTACACTCGTAAAGACTTTATACTCCAAAAGCTCAAATAAATTTCAAATACCCTTTGATTAAAGATTAAAAATAAACTTCAACACAATTTCAATCTCGAAATAAGCAAAACCTAAAATACATCATCCTCGTAAATCTGTCATCCGTCCCGCAAGCTCAAACAAACGACTGGAACGAACTATTTCGAATACCTCTTCTGTTCTCGACTCGCGAAATCCAATATCGAGACCGATCTGCGTTAAAAAAGAAAAAAAAAAAAAAAAAAAGAGAGAAAAAAGAGAAAAGAAAAGAAAAGAAAAAAAAATCCCTTCTTACGCCACTGTGAGATAAAAACACGGGGCGAATCGGAGTGTCAGGTGCTGCCACCTGAGCAGGAAAATCCGCAGGTGAAGGAGATGGGGAGTGTACACGCGAGTCGGCGTGAAAACGAGCAGGTCCAGGTAAGAGGGTTGCCTCTCGACCGCTCTCCCCACCACTCGCCGCTGGACCCGTGGTGGGGGCCGGTTGGCGCATGCGCACGGCCGCGTGGGTCCTGCGGCCGAGCGGAGCGGCCAGTTCAGGGGCCCAAAGCCTGTTTCCATCGCGAGGGAAGGCCTCGGGTCGCGCTCGTCTCGTAAACGTCCGGTCAGTTCGCGTTTTCCCGCGTTTCTTTCGCCTCGTCGCGTTATTTTTCGCCCCGAAAATCGTTCGCCTCCTTGAAATTCGTTCAATCCGCGCGAGTGATACACACACACACACACACACACACACGTGATATCGAGATACATACATACCCACGGTGGAACTTGTTGTAACGAAAAGGATCGAGAAGAGATCGTTGTGTTTATCAAGTAGTGGCAAGTGTCATGGGGATATAGGAACGCCGGTGAGGGTGAGTTTCGAATTTTTGGAAGTGTTTTTCTTCGTTGAGAAGGGGGAAGAGGTGTGAGGAGGAAGGGGAAATTGTGAATCGTTGGAAAGTAGAAGAGGAAAAATATTTGGAGAAGGGTTTCTTGGATATATATATATATATACGTGTAATGGTAATTGTAAGGATCGGATAGAAGTGAGTTGAGAATAGGTGTAGCCGTTATGCTCGTGAGAGGAGGCACCCTACGGAAACGAGTTAAGGCCTAGGAATTAATTTTATTGAGCTCCCCCGCTGGAAATAAGCTAGGCTGTAACAAAGGAGCAGTGACCGGTGATTCGGATGCACGATACGATGCTTCTAAACGCGCTTTGCTCCATCGTTTGTTACGTAAACGTGTTTAATTTCGTGAAAAGATCCGAGTAACGTTTTTACGTATAAACATGTTTCGAGAAAAAGCGAATTTTTCTGTCGAAGAAAATATTTAATTAGGACCGAAATGTCAATGGAAACAACGCGCCGCAATTAATATATAGGCAAGAAAATCAAAAGGAATATCAAACGTGAAATTGACATATATATTTTCCATTCCGGTTGAAACACGATTCCGATAGAATGCAGAAATGCAAACAAAATTTTCGAATTCATCGAACTTTAAGTGCTCATTAACCGTTCTATTGTTCCGTGATTGAGTAAGATTGACAAGAAAGGAATACAAGCACGACGTTCGAGCACCGATAACCGCTTACCTCTAAAATCATAAAATCTTCCATACAACTTCCACAATTACTTTTACAAATCCCGTATCCAATTCAATCCTTTCTGATAAACCACTTTCTATCTCTATCATAATTTCACGGGAAACTTTATATCCCCGACTTTATATATTTCCTAATTTTTAATTTCACTCTTCTCACCGTCAAATCGTCTTTATTAAAAACACATTTCCCCTCGATTGTAAAAGATCAAGATTCAACTCTCCCTCGAAGAGAGAGAGAGAGAGAGAAATAATCTCTTTCGATGGATATATCCCCCCCATCTTCATCGATCCAAATTCATCCTCCAATCTTCTCGATGATCCACTGGATCAACTGGATCATCTTGGCCTTTCCAATCATGAATCATCAACCGTGTGAGTCATCATGAAAAAAAAAAAAAAAAAATCATGAATGGAGGACGACGATGGCGAAGAGAAGAGTCGCGAAGAAGAAAAGGCGAGAGACGAAGGAATCGGTTGGGGAGTTTGAAATTGTGATTCCAGGCGTGTCCAGGAAAGGGGAGGTTAGGAACGAACGGACGGACGTGTTCCTCTCTACGTGCACCTTTGAGCAGATGGAGTCGGGTTAGCTAATGCGTCGAACGAACGCGTTGCGGTTAGATCGTGGAATCTTAAGTATCCTCCAAGTGTCCTGGGATCTCTCGTGCGGTTGAAACGAAACCGAACAGAGTATGTCGACTCTTCAAATATTGTCGCGTCGCAAGAGAAAGCGATTACGTATATTCCAAGTTTACGATTCTTTTTTTTTCCTTTCTTAATTCGTTGAACCTGTTTTTCCATTTCGATGGGATTCATTAGTCGACGAGGCTTCGAGAAAAATTATTATATTTACTTGCTTTCCACTTAAATTTCTTATAAAAATTAAGGAAAATTCGAAAAACTCGTACTTTAATTAAAATACATTTTTTTTTGTATATACTTTCATTATATTTACTAATTTATTTTCTCTTCAATTTTGGAACGAATATGACTGACATGAATAAATGAAATTTCTTCTAAATGTACAAGAGTGTAGGTATATTTCAATTGTAGAGATAAATCGGCCAGAGAAGAAAATTCTCACAATAATTAATGCAATTCTTTTGCACAAATTTTTCTCCTTACGTACCGTCTTCTTACACGTTATTCAATCCTCTCGAAAAATTTCTCGAAAGTCACGACATCTCTTCCTCTCTCGAAAAAAGAAGAAAACAAAAAGAGAGAGAGAGAGGGGGGGAGAGGACACAATTATATCGATCGATCTTGACGAAATTTCGTCGAAGAAGAGTTCCGTCTCGAGGCGGAGATCCCTCCCCTCTCTTCCATGTGTTTTGCATACGAGATCGAAAGTGTGTGTACGCACACGGCACGAGGGTGACTCGCGCACGCTTGTGTGCGTTGGCGTTGGCGCGTGTGTGGGGTAGCCATGAAATGCAGTCGAACCGGCTGCAGAGGACGCGCGCGTGTATGCGTGTATGTGTGTGTGTGTGTGTGTGTGTGTGTGCGCCGTGGCCCGGCCACGATGCTTGGGGCTTCGTGGGCCCCGCTTCGTGCTCGCGGATTTTTTTAAAGATCCTTCTTGTTACGGATCGGAAACGGGGGAGGGAGGAAAAGAGGGGGGGGGGGGTCGAACCGTAAATAAAAGATCCGCGGTTCGCCTTGATTCGCGTTGGGATCGTGAATTGGTGCGCGCGAGCACGTGTCAAAGAGGGAAAGGCTTTTGTCGTTTGAACGAGAGAGAGAAATAATATTCCTTTCCGTGTGGAAATTATTTTCATATTTATTTTCTTTTCTTGATTTTGGTTTTGGTTTTGGTTTCGGTTTGTCAAACTTCAATTCTTCAATTTCTTAAATTTCATCGTGAGTTTGGATTGGATTGGATGCAGTTTTTCTTTTTTTTTTTTTTTTTTGGAATGTAATTATAGACGTTATTATTGTTAATTAGGCTCGATGCGTTTTTAACAGTGTGCAACGAAAAGAGAAAATTCTGAAAGAGAATTTTAATTCATCGAATCTTTGATTAGTCTTGGATGTTCGAAATGGTGTTTGAGAATTGGAGAGTTGAGGATGTTATTAAAAAATTCCATTTTCTTAGAGGAGAGATTATTATTTCAACATTCTTCGAGACAAATTTCATAGAAACAATTCACCATTTTCGATAACAGATGCTTTCTACTCCTTTCCTTCCAAATTTACCGAAACTAACTAAAAAGAAATATTCGATCAATTCTCCATTCAAAAATCGCTTCTCCACGCTTCCCAAACGAATCTCGTCGAATATAACTTCAAACCATTCTCCAACAAAATCCCACGCAATTTCTTCCCAAAATTTCTCTCCTCCCGAACAATTCACATCGCGTGCGCGCAACGCGTCTCCCGTCTTTGTTCCTCTCCTGCGCGAAACACAGTGCAGAGAAGAAAGAAGGGAAAAAAGGAGACGAGGAGGAGGAGGAGAAGGAGGGGGAAAAAAAGGAGAGAATGAAGCGGGTAAGAAAAGGCTCGTAAAGGAGACGTAGGAAAGTCGTTGCACCGCGGAGAGGCCAAGATCCATGATGCTGTGTGCCACGAGGCGAACAATGGACTGTGACGTCACTCGAGGCTGCACCTGCGACGCTGCACTTGCATGTGCAACGAGCCATCGACTAAGCAACCCTCGTACACCGCCAGCCTGTTCGATTTTGAAACGGCCACCGGGTCGAAAATAGCCCGCTACGTGTGTGCATTACTTATGGCGCGGTTATGCTCCGCTGTTTATCGAATACGAGCGTAATACGAGCTCCTTCTTCTTCTTCTTCTTCTTCTTCTTCTTCTTCTTCTTTTGAATAAGAAAACGAACCGAGCTATCGAGATCTTGAAATTTTTCAAGATGGATGTGGAGAGATGTTGGAGATTTGTTTTTTCAGATTTCAGTTTGACAGGATTTTTGGATTGTTGGTATTATTTTGTATTTTGTATAGGAAGATTAAGAAGAATTATTCTTTTCTTTTTTTCGAAATGTCCTAAAGGAAGATTGAATTTTAATTCTTTCTTTGGATTTGATATGTGCGTATTTTGAGGCTTTGAATCATGATGGAGTTGATGTTTTGTTAGTTGAGCCGTGAAAAAGAATTTTAGAAGAATTTTGAAATATTGGAAAGTGAAATTTTAAATTTTGGAAACTTAGCATTCCGTTGAAGAAATTTTTCCAAATGTTGGATATCTGGATATCTAGAGAATTTGTTAATATTTTAAGACTTTGAATTTGAAAGTTATTTATCTTGATTTATGGTAATTCTAAGTGACAAAATGATAGATGTTGAATATTTTTACAGATTTGTTGTGACAAAGATCCAACATAATTTCAAACGACAGTAATAATCTTGCAATAATATAATAATAGGATTGGTTGCTGGTATGGTATTACAGGCTCTGTCGTTTCGGAAGGGACGCCAGTTTATGCGACGCCATATTTTGTGGCATGGCCTAGAAATCCATTGCAGCTTGTTCGTTTCACAAGACGACTCCTTGAACGACACGTGAATTTAATTTGTATTACGTATAACACAATTATTTTTATTCCACTTATTGTATCACAAGATGTTACAAATGTTCAAGACGAAAAAGTGACATGTTTTTAATAACCAAACTTTTCTGTATTCTTCATCGATTCTCTCTATATTATTGTATTAGAATCAAATAATTTATTCACAACGGATATTTCAATTATTCGCGAATGTTTGTGCGAATATTTGTGAGAATACGTGTAAAATATTCCACGTAAAATATTTGTTACAATATTGAATAGGTGAATTTCTATTTAAGTTTCTTCGGTTCGTATAAATCTAAATTTGCATAAAGATAATACAAGTAGTAAAAGTAATAATAATAATTGATCGAGAACTTCGAGAAACTTTCTAGAGAAAATTGAATTAAAACGTGTCAAAAGAGAGAAAGAGCTCTAGCTTTTCATAAATATATTTAGAAGAAACTTGGCAATTTCCATCCTCGAATTTACGAAAATCCAAATTTTTGTATGTAAAATAAATCCCAAAATCTTTAATTTTTTCCAGAAGAGATCCAGAAAAGGATAAATTAAATATTACTAAATATTATTAAATTTTATTTATAAATAAAATAAATTAAATATAGTAAGATAAGGAAAAAGTTTTTTAAAGAAATCTCCCGTATTTAAATTTTTCGAAAATAAATATTTTTACGACGATTTACTTCACGATTCTCTCAAATGAAGCAATCGAAATTTCATTCGTCACTCGGCGAGAAAAAGGCA